ATTAATATTCCTTAATCAGCATTTTTAAATAGTAACTTCTAAAAATAAATTGAAAGCTAATCACTTCAAGACAATACAACATTTCTTTATACATAATTTAAAAGCAGTGTAAGTGAGGTAATCCAAACATAACATTGTACTTTTTTTTAATTATCCATTAACCAGGAAACCCTTGTTTTCCCCCTTTTTTGCCCCTAATGCCTAAACGGTTTGAGCCATAACCCCCCAAAGCCAATTCTCACCATCCCTTTGTGGTATGGAAACTTGTGGTATAATTTCAGAGAGATCCATACACCGTTCCACAAGTTATTGTCTGGAAACTAGAAAAATGCTTATTTGGGCCCCTTTTTGGCCCCTAATTCCTAAACTGTTAGGACTATAACCCCCAAAATCAATCCCAACCTTCCTTTTGTGGTTATAAACATTGTGTTCAAATTTCTTTGCAAGAACGATTATTGATTGGAACCACTTGGAAGATATACGTGCATTCAGACAGCGGAGGGCTTTTAAATTAGAGTTTTCACAGGTGCGTAATTTTTTATTTTCAAATCTTATTATCTCTTCGTGAAATATATATACTAATCAATTTCATAATAGCGGAAGGTGTATTTTTTTGTCACGGTAGGGTACATATCTATAAATTATATATAAAAGGGTGGGATATCCCCCCACCTCCGAGGTACACACTGGGTGTTTGTTTATTAGTTTATATGGCAAAGTCTATGTACACAGCTTTTTCAAAACTGGAAAGAGATGTTATATTGTGTCTCTAGTCATTCAAGAAAAAGACTTGCCTGCGTAAATCAGCATCTTTTTTCAAAGGAAAATCCACAAGTCTTGCGCTTGAAATAAAATACAAAACGAAGCTTAAACTAAATTAAGGCGCTGTGAAAAAACATGAATGTAATGCTTGATATTATTCATCATGCTTGACATTTCAGTGCAGACATTAAATGTGATTCTTCAGGCGGTAGTCAAACTCTCCCGATCGATTGTTTAAGCCCTCTTCCGTCATCCGGTTAACAATTAAAATCTTCAATTTTATTTTTTAATTTCAACCCCCAAAAAAATTGTTAGACTGCATTATTTTCACTATTCATGTGTAGTAGTTGTCATACAGGATCTTGCAAGAGATAAGGATGATTAACCAAATCTCTTCATTTTATCATTAATTCAGAAGATTAGAACACAACGTATACACATTGTTATTCACAACGCGTTCTAGATATAAAAAAGGGGTTCATGAGGCAAGTTTTTAATGTAGGCCTACATACATAATTCCCTTTAAACTTTTAAATGAAAAGCACCTTATGCCTATATTATCATTCTAATCAGAAAATGTATTTTTCTATGGTATTTTTCAGTAAAAGTGTAAAAGAGAGGCGAAAGATACCAAAGGGACATTCAAACTCATAAGTCGAAAATAAACTGACAACGCCATGGCTAAAAAAGAAAAAGACCAACAGACAAACAATAGTACACAAAACACAACATAGAAAACTAAAGACTGAGCAACACGACCCCCACCAAACACTGGGGTTGATCTCAGGTGCTCCGGAAGGGTAAGCAGATCCTGCTCCACATGTGGCACCTGTCGTGTTGCTCATGTTAGTACAAATCCGGTAATAAGTCTAATTCGGTAGGTCACATTCGAGAAAAGGGGACGGGATTGTAGTTACGACATTAGGAAAATATCCGCTATCATCTGTGAAACGGATATTCCGTAACGGTCAACCAACTCGTGATGGCGTCCGTAAAATTTACGAAGGGATGATTTCAACTTCACCACTTGGAACTCTTGGCTTAATAGCTTCCTTGTGAGCAGCAACCCTGTATCAAGGAAATCATTATAGGAAATACAAGCCCTGGAGTATCGTATCAACTGGGAGATATATACTCCGTATGCAGGCGCTGCTGGAATGTTGCTACATAAAAATGGAAAGTTCACAATTGGGAAGCTGAAATCATCTCTTTGGTCATAAAGTTTTGTTTTCAACCGACCCTCATTGTCAATTTCTAGATGTAAGTCAAGATATGAGGCAGACTTTACTGTATCTGTTGTATCCTTTATCTCAAGTTCGATGGGATAGATGCGTTCAACATAGTCACCACATTTAGAATTATTTAGTGAGAGAACATCATCTATGTAACGGAAAGTAAAGTTAAAGGATACTTCTTTTCTTTCTTCATAAGAAGTTCCTTTATGAAGTAAGCCTCATATGAATAAAGGAACAAATCGGAAAGAAGACGACACAGTTGGTTCCCATGGGAATGCCGATTGTTTGTTGAAAAACACGTCTTCCAAACGTAACAAATATGTTGTCAATCAAGAAATCAAGCATCTTGATAATGTCAGTTTCAGAGAATTTTTTGTTGGAATCAGAGTGATTTTTTACAAAGTAGGATTTATCCCTCCCTAAGACAAGATACTTGTATCTACGTTGGCCATTCTTTTTTTATGAAACAAAGCAGGACCAACTCTTTCAATTTGTCTTTTAGTTTGGAATGGGGAATACTTGTGTAAAGTGTAGAAAAGTCAAATGTTTTAATACTATTGCAAGATGAAAGAGTCTTAGATTGTATGTACTCTAAAAGATCTTTGGAATTTTTTAGTATCCACATCTTATTCACGCCACCTCTAGAATAGGTAGTTTCACAATAACTTTGAAGCCCGGCTTTGATTGCTGATAAAATTGATGTTAATAATTTAGAAAGAGGTTTCGTGGAGCACTTGGAAGACCCAGCAATATACCGTTGTTTGTAAGGACACTTATGTAGTTTAGGTATCCAATACAGTGATGGAAGATCCAGTTCTTCATCTTTGGTTGAAATTTCATAGGAACATAGAACAGACCTATGATTATCCAGGATTTCCTCTTTAGTATAAGTGTCGTGGGGGTATATGTTGAGTTTCCAAGTGAATTGTCAATACCTAATTCATTTATCAAGCAGTTTATGAAATGTGATTTACACACAAAAACGATGTTGTTTCTGGCTTTATCTGCGGGGACAACAACATATTTGTCATGGAGGTAGGACAAGTGTTTAGCAACATTTGGGTCTTTAAAGATTGATGTAGCATGGGTATTAATAGACCCATTCAGTTTCTTAATTCTGATTTGTATTAACGACCTCACAGCCATAATCCATTCGGAAAGAGTATCTGTGTCTTCTTTCTCGCGTTTAGCCCATTGCCTGGCATAATCCTCGACTGAATCCATCAGTATTTTGAAGTTGTGTTTCCAATTGATGGATTTAGGCTCACGATATTTCGGGCCTTTAGATAACACATTCCGCAGAGAAGTGTTAATGACAATGTTTAGGTCACCAGTAATAACGTGGCCAGTCGGATTATATATGAATGGGGAACTAGCACAGGTGCAATCAGGAGGTTTAGACTTGAAGTCGTCAATATTGAGATCCTGCAACACGTGTTTGTAATTGAAAATTTTAGTTGCAATTGGTTTGGTATAGGTATAAGAAATGATAGGTACAGACTGATCTTTAAAATAGGGAGGTATTTGCGAGTGAACTAATTTATGATGGAGGATATTGCCCACATTGATGGCATCAAGACCTTTGTTGGCAAAGGAAAGTTTAAGAAAGGATCTTTTCTCTTTTTCATCTTTTCCAATGCGAACTGGTTTGAAAAGTGTGTGACTTGCAATATCCGAAATGATAGCTGTAAGTTTCTATTGGTTTGAATGAGGGTTTGTAACAGTGGTTTAAAAACATAAGTTGTACAGAGAATGAAGTTTTGAAAGGGGTAATGAATAAAGCTTCGTGCAAATGTGATGAATACCTAACGGCCTTTGTAAAAATGGCAGCAGGTCATTAATAGAGACATCATGGAGAGTAGGTGATGTATAGTGACGATGACCATGACTGCGTCTACGTCGAGGAGTAGAGTTGAAAATATTCATCACATTCACCGAGCTACAGGAAGGACTAGATAGAATACCTATACCATCAATTTTGTCATTGCAACCATATGGTGTCGCAGTTCCCAATTGTCGAATCCAGTAGTCTTCTTTCTGTCTACGGATAGGGGTTGCAAGATGAGGATTGTTAGTCCTGTGGTATATTTTTTCGATGATGCGAACTTGCATAGAAACGATTGAATGATCAAGCTGGTTAAAATGCTGGTAAACAATGTCGCTAGCACTGTTGTTGATGTCTGATCTATGGCCGCACATAGGTTTATTTAGCCTTCCTTTCGTTTCACCGACGTATACCAATCCGCAAATTAAAGGTTTATAGTCCGTAGACGACATTTGTTGATTTACAATTCAGATCATCGTGGCTTCTGTAAAATAAGACTTTTTAGTTAAATTTCTAGTGAATTGAGCATATTGCATCGTGTTGTAAAATTAAATATATTGAAGTTGCAGCGTTCTAAATAAATTCAGTCTGCACTCGAATTTCCCCTTCAAGTTTCTTCCAACTATTTTGAATGCGTTGGATAGTATATGAATGTATTGATTGAATCGGAAAGTGCAACTTTAAAGTGCTTGTGAGCAATATTCAAGGAATTGCAGGATCTACCTATATTGTGTTCATTGTTAAATTTGCTCTTGTCTTGAATATGCAATAAATATTTGCCAAGTGACGTTAAGAAAACAATAACCAATCAATCAAATATGGTTAAACGCATACCAGAGGGTCTGGATGGGGGATTTTTCATTCATGTATTCTTTAATTTTTTGACCATTTTCCTAGTTTGTTTTTCACTTATCATTCTCTTTTTTCCCGTATCCGGCCGCTTACACTATGTACGTAAGCAATTCTCATTTTTTTGTAATTTCCCGTGTCCCGCTAGACTTCATTTCCCGTTTTCACGGCACAATAATTTGACTTTCACGTGTCACGCTTACAAAAAATCGGCAATCCCGGGTCACGCTTAGACCCCAATGAGACCCACAACTAAAGATTAAAATTCAACTGGATTTCTGACCGGCTATCCATCCCGAACTTGACTCAGTTTTTAGAATGATCACATGACTGTCATGTCAAAATGTCGTCCGAAAAGTTTGAGTCACTTGAGGATGATTTGTCAAGTGTTTTGGATAGTTTGAGAGACAGAGTCGAAGGGAAAATCCCAAATTTTGAAGGAGGTTGTTAATTTATATAACTTAATGTCTTACAATGTCCTTAATTCTACCCAGAAATACTGACAGCACTGATGACAGTGGTGTGTTGTGATGTCTGAGTTGAACGCGGTTTCATTTAAGAAAACAACTCTTATAATGACTTATATGAGGGTCGTAATGTGGGTACCTTCATGACGAATAACGGTAAAAAAATCTTGCCAAATGACGTTAACGGTAATTTTTGGTGCATAACGATAAAATGTACATTTTCTTTATGACAATAAAAAAAAATGACTGATTTTGACAAATCACGTTAAATTCTTTCCAAATTAACGGTATGGATAATTATTTGAGACCTCTGACGAATAAAGATAAGGATATTTTGACGTATCACGCTAAAATTTTAACCAAGTTGATGCTAACGGTAGCCGAAAATGACCGTTTGATGCCTGACGTTAAAGCCTTAAAGGGCATTTCTACAATGTACCCTCTTATATGATTATATATTTCTTCTTCCTTATAAGAGTTGGGTTCCTAAATGAAACCTATACCTTGAAACTCTATGGGACTAAGTATGGGGACAAATTTTATAACACTATATAAATAACACATAGCTGAGAGGGTGGTAGAGCAGATTGTTACCCAGAGAAAACATTGTCAACTGAGGCGAAGCCAAGGTTGACAATGTCTTTTTGAGGGGTAACAATCTGCTCTATCACCCTCTCAGATTAGTCCGAGATTACTCTGACGTCCAACGGCTGTTTTGCCAGACAAGCTGGGGCCGTGGGACGTCAGAGCTCGTCCCATATCAAAAAGTGGATATTTGCCCGTCCAAAATAGATGCGCTGCTTCGTCACTTCTGGTGCCAACGGACGGCCTTGGAATTATATAAATCGGGTATCAATTTGTTCATTTTTCATTTATCTCTTCATTTATGTAAGTTTCACCTACCTGCCACCCTTTATTTTCTCATATTTAGACAGTTTTCACAGTGACCCATCGATTCAGACATTTTTACTTTTATTTTCAAATGGACGTCAAGTTACGAGAGATTTCGCGACCTCGAGACTCAAATATGCAAATATTTATACTTTTTTCACCTCCTTTATAGGAGATCGATATTTAACATTTAGTAGCCAACCACGATTCTTCACCTCCTTTACAGGAGATCGGTATTAAGCATTTAGTGCCAACCACGATAACATTCGGAAGCCCTCAGATATTTACATTGCTTGCATCGTAAATGAGCGAGGTGTTAGATTATATATTCATATTGACCTAGGGTCATATGCATACATCATTTCCCATAGTCCATTGTGCCTTACTTTTTTCTCGTGATCACATGACAATCTTTCAAATGAAAGTCAAAATGCCAGAATCGGTGGGTCACTGTGAAAACTGTCTAAATATGAGAATATAAAGGGTGGCAGGTAGGTGAAACTTACATAAATGAAGAGATAAATGAAAAATGAACAAATTGATACCCGATTTATATAATTCCAAGGCCGTCCGTTGGCACCAGAAGCGACGAAGCAGCGCATCTATTTTAGACGGGCAAATATCCACTTTTTGATATGGGACGAGCTCTGACGTCCCACGGCCCCAGCTTGTCTGGCAAAACAGCCGTTGGACGTCAGAGTAATCTCGGACTACCTCTCAGATATGTGTTATTTAATTTATAATACTGAATGTTCTGTTATTACTGTCTATTAAATTTCAAATTCAAAGTAATAAACTATGTCGTCTTGTACATAACAATCATCCGTATTTATTAAAGCACACTCTTGAGCAAGCGTCTCCGTGAAGGGTAATAGAGTATTTGCCATGGGATAGAGTAAATTGTCTCCCTCGTATTAACCAATCAAAATCTGGCATTTTAACATGAAGTATAATAAAAGGCTATATACATTAAAGTCAGTTATTTTACCTGGGAACAGTATATCTAACGGGAAATAAATCTGATAGGCTTTTCAGTATAAGATTGATAAAATCCCGAACTTTACGAGACTTCGCGAGATTTATAGAATTTGGAAGCGTCTGACTGAAAAACTATCAGAACTGCTCAATAAATTAACCACATAATTGCAAACATTCAACAATTACAATGAATTGGTAAGTTTTATCGTAAAGTACATGTAGATATATTTTGTCATATAAAATGACCAATATAAGTGTGATTTATTTGATGTGAATTGATTTATAATGGTTTGTGAAATTCACGGTTACTGGGAATGCCATCAACGCCTTTTTTTTGGTTACCCGTTTGCATTCTGTACCCTTCTGTGATGAAATGAATGCGATTATGACAAATTTGAAGTGACAGATTACAAGTTTGATACACTGGCATCACTTATTACTTAGTTTGAATGACATTTTATTGATATTAACAAAAATAACGTGTCATCATTCACGGTTATACTGGGAATGCCATGTCACATGTCCGTTTCCGTATCGTGTCATTTATTAACTATGACCCGACGATAAAATCGGCTATAATTAGGTAGCGTCAAGTCCCGTCAATATATATGTTCCTGATTTTACAGTTAAATCTATTTTCAATGTCTAAAAAAAATCAATAAGAGAAAATTATATGAGAATATATATTTTGCTGTAAGGTTAAAATTCAGAATATCAACAAAGTATCACTCAATAATAAGATAAATACAAGGATGTGACAAAAAAATATTGGAGAGAGTTCACATTTTAGCCAAGTAAATTTGGGCTACACAAAAGACCTGAATGTGGGCATGAAAAGACAATAGACCTGAAAATATAAATGTACGTTTTGATTTATTAAAATTTTAAGAACTTTTGTATTTCACATTTGAAGTATATTTCAGGAAAAGTTTACTTTTTATTTACAAAAAAAGGATAATTTGAAATATTTTTTTGGTGCAGAAACTCTGACCTGAACAGGGAATGAACAGACCTGAACAGGGAATGAACAGACCTGATGGACCTGAAATTCTACTGTCACGATTAGGTCATACTTTGTGTAGCAGCACACTGATTCACTCATAAAATACACAGAGAATTATATCATCAAAATGCTGGACTTTTTATTATCAACAACATATTTGTAACCGTTGAGTTTTGTGTTTGATATTTTAGCAGACAGTTGCTATTCAAATGACCAATAGGTAATACATGTAATTGTTCACCCCTACTGGCTGACTTGGTTTTGTACACATACGAAGCAGAATTCATGCAAAACTTTCTCACAGACAAAAAAAAATCTTGCAATGAACTTTAATTTCACTTTGTCTGTACAGCAATACTTATATCATTATATTATCATGTGACTTTTATGGCGGGAAAAGTGTGATTTTGTTAGGGAAAGATTATTGTTAAACAGATTACTAAAACATCAAATTTTTTTCTAAACTAGTTATGCCTCCACCGCAGCAGAGGGGGCATTAAGTGTTACCCTTGTCCATACGTACTGACGTACAAAATTACCAAAATTAGTTTCCGTTCTCTAACTTTAGTTTGCCTCAACCAAATGTTATGAAACTTATACACAATGCTTATTACCACAAATCATAGATCAAGTTTGAATTTGGGTGGCATCACTTTTACAATTCTTGAGTTATGTCCCTTTATAACATTATATGCAAGTGGGGGCACCATCTGTGTCCCATGGATACATTCTCCATTTATTGCAAGTGGCAAACTTACATTTGGTGTTCAGTTCTGCTACCTCTCAGCTAAACCAGAATAAAAGGAGTAGGCCCAGTAAGACCCCTTTTTGGCCCCAAAATATAGCAGTTTTACAAAATTGTTAAAATGTAAATCTTTAGCTATTTATTGGAAAGAAGAATACTTCTGTTACATAAATATGTGCTGTTTTTGACAATACAATGCACATGTATCGGGTACTAGCATCATTAAGTCATGCTAAATTACTGAAATCTTCGAAATTTTCGCATTTTGGTTAATTTTTAGACGGTTTCCGTCTGAAATGGAAGTGGCCGCATTTGTGTTCATTCTTAATATTTAAATGTAAATATATTTGATGATAATACATAACATATATAAAGGTTGAGAATGAACACGGATGCGGCCACTTTCATTTTTGACAAAAACCATCTGAAAAGTGACATATTATGGCATATTTGATAGATTTTTCATATTTAAGCTTGAATTTGAGCGTCTTTAATGACTAAATCAGTTCAAATCTTTCACATAAACTAATTGAATCGACTGAAGTAGACACTTAAGTGTTTAAAAAGTGTCCAAAATCTCATCAGATGAACCTGAATTTTGAGGCCAAAATCGGCCCTTACCGGACCTACTCCTTTGACATACAAGTCCGGAAAAAATAACTGGCTTGGAACCAATGGTCTGTACAAATATTTTGGTATTTGATTAAATGTAGGTTTGACAATTTATTTTCATTTTTCTAATTAGTATCCTATTTTTTTTACAGAGGAGAAAAAGACAGCCATTCGCCATGCAGAGAGAAATATTGAAGAAGCAAACTTCATTGTAAGTGTACTCTTGTTAAAATTACATTATATATATATTATATAATTTTCTTAATGCATGTTTTCTACTCTGTGACAATGCTATGCAAATATTTCTCTGTAGTGTCCACTCTATCTTCTATTTATCCTACGGGTTAAATCTCTTACTTTATAGAGCAAAGCTACTTTCATCAAGTTTTTCTATTTCTTGCTAATAGTACTGTATAATCCGCACCCTGGCAATCTTGATTTTGGAGAAAAAAACACGGACGATAGTGAATACACAACTGAATTTGTTTCAAAGTCATATTCTTTAGTGATATCTATTTTAAGTAAGGATTTTCCGCACACACTCATCGTATTTGTTTGCGTTTTACACGTTCTATTCTGATATCTGGTTAATGAAAAATACAACTTTACGATTGTTTTTCTTTTGATTTTGGCTTATTTCAACACTTGTAAAGTGTTTTAGAATCATTTACAAGCATTTTCAACTTCTAATCGATGATGGAAAACGGCGTTTTCCATGAAAATACTGCAAATGATCACACACATTTTGAAATTACCAGAGTTCCCATAGACGTTTTCAACAAGTAAAAAACAGTTTTTTTCCTAAATTCCTGGTGGCGGAAAGGGGGGTGCGGACAATATACCAACGCGGACTTAACAAGGCCGATTACAGTAGTACCTGAGAAACAGATCAAACCACAAAATCTTAACAATGACCAGTGAACCATGGAAATGAAGTCAAGGTCATATGAACCCTTCCAGTCAGACATGTACACCTTACAAATTACAATCATTCCATACACCAAATATAGTTGACCTATTGCTAATAGTATCTGATAAACTGACAAAATTTACAAAATTTATCATTGACCAATGAAAATGAGGTCAATATATAAATAACACATAGCTGAGAGGGTGAAGAGCAGATTGTTACCCTGAGAAAACATTGTCAGCTGAGGCGAAGCCAAGGTTGACAATGTTTTTTCAAGGGGTACCAATCTGCTCTATCACCCTCTCAGCTATGTGTTATTTAATTTATTATACTGAATGTCCTATCATTATTGTATTTTACTGTTGAATTTTAGATTTAAGGTATTTTACTATGACGTCATGTACTGTATCATTACAACGTTACAGATATTAGAAAAATCAACAGAAGTGAAGCAAGATGTTTTTTTTTTAATTATTTTGACAGTCATATAAAAAAAGTTCTGAGGCCAAAACGTAGAACTTGAGCATTGTCTTTACTTATTTGATGAAATTCAATTTATTGTCCTTTAAATTATCGATTTTTGATTGGTCTGCACGAGAGGGTGACATTCAAAAAATTGTCTCCCGCTCTACCATGGGATAGAGTAAATTGTCTCCCTCGTATTAGCCAATCAAAATCTGGCATTTTAACGTGAAGTATAATAAAGTCATATATACCCTGCCAGACAGACATGTACACCTCACAATTGTTTCAATACACAATATATAATTGACCTGTTGCTTATAGTATCTGAGAAATAGACACAACCACAAATACTAAAAATTGTCCAATGAACCATAAAAATGAGGTTGAGGTCAGATGAAACCTACCAGACGGAAATGTACTCCTGATAATCATTCCATACACCAAATATAGTGGCCCTATTGCTTATAGTATCTGAGAAATAGACAAACCACAAAAACTAAACATTGTGCAATAAACCATGAAATTGAGGTCAAGATCAAATAAAACCTGTTGGTCAGACATGTACACCTTACAATCATTCCACACACCAAATATAGTTGACCTATTGCTCAAAGTAACTGACTATCTGAGATACGGACTTGACCACTAACTTCAACCTTGATCACTGATCCATGGAATAAGGTCAAGGTCAGGTGAACCCTACCTGATGGCCATGTAGACGTTGCAAGGAACCCATATACCAAGTATAGTTATCCTTTTACTCATAATAAGTGAGTATTTCGCATAACAAAAAAAATCAAGCAGTCACTGAACCATGAAAATGAGGTCAAGGATAATGGACATATGACAGACAGAAACTTCGTAACATAAGGTATCTGCACACGAGGTAAAAAGCGTCCAGGTCTTCTACCTTCTGACATATAAAGCTTTAACAGGGATGATTCTACTATATAGTTTAGATATAAATTATAGTTGCCTAAATCTGTGATTTTGTTTTGTATTTCACTTTTTCTGAATTGGGAAATTAAATTCACATCAATTTTTTTGGGGCCGCCTGCCGATTTTAGGGCCGCTCAGCGTAAAATCTGGATAAGAATGCTGTCTGCGATTTAAATATGTCAACATGCGATTTTAGCAGCCGGATTCAATTGATGAAAATGTTATAGGAGTATTTGATCTCGTAAAAGCAGATCGCCCAGCAGGTTGATAAAAAAGATGCTTTTGTCAAATGGGTCTTTTTAAAGCAGACCTCGGCAGAGAGCAAAATTTAAATGTTGATATAACATTGATGAATTTAATGGGTGCCGATCTTGTAAATGCAGTTTGCCCAGCAGAGCCGGTTATATAATATGATGAAAACTTGTTTTGTAAAAGAAATTATTATATATTTTGTCAGGCTCCATTTCTTCAAAAGACAAAAGTTTGAGCATTTTTGAAAATACATGTGGATGATAGATCATTCATGAAATAGGATGTCAACATTATGGAACCGTTTCAAAAGTTGTAAAGATGATCCAAATAATATTTAAATACAATGGTTCAATGCTTTAATTTCCTGTTTCTTAGGGTTACACCTAAAGAAAAAAATGGCAACCTTCTACATATTAAACAGCCAGCAAAAACCACAAAATTATCTTATCATGCAATTAAGTACTTAAACTTTTGTACATAGCTTTTCTGAATTCGACAATTGGCCAGTTCAATTTGAAATCCATTTGAATCAATGTAAATTTATAAAGTTTAAGATGACCTGTTCAAAAAAATACCCAATGGATGATTTTTTCCAGTGGTTATTGTTAGCAGTTATGCATGTAAAAGGCATAGGTTACCGTAGCAAAGATGCAAGCCTACAAAAGATAGTGCATCATGTGCAATGATCTTCATGTAATAACTTTCAAGCGTTCTGGTAATCATATATATCATAATCAGAACCCTGTCCAGGATTATTCAAAATGTTTTAACTTCTTACCGCAGTGTACAGGTGAAACTTAATATACATTTTCCGTGTTTACAGGAATATTATGTTATTTCGTCTTAGATTTTATGTATAAAAAATTCCCAAGGGACCCATTTGAAAACACCTGGAATCATCCCTGTTTAAACAAATAGTTTACACTGCCGCCGGATTGTAATACCTATGTTTCGCATACTGCGACTTTCGTCGCAGGCGAGACAAAAATGAAATAATGTGTCAAGAATAATTAAAGTGAAAATCATTTTTTGATAATAGACTTAGTATATTTTTCTAAAATTGGTATAAAAAGCTCAAAGAATCAAGCCTTCAATGAAATAAATTTAGTGTGGAAAAGATCAGAAAAATTTGGGTCCCTAATTTTGTTATTACTGTACATTTCAGCTACAGGAAATGGAAGGTGAAGCAAAGATGGCCCCTATTTCTTACAGATCTCAACAAATATCCAGAATACGAAACTACAGACGAGACTTAGATAATATAACCAAAAATGTGGTAAGTAGGACTAATGGAGAAAAACAGTTAATATTAACAACAAAGAAACCTAACACCTCAAGTTTATCATCTAAGGGGGAGGATTTTGAAAATTTATATTCTGGCCTTGTAAGAACTGAAAAAATAACTTTGTCCAAAACAAAATTAAAATGAATAGTTTACCCAACAAAAGGCAGGATATAATTGTGTAGAAAAGGAAAAGTTAAATATATTTTATGCAGCTAAGCCATGAAAAAAATTAATGGCAAAAGGTGAAAATAAATGAATATTCAGTCAGAAAAAAATCCTCAAGCAGCCCCCCCCCCCCCCTCTAAAATATGAAAGGGTTATCACCTTATTAACTTATCCAGTCCTCTTGAGTCATCCAATATCGCATACAAAATAAACCCTAAAAACCCAATCTCAATACTTGTTTGCATCTCATAGCAAATTTCATTATATTTTGATAGTCTTAACCTTTTATTAACCAACCATAAGTGACTGCATATAACCTTGTTATATGGATTTCATTTTGCAGAAGAAAATAACAAATAAAAATTAAGGGTGTAGGGGTGAATTTCCTTACCTTCACATGTCAAGAATGCAAAAAAAAAACCAAACAACCATAAGCATGTATAAAGGCTTTTTGTTGACAAGTTATAGTTACTAGGAAATTACTTTAAAAACAAACAAACCTGGATTCAGTTTTCATGCTTGACCACAAACCCACCAGCCCAGGCTTGTAAAATTTCAATCAGGGCCTGTAAGAATTTACTACAGGCCAATATATTTTTTTCTCAATTTTCTAAGAAATGAGCCATTGGCCTGTGGCTTAGGTTTATCGTGAAGAGAATGGATTTGCAATTGAAATTTAAATGGTTGATTTTGTTTTGCAGAAGAAGAGTAAAGGAGCTACAGGAAGAGGATCTGATAATTTTGGTTTTGACAGAGATGAGGTAAACTTTAACAATGAGAAAAAATTGAGTAATACTAACACAACAAAAAATTGAGGTGGTCGCACTGTTTATCAGACAATTTTAATCATTTTTCAAGATATAATTTTCATCATGAAATTCATCTTCAAATTTACCATTTCTTTCAAATTTTTTAAAACCTTAAAGAAGATTTTAGAAGACAATTCAATTGTTCAGAAATGTTAACGTTTAAAACACAATGCAAGGTTGAAAGAGGTGCACTCATACATTGAAATGTTCCTAAATATCCATTTGAAAAGTAAAGTTACATCTATATTTAAATAGCAAATGGCAGCTTCTCAGAGAAACAAACTTTATCAGGGAACTCAGTCTTTGAATCGAGCCACAGATAGTATTGCAAGGACACATCAGATAGCAGCAGAAACTGATGAAATAGGTGTGGAAATTATTGACGAGTTAGGAAGACAGAGAGAAACGTTAGGAAGAACACGGGATAGGGTATGTCAATATTAAAATGTATACTGTGGATTCATTTATTTTCGTGGTTACCATTTTTCGTGGTTGAGGAAAATTTGCATATTCGTGGATATTTAATTTCATGGTTTTGGCAAAGTCTGCATACACTCCTTTAGAAAATTTGTAATTCGTTGAACATTTCAATTCGTGGTTCTCCTGTACCCACGATATCCACGAAAATTAGTATCCAACGAATATTAATGAATTCACAGTATAAAATGTTTGATGGATCTACTTTATTTGGAAATAAGTAGAACATTATGTATTTTTTAGTGCTTTGTGTCGATCTGACCAGTCAAGTTTTTTTCACCTGATTTGATCGTTTGTTCTTATATTGGGCTGTTAGATCACTGTCCCAGTTTGAGGTATGGGTTGTGCTTGATAATTGAAATTTGTCAGTTGTCATAACCTTCAATCCCATTCTCTTTTTCCCAGAATGTGACCTACTGAATAAGACTTATCACCGGGTTCGTACTTAAATGAACAACACGATGGGTGCCACATGTGGAGCAGGATCTGCTTACTCTTCAGGAACACCTCAGTCTTTAGTTTTCTATGTTTTCACTGTCATTCATAAGAACAATAAAACGTTATCAAGGACAACCACATTATTCCTGAAGTTACCAAACATGAGTTAGTCATTAGGACTATTCTATTTAAACAAATGTGGGTGGATATGAACGGAGGTTTAAATTTTTGATATGGGTCACAGGTCATCTATGGTTTTATGGACATTTGATGTATGCAAAATTAATCTAAGAAGGTGTGTTTGTTATTATTAGAATTTGATGGTCCCATCCTACCATCCCACATCAGATTTAATTGAATAACCCCTAGCCAATAAGATAAAGCTAGCGTTTTTCTACAAACTACTTTTTATACGACCGCAAAAAAATTTTTGTGGTCGTATATTGGTATGACGTTGGCGTCGTCGTCGTCGTCGTCCGAAAACACTCTAACTTTAGTTTAAGTGAATGGATCTCTTTTAAATTTTACCATAAGGTTCAATACCACAAAAGGAAGGTTGGGATTGATTTTGGGGGGTTATGGTACCAACAGTTAAGGAATTAGGGGCCAAAAAGGGGCCAAAAAAAAGCATTTTTGTAACTTCCAGACATAACTTGTGTGTTAGTGTATGGATCTCTCTGACATTGTACCACAAGGTTCCATATCACAAAGGGAATGCTGGGATTGATTTTGGGGGTAATTGCCTCAAAATTTTAGGAATTAGGGGGCAAAAAAGGGGCAAAAAACAAGCATTTTTCTAGTTTTCTAGTTTCATGACAATAACTTGTGTTCAAGTGTATGGATCTCTCTGAAATTGTACTGCAAGGTACCATACCACAAAGGGAAGTCTGGGATTGAGTTTGGTGGTGATGAATCATAAGGGGGTTAAAAAAATTTGGGGGAGGGATTTTTTTTTTCTTTAAAATTTTCCATTTTAAATTGGTTATTTCTGATTTATATATAAAAGCAAATAATAATGATATGGTTTGAATAGGTAAATTAAAAAATGTTAAGTTCTTAGACCACATTCATTTTGTGTCAGAAACATATGCTGTGTCAAATATTTAATCACAATCCAAATTCAGTGCTGTATCAAGCTTGAATGTTGTGTCCATACTTGCCCCAACTGTTCAGGGTTAGACCTCTGCGGTCGTATCAAGCTGCGCCCAGTGGAGCATTTTATCGTTTTGTGTTTTAATATTTACCTTTTCTTTTTCAGCTGGTTGATACAGACTCAAATTTATCTAAAAGTAGAAAAATTTTGAAAACCATGGCAACGAGGTAAGATTTATACAGTGAAAAATGGTATTTGCTGTTGTTTTTATGGCAGCATCTTAGTTATCTTCTGCAACCAAGAAAACAAAAGGGAGACAATTTTAATCTTCTAAATAAACTCATCATAGATACCAGGATTACATTTTTTTTCGCCAGACATGTGTTTAGTCTTCAAAAGACCCAACAGTGACGCTTGAATCAAAAAAGTTAAAAAGGCCAAATAAAGTATGAAGTTAAAGAGCATTGAGGACTCAAAATTCAAAACAGTTTTGCCAAAATATACTGTCATTGGTATGTATAATGTGATTTCATGTATCTTACTATACATATTCCAATGATAAGTATATTTTCATGATATTTGGTCTTATTGTTGGAGGAAACTTGAGTGCCAAGGTTAATCTTTTAGAGTGTCTCTGTCGAACTTTAAGCACAAAAAAGGGGAAAAGATACCAACCGGGAATCTAATACCATAAGTTGAAGAGAATTATACAAGACTTTGGCCAAAAGAAAAATGCTGCATAGAAATTTATGTCGGAATAGTGATAAATTTCCCTTCCCTCAGTTACAACAGTTTGATTTAAATCTAATTTTGCAATAACATGTGTTTTAAAGAACTTAGACGATACCAAGTGGTAATCATAAGTTGAAGAAAGGAAGTTTGTGCCATGGTCAGAAGAAAAAGTAAAAAATAAAACACTAGACTGAAAACTAAAGATTGAGCAACAGAAATCCCAACAATAAAACTTTATTGAAAAAGCAAATACAGCTTATAAGATACATACATTCAGAGGTTTGTAGATTGCCTATTTTAAATGCAAATTATCTGTTGAAAGTGTTAAAAAAAGAAAGGTGAAACTGTGGATTCATTTATTTTCATGGGTACCATTTTTTATGGATTGAGGAAACCTTGCATTTTTCACGGATATTTGATTTCATGATTTTGTCAAAGTCTGCATGAATTCCTATGGAAATTTTTAAGTCTGGTTCCTGTGTGACCACAAAGTCCATGAAAATAGGTATCCAACGAGTAATGATGAATACAAGTTTACCATTCAAATAAACATCTTTACTTCTTTCCTATTTTCAGAGTGATGACCAACAAAATGATTTTAATTGTGATAATCCTGCTAGAAGTTTGTGGACTAGGTGGAGTTATATATTGGAAATTCTTTACTAAACATTCATGATCACAGAACCATAACAACTAGGCTGGTGTTTAGGACAAACCTCCCAATGGTCATTCCGTGGACTAATATTGTATGAAATTCTGGATATAAAATCAGATAAAACATAGAAGGTCCAAATTTTACTTTTTAATTGGGAAATTTTAATATTATACTGTGATATTGTTAAAACAGATTTGATTACTGTAAATTCAGAAATTAATGCTTGAGAATCCTTGACCTTGGGCAGTATATGGAAGAAGAAGAAGACCACTGATATCTAATTAATGCGATTGCTATAATTTTATGAAGGAAAATCATTACTGAAATTATGAATGCAAGTTTTTATTATTGTTAACCTGATACTGTCACTATTTTCAAATTAATAAAGACATCGCAATAATTTCTGAATTTACAGTTCTGTAATGCATACTTTTTTGTTTCTGTATGTGAGTTTATGTATACTCAGAATGTGTTATTCTGATTTTGTTTGTTTGCATGTGTTTACTCTATTTTGATGGATGTACATGTATGTATATGTCTGAAAAAAAGTGAGAGAGAAAGAAATTTCATTGCATAATTGACTGACTGTAATAATGAAATGAGAGAGAAAGAAAAGTTGAAATGAATAAGTGACAGACTATGACGATGAAAGTGAGAGAGAAAGAAAGTCCCATAAAGTCTAAATGAATAATTGACAGACTATGATAATGAAAGTGAGAGAGAAAGAAAGTCACATTGACTGACTGTAATAATGAAATGAGAGAGAAAGAAAAGTTGAAATGAATAAGTGACAGACTATGACGATGAAAGTGAGAGAGAAAGAAAGTCCCATAGCATAATTGACTGACTTTAATAATGAAATGAGAGAAAGAAAGTCAAAATGAATAAGTGACTGACTATAATGATGAAAGTGAGAGAGAAAGAAAGTCAAAATGAATATATGACTGCATGAATCCATGAATAAATTAGCTTATTGACATATATGCATATTTTCATGTATTTATCTCAAATATACACATACAAGTATATTTCCTTTTTCATTTACTTGAATCAATAGACCAGTGTCAGCAGTAGCCTTCACTTGGTATGCATTAATGCATCACCACTGTTGACAATTGTACTTTATCCTTAGTTTAACTTGAGTTATCAAATATGGAGATTGCCTATGCTGTTTTGTCACCTGACCTTGTCTTCTATTACCATGCTTCAGTGGTCAGGTCAGAGTTCAATTTACTGTGTAAAGGAGTATATGTCAGTATGACTTTATTTGCATATGGCATTGACTTCACATTCCAGGTGGTTTCAGACTTAGGTCTGTTTCATGGGTAAGTTTTCAGGCTCATATCTGCTCCTAGATAATTATGCATGACAAGTCAATATTAATAGTGTAAATGTATTTGCTGTAAGGGATCTATCTGTCTCAAATATTTCATATGTACCTGACCTCATTTTCATTCTCTAGTGATTTGATTTAGCTTCCAAATATTATGAAGTGTCTATTGTTACGAATGAAAATAACATTTTATAAGTTTTGTATTTCTGAAGGTCCTCTCTTGATTCACCTTCATCAGAAACACTAAAACCCAATTAATTAAAAGCTAGGGGTGTATAAAAATGCAAGGAGGATGCCTCCGACATATAACTTGAGGCTTTTAATTCAGTTTAATGCTTCAGTAGTGAGCTTATGTATTTTGGATGAATGTGTATCAAATAAATGTTAAGCATTTCTATACAGAAACAATAAATATTTTTAAATTATTGTCGATATATATTAATTTTTTTTGGATTGAGAAAAAAATCCATTTTTTTTTTACAGATGCTTGATTTCTGCATACCTGCTGTTGGAATTATTTTGTTTATTGACATTTAAATTTGTGGTATACCTTTAAGGAAGAAATCTTTGAAACCTAATGCTTTTTGAATATTCTTGGATGACCATTCTAACTTTTTCATCATATCGGACATCAAAAATTTCTTATCATACATAATAGGGATGGAGTCAAGGCCAGAACCATCAATTGTTCCATATTGCAATAAATTTTGGATGTATGTTTATCAGATACCTATCAATTGCATAATCCTGTTACTTGCATAAGAATTTAGATGATCAATGGGTGGCTGGTTAATGTCCAGTGGCAAATTAATTGCATTTTCAGGACAACATGTTCAAAGTGATATGAATATAAACCTTGCTTTGTACTAGACACACTGAGTAGGATTTTTAACATGATAGTCTCAGGGTAACAACAGTCTGCAGGAAGACATGTCAGGGTAACAACAGTCTGCAGGAAGACATGTCAGGGTAACAACAGTCTGCAGGAAGACATGTCAGGGTAACAACAGTCTGCAGGAAGACATTTCAGGGTAACAACAGACTCCAACAGTCTGCAGGAAGACATGTCAGGGTAACAAGTCTGCAGGAAGACATTTCAGGGTAACAACAGTCTGCAGGAAGACATGTCACCCTCCCTAAATGTCTCATGCTTGGCAGAGCAGCAGCAAATACAAATATTCAAGGCTTTGGTTTGACCTGGCATGGAATCAATCCCCCAACCTGTTGTGATAACATTACAAAGTAATTAATTCGATACACTGCATGTGCATGTTGATCTTCATAACAATCTTAAACAAGAGTGCACACGCTGAAATGTCTTGCCTACTATACTGACCATTGATTTTATGTTGATAGTCCTAAATATAAAGTTTTACTACAAGTATCACATAAACATTTATGATCCGAGAAAATGAGGTCAAGGTCAGATATACCAAGTTGGAAATACATGTACACCTTTAATACAATCATTCCATACACCGAATATGGATGCCCTATTGCTTATAATATAAAAGAAACAGACCAAACCATGGAAATTATATATTGACCAATGAACCATGAAAATGAGGTGAAGGTCATATGATACCTGCCAGACAGACATATACACCTTACTATCATTCCATACACCAAATATTGTTGACCTATTGCTTAAAGTTTAAGAAAAACAGACCAAAACACAAAACCTTAACACTGAACAATGAACCGTGAAAAGGTCATGGTCAAATAAAACCTGCCAGACTGACATGTACATTGTAAAATATTTCCATACACCAGATAAAGTTGACCTATTGCATACAGTATTAAAAAAACAGACCAAAACACAAAAACTTAACTTTTGCCACTGAACCATGAAAATGAGGTCAAGGTCAGACGACACCTGCCAGTTAAACATGTACACCTTACAATCATTACATACACCAAATATAGAAGACCTATTGCTTATAGTATCTGAGATATGGACTTGACCACGAAAACTTAATATTGTTCACTGATCCATGAAATGAAGTCGAGGTCAAGTGAAAACTGTCTAACAGGCATGACGACCTTGCAAGGTATGCACATACCAAATATAGTTATCCTATTACTCATAATAAAAGAGAAATTAACATTACAAAAAATCTTAACTTTTTTTTCAAGTAGTCACTGAACCATGAAAATGAGGTCAAGGACAATGGACATATGACAGACAGAAACTTAATATCATAAGGCATCTATATACAAAGTATGAAGTATACAGGTCTTCTACCTTCTGAAAAATTAAGCTTTTAAGAAGTTGGTTAACGCCGCTGTCGGATCACTTTCCCTATGTTGAGCTTTCTGCGACAGAAGATGCAGGCTCGACAAAAATATCCATTTAGTATTTGAATAAACTCAATCTGTATAAAAGTGTCACATTTTATATTCAAGATGTTTTCACTGACAAAACACAGATCTTCTCCATGACTTGTGGATACCATTATACCAAGTTCAGGTGACGAAAGAAAATTTTACTCATGCCATTTATATGTAAAAAGAAGTTTAATGTAGTTCAACTTGAAGATTGCAAAGAGCACCTCTTCCCAACCTCATCATCAAAGGCACATTAATTGATACCATATAAGGGATTTGAAATATAAACAACAGCAAAATCAATTTATATTTTAATTTAAAAATCAACAAAGTTCAAAGTTCATGTAAATAAATCAACAATAAAAGAAACAAAAAGCTAGTATCACATTAAAATTGTTATTAGGTTTTATACTGATTGGGTTATTATTAGGGATTCCTGCCTTTTGGGCCTTTTTTGGGCTAAAAATTTAAATAATACAAGATGTATTTGGTGTAAAGATTATAAAGTATAAAAGATTGAATAAAAAGATTAATAGGGCCCTTATTATAGCATCCTGTCTTGTTTCAACTCTGATCTTGTTATTCTTAAATTTAGCATGCACAAATGTTCTTTTAATATTACAGCTCTTTTCATAATGCTGGCAAGACAAAGGTTTGTTTGGCTTGCTTGCTTTGTTTGTATCAATGTTTGCTCAAGCATTGTAAATAAGATTGACATCTGAAAACAACATAAAAAGGCGGATTTAAACTTGTATACATTATATTTAAATTTGATTGGACATTATCAAATAATCAAATTTACCTATACACAGGTTTAATTCCGCCTACTTATATTGTTTGTAGATGTCAATCTTAATTACAATGCTTGAGCAAACATTTATACAAACAAAGCAAGCAAGCCAAACAAACCTTTGTCTTGCTAGCATTATGAAAAGAACTGTAAGATTCTACAACAATATCATGTTTACGTGTTTAAATAAATCCTCTACTTTCTGAATCTCAAATGAAAACCAATCCCAGCAGCTTCTACCTAAGGACTATTCCAAAATTATTTGTGTGGGGTTGGAAGGTATCAAATATTTATAACATAAGGGTGGTAAGGTTCAAAAACAACTTTCCACACAATAATGCATTACATTTTTTATATAAATTGTATAGTTGGGGGTCTTGCAAAACCATGCCTTTCAACACTCCACACCCACACAGACATTTGATTTAGAATAGCCAATAGAATCCAGGTAAATAACAATTATGACTAAGGATCATTAATAAATAATCTTACACCATTCTGAACATATATTGCACTCTATTTTAAAATTTCATTAAGAAACCCAATAACCACTAGAAAAGCAATAATATAATAGTACTTGGACAAAGCTTTTCAAGAACCAGTCTCATCTGTTTACATATACCTCTTTTCATTTGAATAATCAGTAATGACTTTTATGTGAAAAATTAAACAGGTATAATAAATTCCTGACTAATCTAAACATGGCAAAGCTACTTATTTATTTTGTCTGGCCTAAGAATGAAATTAAGAGGGACAGACCTTTAATAAGGGAGACAGCTCTTGTCAAATCAGTAATGTGTTTGTAATAGGCCATTTCATACATGCATTTATGTGAAATAGAATTAAAATAATCTATGGTACTTAAAAGCTTAGAACATGTTTATATGAAAATGGTTGATACAAACCTTATACAAATTACTGGTTTAATATCTTAAATTTATGCTAATGAAAAGTTACAGACTAAGATTTCTTCGCCTAAACAAACAGATGTACGAGGGTCTTGATGGGGTTAAGAGGGTCTGGATTGGGATCCTTCATTCTTGTAATCTAATTTTTTTGGGACATTTTCTCTATTCTTTATATTGAAGCACTCAAATTGTCTTTATTCTTTATTATTTTGGCCTATTTTTATTTTTTGGCTCATTTTTTCTATACTCTTTGTCCATTTTTCTGTACTCTTGGTCCATTATTCTCTATTCTGTAAACCCCATCCAGACCCTCATGTATAACAGACCTTTCAGAGACTGATTCACACAAGACTACAACCAAGTAAGAATAAAGTAGGTTTACAATTCCTTGCACTTTACTTTAAAATAAAAATAAAAAAATAAACTTATTACCGTATGTTCTGATTAAAATGGCAAATTCTAAGTATATATTACATGATTGTACCTACATATTTAAAGTTTTGATTAAACTTCATTTTTAACTGTACATTTATATATATGATACATCCTATCACCATTTTAAAGAAATCCCAAATTTGAATTTAAATTCAAACAAGTATATAAACCCAAATTAGGCATTTCACAATTATATGATCTTTTAAACTGCCCTAAAATGATATGACATTAACATTATATAAAAAGTAGCATTTTTATTTGTCAACTTGCCAAGTATTTTTTTCTGGCTACTTGCCAAATACAGGTATTTATTTTCAGCCTATCATTTATGGTAGTATAAAAGTACATGTAAAACAAATAATGAAGGAACATTTTTGTATAAATGTTGTTTATAACAATCTATTTCCTGAAAAAAAAACCCAAAAAACATATGTTAATGGCCTTATTTTCAAGCTATAGGTTGTGCAAATTTGTTGTTGTTTTGTTTATTCAGATTAATAAATTATTGTGACAAGTAAGAATATAAATAATAGAATCTTAAATTATACTTAATAAAGTGAAGAAGATAGTCTGTATTAAATGCTTTAAGAAAAAATTCGTAAGGGTTCCGCGGAACCCAGTGTCTCGCCTACTTTTTCTGTTAATTGCAGGCTCAACAAAAATGACAAAGTAAATCAATAAAAATATTCCACTTGATACTATCTTTTGATTGTAAGAAGCTTCTGTCCAAGTTTGGTAAAAATCAAGGATGGTTTATGAATCTAATAAATGTTTAAAAACTTTAACTGCAGACTGAATGTAATGTTAACTGGGAAAAAACAAAATTTCCTTCTAGATACTAGCTTTTGATCATAAACAAGCTTCTGTCCAAGTTTGGTACAAATCCAAAATAGTATAAGAAAGTTATTAAAATTTTAAAAACTTTAACCACAGAGTGAATGTGTTGTTTCCTGGCAGAAAATCTAAGTCCATTTAAAAGTAAAATAAGGAAAAAATGGATTTATTTTTTTACAAAATTTACTTCTGGATACTATCTTATGATCATAAACAAGCTTCTGTCCAAGTTTGGTACAAACCCAGGATATTTTAAGAAAGTTATTAAAATTTTAAAAACTTTAACCACAGAGTGAATGTCATATTTCCCGGCAGAAAAACTAAGTCCATTTATAAGTAAAATACGGAAAAAATGGAATTTTATTTTTACAAAATTTACTTCTGGATACTACCTTGTGATCATAAACAAGCTTCTGTCCAAGTTTGGTAGAAATCCAGGATAGTCTAAGAAAGTTATTAAAATTTTAAAAACTTTAACCACAGAGTGAATGTGTTGTTTCCTGGCAGAAAATCTAAGTCCATTTAAAAGTAAAATAAGGAAAAAATGGATTTATTTTTTTACAAAATTTACTTCTGGATACTATCTTATGATCATAAACAAGCTTCTGTCCAAGTTTGGTACAAACCCAGGATATTTTAAGAAAGTTATTAAAATTTTAAAAACTTTAACCACAGAGTGAATGTAATATTTCCCGGCAGAAAAACTAAGTCCATTTATAAGTAAAATACGGAAAAAATGGAATTTTATTTTTACAAAATTTACTTCTGGATACTACCTTGTGATCATAAACAAGCTTCTGTCCAAGTTTGGTAGAAATCCAGGATAGTCTAAGAAAGTTATTAAAATTTCAAAAACTTTAACCACAGAGTGAATATTTGTGGACGCCGCCGCCGACGCCGACGGAATGTAGGATCGCTATGTCTCGCTTTTTCGACTAAAGTCGAAGGCTCGACAAAAAGAATAAAATGCTCCGCAGGGCGCAGCTTGATACGACCGCAGAGGTCGAACCCTGAACAGTTGGGGCAAGTATGGACACAACATTCAAGCTTGATACAGCTCTGAATTTGGATTGTGATTAAATATTTGATACAGCATAGGTTTCTGACACAGAATGAATGTGTTCTAAGAACTTAAAAATTTTAAATTGGACATTCACCTATTATGGTCCAATATCCAAAATCTAAATACATGGTTAGATTCAGCATATCAAAGAACCCCATATATTCAATTTTTGTTGAAATCAAACAAAGTTTAATTTTGGACCCCGATTTGGACCAACTTGAAAACTGGGCCCATAATCAAAAATCTAAATACATGTTTAGATTCAGCATATCAAAGAACCCTAAGAATTAAATTTTTGTTAAAAATCAAACTAAGTTTAATTTTGGACTCTTTGGACCTTAATGTAGACCAATTTGAAAACAGAACCAAAAATTAAGAATCTAAATACACGGTTAGATTCGGCATATCAAAGAACCCCAATAATTCAATTTTTGATGAAATCAAACAAAGTTTAATTTTGGACCCTTTGGACCTCAATGTGGACCAATTTGAAAACGGGGCCCAAAATCCAAAAACTTAATACACGGTTAGAATCAGCATATTAAAGAACCCCAAGAATTCAAGAATAAAACCCCATTGAAATTGGTCAAGAAATAAGCAATTTATACGAAGTATCTTCTTTTGCACAATACTGTGCAATTGAATATTTCTTGCTATTGCACAATACTGTACAATTGACAATTTCTTGCTATTGCGCGATATTGTGCTATTGCATATTTCTTGCTATTGCACAATACTGTGCAATTGAAGATTTCTTGCTATTGCGCAATACTGTGCAATTGAAGATTTCTTGCTATTGTGCAATACTGTGCAATTGAAAATTTCTTGCTTTTGCACAATACTTGTTATATAATAATTTACACATCCTGTTTGGTGTGTATCTCCTACCATATCATTATTATTTGCTTTTAAATATAAAACAGAAATAACCAACTTAAAATGGAAAATTTTAAAAGAAAAAAAAAAAGGGAAAAAAAAAAAAAAAAAAAAAAAAACCCAAATTTTTTGAACCCCCTTATGATTCATCACCCCCAAACTCAATCCCAGCCTTCCCTTTGTGGTATGGTACCTTGCAGTACAATTTCAGAGAGATCCATACACTTGAACACAAGTTATTGTCTGGAAACTAGAAACATGCTTATTTTTGGCCCCTTTTTGGCCCCTTATTCCTTAACGTTTTGGGCAATTACCCCCAAACTCAATTCCAGCTTTCCCTTTGTGATATTGAGCCTTGTAGTACAATTTCAGAAAGATCCATACACTTACACACAAGTTATTATCATGAAACTAGAAAAATTTGTAAGGGTTCCGCGGAACCCAGTGTCTCGCCTACTTTTTCTGTTAATGGCAGGCTCAACAAAAATGAGGAAGTAAATCAATAAAAATATTCCTCTTGATACTATCTTTTGATTGTAAGAAGCTTCTGTCCAAGTTTGGTAAAAATCCAGGATAGTTTATGAATCTAATAAATGTTAAAAAACTTTAACTGCAGACTGAATGTAATGTTAACTGGAAGAAAACAAAATTTCCTTCTAGATACTAGCATTTGATCATAAACAAGCTTCTGTCCAAGTTTGGTACAAATCCAAAATAGTATAAGAAAGTTATTAAAATTTTAAAAACTGTAACCACAGAGTGAATGTGTTGTTTCCTGGCAGAAAATCTAAGTCCATTCAAAAGTAAAATACGGGAAAATGGATTTATTTTTTTACAAAATTTCCTTCTAGATACTAGCTTTTGATCATAAACAAGCTTCTGTCCAAGTTTGGTACAAATCCAAAATAGTATAAGAAAGTTATTAAAATTTTAAAAACTTTAACCACAGAGTGAATGTGTTGTTTCCTGGCAGAAAATCTAAGTCCATTTAAAAGTAAAATAAGGAAAAAATGGATTTTTTATTTTACAAAATTTACTTCTGGATACTATCTTATAATCATAAACAAGCTTCTGTCCAAGTTTGGTAGAAACCCAGGATAGTTTAAGAAAGTTATTAAAATTTTAAAAACTTTAACCACAGAGTGAATATAATATTTCCCGGCAGAAAAACTAAGTCCATTTATAAGTAAAATACGGAAAAAATGGAATTTTATTTTTACAAAATTTACTTCTGGATACTATCTTATGATCATAAATAAGCTTCTGTCCAAGTTTGGTAGAAATCCAGGATAGTTTAAGAAAGTTATTAAAATTTCAAAAACTTTAACCACAGAGTGAATATTTGTGGACGCAATCGACGGAATGTAGGATCGCTATGTCTCGCTTTTTCGACTAAAGTCGAAGGCTGGACAAAAATGCTTGTTTTTTGTCCCTTTTTTGGCCCCTAATTCCTAATATTTTGAGGCAATAACCCCCAAAATCAATCCCAGCATTCCCTGTGTGATGATATGGAACCTTGTGGTACAATTTCAGAGAGATCCATACACTTGAAAACAAGTTATTGTCTGGAAACTAGAATAATGCTTATTTTTGGCCCCTTCTTGGCCCCTTATTCCTAAACGTTTTGGGCAATTACCCCCAAACTCAATTCCAGCTTTCCCTTTGTGATATGGAACCTTGTAGTACAATTTCAGAAAGATCCATACACTTACACACAAGTTATTGTCATGAAACTAGAAAAATGCTTGTTTTTTGCCCCTTTTTTTGCCCTTAATTCCTAATATTTTGAGGCAATTACCCCCAAAATCAATCCCAGCATTCCCTGTGTGATATGGAACCTTGTGGTACAATGTCAGAGATTCATACACTAACACACAAGTTATGTCTGGAAGTTACAAAAATGCTTATTTTTGGCCCCTTTTTGGCCCCTTATTCCTTAACTGTTGGTACCATAACCCCCAAAATCAATCCCAACCTTCCTTTTGTGGTATTGAACCTTATGGTAATATTTCATAGAGATCCATTCACTTAAACTAAAGTTAGAGTGCGAAAACCAATGTGTCTTCGGACGACGACGACGCCAACGTCATACCAATATACGACCGCAAAATTTTTTGCGGTCGTATAAAAAGGGGTCACAATATTTATTCCCTCATTATATATCAAAGTAATTACATTTATATTTTATACAATCTGTTGTAATATTAAAATTATCTGCATAATCTTCTCTTATAAATCAATTTTTTGTAATTTATTGAATAAAGCAAAAACAATATTTGTATTTGCAAAAAAGTCATAAACATTTTGTCTTCATCTAGCTGAAAAGAGTCACTGATAAATTACATTTCTGTATCAAAATTTGCTAATCTCAGTAATATTTACACTGTTCATTTGTGTACCTTAAAATATATATGAGGACATATATTATAATTACATAAACTTGATCTACTCTTTCCTACGACTAATTTTTAGAGTAAAAAAGCAAATTATTAAATATTTGAGTTAGAACATTATACAAAATTATAACTGAATTTTAAAGAAAATTGTTAAAAATATTATGTAGCATTTTATTACTTAAATCCATTTTCCAATTATTCACATACATGTACATGTACTAATGTTCTCTAAAGTGACAGTTAAAATTGTAAAATCTAATAGAAACACAGACCAAGGCTTCACTTAAAAGGGTCTGGTAAAGCCCTCTTATACTGTTATAAAGACTTGTCAAGATCCTTGGGTATTACTGTAATAATATACACCTTCAAAAAGTTGAATACAATGATTGGGTGACATAACAATTATATAAAAGACAGGAGAATGGAGGGTTGTCAGATTCTGTAATCCAAGGATGGACACAGGATCTGTATATAAATTAGATGGCAACATGTACATAAAATCATACAAAAATATCTAACAAACAATTTAACCAACATATTTTAATGGAAGCCTAAAACCGGTTTTATCAATTCAAACGTATCTAATTCTTTAAAAACTTTTTTCCGTATTTGATTAAATCTTGAAGCACAGTAAAACTCAACCAAACCAAACTTTTGAAACAAGAAATACAATGAATTTTATTTTACAATTTAATCTGTGTTCGCTATCACCTGTCTTACATGTCATATAAAAGTAATTCACAGGTACTGAAGGCATTCAATTTAAAAGAATTTATCTAAAATATAACGTTGAAAATCTATTATATATAATAAGCCTGTACAACATTAAATGCCTTTTTTTCAATAACATAATTATTTCCCAAATCTGGCCTATTTACACAGATGGTCTCAGTAAAGAGACAAATTCCATAAGGAATGATGAAGTTGTCACATGACTGTGAAGTTATCACATGACCATGAAGTTATCACACAGTCACACTTTATCTTTCTTCTGAAAGCATTTCTGACAAACTCTGACAGGATAATCCCATCCTCTCAGAGGAACAGGACGTTTGTCTGGGGAACAATCATGACACACGCCCTCTCCACAAGCTCGACAATGGTGTATCTTCAATTTTGGTCCAAATGGTGTTTCACAAACACAGCATTTAGAGATATGTTCATCTGGAGTCCAGTATGTTGGTCTAGCTGAATCCTTTAAAATACCTAAAATAAAACAACATAGTCTTCATCATTTTACTCATTCAGATGTCAATAAAATGATGGATGGATATACGGCTGTTAAACGTCCAATTGAAAATTAAATAGTTACTTATATGTTATATAAGTTATGTTTATACATAGTTTGATTTCCATTACACTCAGTTATATATATATATATATATAGTCATTATTTTAGGATTTTCCCAGGATTTTTTGTGTTCTTTACTATTGAAAAGAAACAGATTTATTATCATATCTTAATCAGCTACATGTCAGTTTATCAGGTGTTCTTAGCAGGGGGTTTAATTACATCAGTTCCATTACAAATATACATGTTTTGTTAATTAGTGACCATGCACTTGTGGCATCTGGCTTTCCTTTATCCTTTGTTTGTTTGCACATAAACTTGGGTGTAGTTTAGCTCCTCCCAATTAGGAATATCCCATTAAGTAGCTGTATATTGAAAACCAGTACATGCTGCCTTTAGTGCAGGGCTTCCAAAATTATTATTAGCCAGCCGAACATTTTATATATTATCCCGATTTTAATCCCTTAAGACAAAATAAAAAAAAAGCAATTATAGTAATCAGTTGCTGAGTTGGCCATCCCAATGATTGACATTAAAAAAAACCGATATTAAACTTTCTTTGATTCAAATTCGAAGTTCTGACGTAAACTGTTAAATTGGCAGTGCATCATTCGAGGTGTGCAACATCAGCGTACTTATATCTGCCTTAGACTCTTTATTTGTGCAAAATAACGTTGTCAAAAGCTACTTTCGTTTTTAAATCTAATACCAGATGTTATCTTGACAATGGTAAAACATGGACCAGAGACGGATACGTAAATTCCGTGTACGTTTGCAAAGCATGAATGAGTGTAAGTGGCTCTTTCTACGTTATTTCTTCAAGAAAATATGCGAAATAAACGTGAGATAAAGTTATCAATGACAATTTAAGCATTTTTTTTGAAGAAATTAGGATGCATAATTAATTTTCACACCTTCACACTTGCGCACACGTGTTCTAGTTCAAACAGAGACATGCCTCTGGTTCAAACAACGTGGTTATGACGATTTTTCATTTTCACCTTTTTAATTTTTTCATCAAATCATATTTGTAAACGCATTTCTGATAATTTAAATCTTTTTGACTAAATTAATTAGATGCAAACCGCTAAAATGTTAGAAAATAACTTTGAATAGACTGATCAATGTCCGGTTCAAAATAGTTTACCTGTCACCTGAACAGGTAAATTTCAGTTGTTCGACAACTAATTAGCCTTGATTAAAATGAGAAGGTATTAAAGTAGGGGTTGTTTTGATAGTACTTAATGATCAGGTCACTTTTATGACCGGAAATGTGTGGCTGTTAAAGGCAAAAGGTTGGGTCAAAAAGATCGCGAATTATGTTAAAATGACCGTCTCTTAAGAAAGCCTAGAAAACTAAAAAGTAGATGACCGTTTCATGCTTTGCCCAGCCGGACTTTTACCGAACTTTATACAAATGTCCGGAAAATATGACCGTTTTGGAAGCCTTGCTTTAGTGTCCAGTTTTTTCAATGCACATTAAGCAGTTAAAAGAATAATTTCTGCTCAAAAAGTGGCTTAGCTAAAAACTTGCCTCCCACCAATCCCAACCTTACACCTTCAATATTGCCATGACAGGGGAATCAATCTCAGCACAGTTTATATAAGATTCTTACTGATTTTTCTGTATATGTATATGTTACAAAAGTGCTTAAAAATTTCATTCCAACACCAGTTCATATCAGTAGATCTCAGCAACCAGTAGTGCAAACATTATTTTTAGGAGCTATGTTGGATTGGTGTGATGTCAAGCCAGGGGTCTATACTTTGATACTTTTCAGTACACACATGTACATAGGCTGCTGGTTTAGGCATGGATCAGATAAATAACCTCAGCATCTGAAACAAGTCCATCATGTTTCGACATTTATGAAATTTTATCACTGGTTGTTTCAAAAATTGCACTCATCCCCCAAGAATTTCTGGGGATAAACTGTCAAATTTCATACAAATTCATTTCAACACCAATTCAACATCAACACTACTTGGCTTCCTCAAAGCCACATACTAGGCTTCCTCATAGCATCATTATAGGCTTCCTCATAGCCTCATAGGCTTCCTCAGACATAGCCTCATAGGCTTTCTGATAGCCTCATAGGCTTCCTGATAGCCTCATATGCTTCCTGATAGCCTCAAGCATTTATTTGGAACCATAGATCAATTTGGATTGGTGTGATGTCAAGCCAGGGGTCTTTACTTTGCTACTTTTCGGTACGCACATAGGCTCTTGGCTTAGGCATGGAGCAAAAATTTTAATTTTAGCTGAGTAGATTCCCCAAGGGCCAAAATTAAGTGATGAATATAAAATAATAAAAGTTATAGTTCATTTATGATTTATGTTTCATTCAAACCTGGATACAACTGGCACTGCTACGCAATACATGTATTTACACAGAAGTTAATTTATAATGGGATAGAGCAGGATTGAATTATGTTGATTATATTGTTGATATGAGTACTAAATGCTTAATTTTACATATCATGAGTTCAAATGGAGAGTTCTGAAGCAAATCAGGATAATTAAAATGTTGCTTAAATTAATTGTCTTAAGAACTCATTATGTGTGACTTTGAGGATTTTGTTCATTGGGCACACATTTCGGCAAGTTAGACTTATACTCAGACAGGTTTTTAATGTCAGGTCAAAAGATTTTTGCAAGGAGGTAAATGTTTTTCTGGATGTTTACTCAGGCGTTATATACTTTTCATTATTACAAAACACACATCCACTGACCAAAGGAGAAATATGTACAGTATAAACAACAGACACTTAAATATTAAGTACAACATTACAACAAATTATGAATGGACCTTAAAGTTTATTATATCTACAATCCAGAATCAGTACTCTAGTCAAACATGGAACAAATTACAGTTAAAAATAATCAGGACCATTTCTGAGGACTTTGTATAAATGCATATCTAAGACGAAGACATGTTAATGTAATATGAATACCGTAAATTGGGAAATTTTGGCGTCGGGATATTTTGGCGTTTTTTTCTCAAAAGGCATGTGTTTTATTTTGGTGTGCGTTATGGTGTGCGTTATTTTGGTGCTTCGTCCAATTGATATGTTTAATTTTTGGAAAAACAGTAGTGAGCAAGCTCATTCATATTTGCCTTTATTTACCCGTTTATTGACAAAATATCATTGAATTTCTCAAACTAGAAACATGACAAAGTTAATCTATTGGCGATCAAGGATTTAAATTTAAATCCTTATGCCTCTGGCAGTACATGTTAATTAATTGAAGATAAAGGATTACAAGGAGTTTTGATATTCTAATTATCAATAACGGCGTCTAATCAGCAATAGCCTGGAATATTTATGACATGTGTGAATAAAAATTCATGTTGTGTTTTCTTAACAATTTCAGAAAATTGACAATTAAGTAAAAATTATATAGTGCTGTTTTCAAATTATACCAGGTATTTATTTGCAGATTTAGCTATTTATAGAATTGTATACGGAAGATGTAATTACATAAAATATTTTCCCCAACAATTAACATTACGATAGTGTCATACCAGTACACAATACTGGCGTTTCAATTTTTAGTGTTTGCTTTATTTTCGTGTGTTTTATTTTGGCACTTTCATTGGAGGCACCAAATAAACCAAAATAAACTACAACCAAAATAACCCAATTTACGGTACTAACCAGTACTGCTTTGTACTAGACCGACACACTGAGTTGATTTTCAACATCCTAGTTCACAAGGTATTCTACCAAGTCTGCAGGAAGACTTGTCACCCTACTTGGACACATTATTCTGGCTCTGGACAGACCAGTCTTTGCTTTTACTCCTTAATGATGCATAGCCGAGATGCAGCAAATACCAATTCTAAAGTCTTTGGTTTGAACCACCTGGGGTTGGAACCCACAACCTTCCACACTACCACAAGACCACAGAGGCAGTATGTGAATACAAGGAGATGTTAATAAAAAAAAACAATAAATTGCTCCAAGCAGCTGGATACGACCACAGAGGTCCAACCCTGAACAGTTGGGGCAAAAATGGACACAATATTCCCTCTTGATACACGTCTGAATTTGGATTGCAATTAAAAATTTGACACATGATTTGGATTTTGATTTGGATTACCTCCCTTACACTGCTTTTAAATTGTCTCAATTGTCCTTTAACCAGAAAAACCCTTATTTTCCCCCCTAATTCCTAAATGGTTTGAGCCACAACCCCTCAAAGTCAATCCTAACCATCCCTTTGTAGTATGGAAACTTGTAGTATAATTTCAGAGAGATTCATACACTTTAACACAAATTATTGTCTGGAAACTACAAAAATGCTTATTTGGGCCCCTTTTTTGGCCCCTAATTCCTAAACAGTTGGGACCATAACCCCCAAAATCAATCCCAACCTTCCCTTAGTGGTTATAAACCTTGTGTTAAAATTTTATTGATTTCTATTTACTTATACTAAAGTTATTATAGGGAAACCATCTGTCTTCGGACGACGCTGACGACGACGATGACGACAACAGTGATACCAATATACGACCAAAATTTTTTTTATTTTTGCGGTCGTATAAAAATGCTTATTTGGGCCCCTTTTTGGCCCCTAATTCCTAAACTGTTAGGACCATAACCCCCAAAATCAATCCCAACCTTCCTTTTGTGGTTATAAACCTTGTGTTTAAATTTCATAGATTTGTATTTAATTATACTAAAGTAATTGTCCGGAAACCAACTGTCTTCGGACGAAGCTGACGACGACGTGATACCAATATTCGACCGCAAAATTTTTTGCGATCGTATCAAAAATCAATTAGGCAGCAATCAACTGACAAAAGAAAAACCAAAGATGTTTAGAGGTCAACATACTGTCCTTGACAATAACCATATGAATACTGTAAATTCAGAAATTATTGAGTGCATTTATTATTGCGATTTTTAAAGATATGACAAAAATGCGAGATTAATTATTGCGTTTTCAGGAGTATCTGCATACATATATATATGTATCGGATATCAAAATGCAAGTTCTTATTATTGCGATAATCACCCAGTCGCATTATTCACGTTAATAAAAACCTTGCAATAATTTCTGAATTTACAGTACCCGGTATAACATTTGGACAAATTGTGAACAATTTTATCAAAGGCAATCAAAGATCTGCCATCAATATCGCACTCCTTACAAGAAAAAATCATTCAGATATACCTATTTCTAAAGACAACCAATGTTGTGCTTTCTGACTTGGGACAAGCATTAAAACTTCTGGCAGGGTTTTCACATGACTTTGAGCTCTTTTTTTAGTCTCATCTAGTAGATTAATGAGAGGTAGTCTAGTTAAATGGTTGAACTGAAAAGATTAATTAAATTCTGTGTCTAGTTAAATGCTATAAATAACTAGAATAACAATTGTATTTTCAATACATATATTTTAAAAGCATGTTTTTCTCTAGATCCTCATCCTGATAACAATGAACTTACCCACTGGATAGGTTACAGTAAAACCAACAACACTGATAGCAGACATTAGCACCTCATCAACTTACCCACTGTATAGGATACAGTAGAACCAACAACACTGATAGCAGATGTTAGCACCTCACCAACTATAAATTACTCACTGGATAAGTTACAGTAGAACCAACAACACTGATAGCAGACGATAGCACCTCACCAACTAACCCCCTGGATAGGTTACAGTAGAACCAACAACACTGATAGCAGACCACAGCACCTCACCAACTTACCCACTGGATAGGTTACAGTAGAACCAACAACACTGATAGCAGATGTTAGCACCTCACCAACTATAAATTACTCACTGGATAGGTTACAGTAGAACCAACAACACTGATAGCAAACGATAGCACCTAACATACTTTCCTTAGATCCCTATCCTATAGATGAACTTACCCACTGGATAGGTTACAGTAGAACCAACAACACTGATAGCAGACGACAGCACCTCACCAACTTTCCTGGCAGTTACTTGAGGCTCCTTTCCTCCAGTAATTTCTGGAAAAAAATGTTAAAAAATACATTTCATTTTCTTACTGCATATAAAAATACACATATTCAAACACATTCCATTTTGTCAAAAATGTATTGCAAAGGAAATACCACCTTTCTTCAGAATCAGTTGGTGTTAACATGGCTATTTAAATTTTTGCCAAGCATACTAAATAAATACAAAAGTTATTGTTCTCTGTGGAGTTCATTTGAAGGGAGCTTCAAATTTCTTCTTGAAAAATCAACCATTTATTTATTAATTTGGCAGTACAAAAAAATAAACTCCTAGTGATGAAAATACATGTACAACAACTGTAATAGTAAATCTCACACTTTTGTTTCTTGTTCAACGTTCACAATAATAAATGCATACACAAATTTTTGATGAACAAATTATGAGGAGAAGGTGCAACATTAATATCTGTTTTCAGTTTGTATCACACTGCAAAACTGATACAATGGCAGACAAACAATATGACTGTTGAAGAGGAAGATTATTGTGCTCACCTGTTGAGTTTTCTAAATTATAACAATCATCACAAACACGAACAAGGAAATTCCAGCCTCTCTCTGGTATTAGTCTTTTCTTTGATGAGCATTCATCACAAAATCCTTCACCACATGCACGGCAATGATGTTTTTGTTCATTGTCAAGTTCTTTCTGACATTTTTTACAATTCTGCAAAATAAAAAAAAATGTTGATGCAGACTATTAATTAGAATCACTCTTATGATGTATCTTCAATGAAAGTTTGGGTAGTTTAATATAAATGAAATAAATGATTTACTATACTGTGGATTCATTATTATTCGTTGGATACCAGTTTTCATGTAATTGTATGGTTAAAAGTGAATCAGTTTTCAACGAAGTACACATTTTCAATAACCCTGTATGCAGACTTATACAAAGCCAGGAAAATAAATGTCCCCAAAAATACAATGTTCCTTCAATCCTCTCAAGTTGGTATCCACAAAAATAAATGATGGTGATGATTGATGGCTACTTAACGTCCAGTGGCAAATTAATAAGCATATTCAGGACAAGAACATGTTAATGTAATATGAATATTAACCCTGCTTTTTACAAGACCAACACGCTGAGCCGAATTTTAACGTGGTAGTTCACAATGTAACAGTCTGCAGGAAGACATGTCAACTTACCGGGACGCATTATTCTGGCTCCAAGCTGACCGGTCTTTGCTCTTACTCCTCAATGATGCGTGCTTAGCGGAGAAGCAGCAAATATGAATTTTGAAGTCTATGATTTGACCCGGCCTGGGTTCAAACCAACGACATTCCACACTCGAGGCGAACACACTACCACAAGACCACTGAGGGGTTCAAAAATAAATGAATCCACAGTATATGAATAAAAAGCGGATTTCAAATAATCACAGAGCTTGTCTGATCTGTCATAATTCTGCTATTTTGAATCATGGGTTGCACTCAACAAGACAAGACATGTGACATTATTGACAAAAAGCATACTTGATTACACTTAATCATAATGTAAGTACTAACTGTTATCTGTGAATTAGGAACCCAGTAGTCAGGAGCTATCTGGTCTGTCATCCAATCAGAAATCATTTTAGTTGGTTTCTGACTGACACTGGTAACTGAATCAGCAATGTAGTGCATGCTATCAATGACTTTTCTGGCAGCATTGCTGGTCCCCTGTAGATTTTTATAACCCTAGAATATGAGAAATAACATAACTAAGAATTGTATTTGTAAATGTTAATGTTTTAACTGTTGTTTTAATTTTCTACTGTTTTTTTCTAATATAGTACAAGGAGCTTGTTTTCAACCCATTTCAAGGTTATTGGAGACTAAAATGTGGAAATAAAAATCACAAAGTGTTCTGATTCATTTTCTTTTAATTTTCAATTTTGATACAGTAAAATGAATTTGAAAAAGAAACACTTTCAAAAAGCTTTAAACATTACTTGTTAATATTATTCACAAAATTACCAAAAATAAACCTCTGGTGAAAATTTCCCACCCACTTTTTATATGATACCTACATCAGGCCAGACATGTCTGACTTCTACCGAAACAATGTCCTCCATATTCTTGTTACCATACCAACGTTCTCTACTCCTATATATTACTCCACAATTGGGACACTCTAAAACTTCTCTGAAATAAAACCACATGCCAATTAAAAAAGGTTTTTTCATTTATTTTTGCTTTACTCAATATTGGATCTTTATTTTTTCAACATAATTATGTAACTTTTCAGAAGTACAAAAATATACTAGGTACAAAAGACACTATAACCATCTTTTTATGCTTTTACTATTTTACTATTTAAAATCAAATTTAGTATTGATGTCAAACCTTGGGAAGTCTGTTAATATCATCCACAATTTGTCAACTTTAAGTGATTCAGAGCATGTCACATGTTGTGAGCACTTTTCCATTGTCTCGCCTGTAGGCATAGAATTCAGAAAAAGACAATCTGATGGACATCAACATTGCTAATTAATTCAAAGTCACTGGACCAACTAGTGGGTAGGGCCTCAAAATGTTTGACAAACTGAGATATACAGACAGCAATGTAACTTTATAACATAATATTGTTGTCTATTGTAAGTACTTCCTATCAAACTAACTTAAGCAGAAAACTTAACATTGAAAATTGTTAATTGATTGAAAGTCACTGGACCATTACCTAGGGGGCAGGGCCTTGAAATAGTCTTCAAACTGATATGTATTGATAGTAATGCAACTTTATAGAAAATATCATTGATCTATCACAAGTAGTTCCTCTCAAACTAACTTTAGCAGAAAACTTAACATTTAAAATGGCTAATTAATTCAAAGTCACTGGGCCATGGCCTAGGGGGAAGGGCCTCAAAAAATAGTTGTCAAACCGATATGTTCAGATAGTAATGCTACTTCACACAAAATATCATTGATCTATCACAAGTAGTTCCTATCAAACTATAAACTTAAGCAGAAAACTTAAACATTTAAAATTGCTAACTAATTCAAAGTCACTGGACCATGGCCTAGGAGGCAGGGCCTCAAAATAGTTGTCAAAATATTATGTACTGATAGTAATGCATCTTCATACAAAATATCAATGTTCTATCACAAGTAGCTCCTATCAAACTAACTTAAGCAGAAAATTTAACCATTGTTGATGCGGTCACCATCCCCCTCACTGTCGCAGCAATCCCTGTGTCTCGGTTTCTGCGACTTTTGTCGTATGCGAGACAGAAAAAAAACTGGTGTGTTTTAGGTTGGATCTTTAAATTTTTGAAAAAGGACATTAACTGTGTCCAATTCCCAGTATAGGTTTTACACAATGTGTAAGCAGAGGTTTGCTATTTACAGGTTAGTGGTAGAACTAACTGACACAAGTGATAGAAGTTTGTGAGAACTCCATCATATTGTTGTCATTAGATGTTTGTGAGAACTCCATCATATTGTTGTCATTAGATGTTTGTGAGAACTCCATCATATTGTTGTCATTAGATGTTTGTGAGAGCTCCATCATATTGTTGTCATTAGATGTTTGTGAGAACTCCATCATATTGTTGTCATTAGATGTTTGTGAGAACTCCATCATATTGTTGTCATTAGAAGTTTGTGAGAACTCCATCATATTGTTGTCATTAGAAGTTTGTGAGAACTCCATCATATTGTTGTCATTAGAAGTTTGTGAGAACTCCATCATATTGTTGTCATTAGAAGTTTGTGAGAACTCCATCATATTGTTGTCATTAAAAAGGTTGGTAGTTATATGAAGTGAATGCTTTTCTCAATCTGTATGGCTATACAATATTCATCTTACTTTGTTTAAAGTGAAAAAAATTGTCAAGACTCATATACACTGATTGCCCTGGTTAGTAAATCCCAAACACATATCTATTTTTTTTTTTATTTGGACACATAACTCTTTTTGCACATATATTTAGCTACACATATTTCCACATTTACTCACCCAGTCCATACATATTTAGCCAGTCCCATCCAGACATTATCTGTTGATTCTGATGTCTTGGGTACTACAACATTAACTTTACCAGCCAATAAACAGGTCTGAAACATTCGATAAATTGTTAACACAGAGATATGTCTAACCATTGTAACCTTATCACAAACTTTTAACAAATGTAAACACTACTTATACTGGAAACAGCAAAGTCAAAATCCAAAGTCATATCAAGATAGTCAGCTTTTATCATTTGTGGAAACTAGTGTTGCAACTTTAAACCACAAAATGTGTATTTAGCCATATAAATGTATCTTGAAGGAGTAGTAAATGATCATGATGTGCCTTAAACCAAAGATAGTTTATAAAATAAACCATCAATGTGTTAACTCTTTTTGCAAATGGTCATTTCATTCTAGATTTTATCACAAACCAACAAAAAATGACTAGGCATTTTTAAAATCAATATTGCTGATGGATGACAGGGTCAATGTAAACAATTCATTAAAGGTAGGCTGTAATGGTAGCCTTAGATATGTATAACAGCTCATTCCAAGCTGAGACATTTTCACATATGTGGTTAAATTTTCAGGGTAGGAAGTGTGATTCATTTTTCCTAAATTTGTCCTACCCTGAAAGGATCCTGCTCCACAAGCATAAGCATTGTAACTTACTTTGTATTCTAATTTACAAGTTATTTTCTTTACCTTGCATAAAAATACTTTGTTTTGATACTGGTGTTGGTATGAACATCTCTTCTCTGTTTCATGGCTGTCACTCTCGGTACCATGGTTCATACATTTAATACAGCTCTCTCTGAAATCGTACAATAACTGGTATTGATGTTGATATCCTTGATTCATTTACAGCCTTCAGTGTCCGTACATTTTACATATGTTTTAATTCAACTAATATATAATAATAAATGCAGAAAAATATATACCATACCCAACCACATCCTGTGCCTACTGTAAATTCAGAAATTATTGCGTGCATTTATTATCGCGAATTTTGTAGAATGGAATAAAATGCGAGATTTATTATTGCAATTTCAGGAAAATCTGCATGCAGTTATATGTATCAGATATAAGAATGCGAGTTCTTTTTTATTGCGATACTCATTCGGTCACATTATTCACATTAATAATAAATTGCTTCGCCAAGCACAGATGGATACGACCGCAGAGGTCCAACTCTGAACTAATGAGGCTAAAAAGGACACAATATTCGCGTTTGATACAGGTCTGAATTTGGATTGTAATTAAATATTTGACACATAACAGGTTTCTGACACAGAATAACTGTAGTCAAAGAACTTAGAATTGGTTATATGATTTGAATTTATATTCAATTTTTTGCAATTGTGCAATACACCATGCTGTTGCGAATTGCCCCCCCCCCCCCCAAAAAAAAGACCCCCCCTTTTTTTTTTGCTTTTGTGTGCAATACCCTATGCTGTTGAGAATTCCCCCCCACCCAAACCCTTTTTTTTGGCAAAAACAAAAAATATTTGAAGAAATTTTCTGTTTAATTTTTGAAATCTTAAGAAAAAATTGTCCCCCCCCACAATTTTTTTTTAAACCCCCCCCCCCCATAATTTTTTTCACTCCCCCCCCCCCTTTTTCAAAAAAAAAATCTTTTTCCCTCAAGATATGGTCATCATAATCACAATTCAAATTTCCAATTGAGGTTGCAACCATAATTACCCATTTAATAATTTAAAAGCAGTGTAAGGGAGGTAATCCAAACTTAACATTTTACTTAAAAGTAATTGTCCATTAACCAGGACACCCTTGTTTTTCCCCTTTTTTTGCCCCTAATTCCTAAACGGTTTGAGCCATAACTACCCAAAGCCAATCCTAACCATCCCTTTCTGGTATGGAACCTTGTGGTATAACTTCAGAGAGATCCATACACCGTTCCACAAGTTATTGTCTGGAAACTAGAATAAACAGCTGCGCCATGAGCGCATGATACACCCGTCACATTTTCAAAGAATAAAGTTCAATTACTTCTCAATGTCATATTTGAAATTTATGAAAATCAAAAGGGAGCTTGCATCAATAGATATCAACATTTCACCAAAGTTTCATGAGAATTGCTGAAAGAATTTTTGAGTTATTGTCCTAAAACGGGAAAATCCCCCTTTTTTTAATGAATAAAACCCCACAACTTCGAAATGTAAAATGAAAAATTTATAAAATTCTAAAGGGAGCTTACATCAATAGATATAAACAAAATTTACCAAAGTTTCATGAGAACTGCTGAAAGCATTTTTGAGTTATTGTCTGAAAATTGGAAAATCCACCTTTTTTTATGAATAAAACCCTGTATCTCAGAAACATAAAATCTAAAATTTATAAAAATCAAAAGGGAGCTCATGTTAATAGATATAAACAATTCACCAAAATTTCTTGCAAGTTGGTGAAAGCAGTCTTGAGTTATTGTCCCAAAACTGGAAAATCCCCCTTTTTTTAATGAATAAAACCCCATAACTCGGAAAAGTAAAATCTAAATTTTATAAAAAACGAAAGGGAGCTCACGTCAATAGATATAAACAATTCACCAAAGTTTTCTGCATATTGGTTAAAGCGTTGTTGAGTTAATGTATGACATGTTGACGACGGCCGGACAGAGGTATACCATAATACGTCCCGTAAACGGGTGTATAAAAATGCTTATTTGGGCCCCATTTTGGCCCCCTAATTTCTAAACTGTTAGGACCACAACCCCCAAAATCAATCCTAACCTTTCTTTTGTGGTTATAAACTTTGTGTTTAAATTTCATAGATTTCTATTCACTTATACTAAAGTTATTGTCCGGAAACCAAATGTCTTCGGACGACGACGACGAAAATCTGCATGCAGTTATATGTATCAGATATAAGAATGCGAGTTCTTTTTTATTGCGATACTCATTCAGTCGCCATATTTGCATTAATAAAAACCTCTTAGACTGGCTCTCATTAATTTCTGAATTTACAGTAGTTCATTGTTGTTTGTTCGTCAGGGTTATTTGTTTTAGGAGTAAGGTGTTGGTGTTTGTTATGTCCAGTATTTTTTGGCAAGCCTGTCATCCTTTTTATGTTGATAATAAAGCAAACTGCATGTTTATTTCTAATTTTGTTGACCAGTAGATTTCTTAATGCAATTAATCTGTTTTTCTTCCGAATTTATACTTGCTACAGCCAAAAACAACAAGTCTATGGACTAATCTGAACATAATCCTGAAAGAGAACCTTTAGTGGACATCACTTTTCAAGTATGTTAACATAAAATTGAGAATGGAAATGGGGAATATGTCAAAGAGACAACAACCTGATCAAAGAGCAGACAACAGCCGAAGGCCACCAATGGGTCTTCAATGCATGTCTATGACCCTTGATATATACATTTAAATGTGTACAAATCTCTCCTCTCTCTAAAATACATACCGACATGACAAACACCTCACAGGACAGGAAAATATCTGATCTGGAAAAGTTCCAATCTCTGGTCTGTCTAAATGTCCACTAAATCTATCGTTTAAATTCTGTAATGGAAAAAGACTTTATTTACTTTAAATTCTGCTTTAAATTTAAATTTTATAAAATATGTGAATTTTTAAATTTGTGATCAAATGTTATGGTTTATAAACTGGTAAAAAAAAAAAAAAAAGAGTAAAAAAATAATCATAAATGTTTGTATAAATTAAAACGAAAACAAACATTTTAAAACTTTTCAAATAGTTAAACATAAAACTGCCAGGAATGTAATCAAAGTGTATTCTAATAATAACCCCTCAAGTAACTAAAATTGTTGTGTTTGTAAATCTTTTCAATTTTACCTAAAAGTATTATAGATAATATTTGACTATCTACAAACTCTATGTTTTTTACTATTTGCAACTTCATTAAGTTAGTCCTACCTTTAGTGTACAGTAGATAACATTTGGCTGCCTAGAGGCTCTGTTTGTTTTATCTCCCAGTAAGGTTTCTAGGACCGTCTTCAATGGTGTGAAGTCAGTTGGTGGTCTTTTTGTCTGAACACCAACATAATGTAAATCTTTGAAATGAAATTTACAATCCAGTTGACTAAATCGGTCCCAAAGCTGACTGTCTGCTGACTTTTTACCTGTAATAACATGTGTTTCAATGTTTAGTGAGTAAATTTCCTACATCTCTTAAATTCCCTTCGTCACTTTGATTATCAAAAATAAGTTTTCAAATAAGACTAGAGGTTAACAATTAAACTTAAATTCTTGCAGAAATACATCATATAGATAGGTTTTGATTGACACAATTTGAGTAATACATGTAGTTACTTCCCTTTTGTCGCCATGTTGGAGGTCTATGTGCAGAAATTTAGCCATATACAACTTTTTATATTGACCGCAAAACTGTAGTAAAAGTTGTTTTCTGAATGATATTAAATTCTTTTAGCTTTGCTTGATCCATCACTACAATCTAGTAAGGATCTCTTATCAGACTTGTTTGTACCCCATGTTTCAATTTGGGTAGTCAAATAAGAAAATCAACCATTTACCCCTCTAAAATGGTGGCCAAGGGAAGTAACTCAAACTCAAATTGCGTCATACATGTATATCAAAACCTATCTATTGTTTGTGTAAAGTCATTAGCCAAAGGATTTTATATAATACAAATTGCATCTGTACAATCTTGCAGTGGCTATACCATAATTAAAACAAATTTGGAGGGATTAAAGGACTAAGAAAATACCCCCACAATCAACCTACTTTCTTACAGCAATTTTTGCATACATCACATTGATATTCAAGCATTCAACCATAAACATGATATAAATGACCCACAACCCATGTCCTAAACTAAAACTTACCTTCCTACCCTCAAACATTCATTTTAATGGAACAGCCCAAATTAGTTATCTACTAAACAGATGTACTAATGGTTTCAAGGGAGATAATATTAAAGTGAACAAGTAAATATTACTGAAAAAAATTATACAGTTCTCATTAAAAGTAAAACTAAATTTCAAGCATATCTTAAGAATTTATGCATACCTGATAAAATTTGTGTATTGACAGTTTCATGAAAGACGATAACTGCTGGTGTAAGGTCAGCTAGAGTCTTTCCAATTCTTTTAGCCATATCCTGGAGTTCAGTAGAGAAGTATTTATAATATGTAGATGAAGCATCACATAGAAACTGAAACATATCTGTATGTAGTCTTTCTGCTCGTGTACGATATATAATAATATCTGATACCGCCAAAACTTTGAGTAAAAGTCTAGATCGTTGATTCTGATTGGATGTCAATCCTAACATTCCCTCTGTATCTATGACAATTGTTTTACTCTTTGAGTCATATGCTGCCCACACACCAATAGTGCATGATTTCTGTTGAGCGGATGTCTCAAACACTTCTTTCCCTCCAAAAAATGTATGATTAAGTGTAAATGACTTTCCATCACCAGTGTTTCCAAATATTGACACAACTTTTACTAAATCATTACTGTCACATTCAAGCTTATTCAAAAAGTCTTCTTCATTGGATACCTATAAATCAGATTAAAGAATCGTTTTGGTTTAAGATAAATTTAGTCATTTATTTTATTGACTAACTTAAAGGACAGATTAATTACAATATTTAGTGAATCTAGGAATCGTTTAAATTGGCAAGTTATCACACACTTCTACCAATACAGGTAACTATGAATCCATAATTTGTTGTTTTCTTTCTTAGTAATGCACAAACAGACTGCTTACAACAAATAATCATTTTATATTCCATTATTGTAAACTTTTGAAGCCAAGAAATAACCCTTTAATTACATGAATTTCAACTTATAAATTTCAAAATTGTTATTCAAATATTATACTATCTCAAGAAATTTCTAGAAACTTTTGTACTCTCATTCTTTGGAGAGAGTGTCCAAAATGTAAATGTACATGTATTTTATTATGAGATAAAAATCTAATTACATTTTGTATATACATGTATGCCAGAAATGACCCACGATTGGTTTGAATAAAATATTCTATTATATTCTATCATTTTAATTTTTTGTTTTAAAATGTGTGTGACCTTTTAGAGCTTCCTGGGCTTTGTAATACTAACCTCAATTGACAGTTGAAGGTATTCTTTGTTTAGTAAGAATCATAGCAAATGAAAATAGAAAAAAATTGTGCTTTCATTTGTTGAAGACCAATAGAAAAAAACTGTAATATTTAGCACTTTGTAGCAATTTGAAGTTTGATGACAATTGTTTTTAAAAAATACAATCATGAAAATAGAACTGCATTTTGTAAAACTGCTATCAGCATAATTTAAGAATTTATACAATTTATCTACATATTGTACATGCCCTTTTTGGACAGAAATATTGAGAATGGACACTGTGGTCAATGAATGGCCACCTCATACATGTGTCATAAGCCTTTTTCCACTTAAAGGTGAAAACTTTACAATCTTTATGTCAAAAGGATGATTTTCTAAAAGTTATTTTTTACTAGAAAAAAGTGTGCATGTACATTTACAACATATACTTTTAGTTTGCAAATTGCAATTTAATGAGTGATACCTGTTTCACAGGGTGATTGAAACCTTGATATACTGTATGGACAAGACTAAATTTGGACCCCTATATGCTAGATGACATGTTTTAGTGCTGTGTTTCCGTTTCATAGCCATATTCCCCCTCATCCCCTTTTCATACATACTGTTGTTTTAAAATATCATATTTCCTTTTTCTTCATAAATGTCAAATGAATGTGTTATATGAGCCTCATTTGTTATTTGTGATTACTTTCCCATCATTTTAATGATGATGATTCTCTATTACCTTCAACTGTTCTTGGTCATCAAGCAACATGAAGCTTGCTATTTCATCATATTCACTATCAATCATGCTCTCTGCCAAAGTATTGATGATATCGTCATCATTTGTATTGACACATAAATCTGGTATAATATTAACAGACTGCACTTGTGTTGTATTAATCATTGCTATGCTCGACTCTTCTTGGGGAAAAGAAATGTAGGTCAATGAATCGTCATCTGACACTGGGGACAATGGCTGAATGTTCAAAGGCAGGGGCATTGACTGGATGTTCATATGTAGTGTTTCTTCAGCTTTCTGCTGTTCCCGAAGTTTATGCTCTTTAAATGATATTTTTCTATGCGTTTTTCTAGATGAAAGCTTGTGAAAAACCTCAAAACAGTAATTGCAAAAGCTTATGCAACACACTTCACACCATAAATCTGCAAAATTCTCATCTATGCATATTTTAGATGGAAGTACTTTTGAAATTTGACAAAGTTCTGAATGATGAGGACCTTTTATTACATTTCTATCGTGTAATTCAAAACTGACATTGGTGGAATGTATTGTTTCACAACAATCTTCACACTGGTCTGAGCCACAGTCATCACAATGAAAAGTAGCAACAGTTGATTCTGATCTGCAACACAATTTCTCTGCACAAAAACGTTTTGAACTCCTTGTTCTAAACTTTTTAACGCTTGTCATTGTGTGAAATCATCTCGATCGTTTATAGTGTTGACTTAAATATCGTTGTTTTTATCATGAAAATGTGAATCATTTTTCCTCTTCAAAGTGGATAAGATGTTTGACAAAATTTTGTTTCTCTAGTGTTTTCATATGACTTTACCATCTCGCTAACAATTTCCGAATGGAAAAACTAAAAATAAAAACATTTGACTGACGGTTTATTCACAAATTGCATTGTGGGAAAGACATTAGCGCTCCATTTTATTTTTATAATAGACTTTCAGAAATTCTGTGAGAAAAATGTCGAAAAGAAAAAAGAGCGCAGCTCTAATCGATTCAGATAGTGAAGAAAGTGACAGTGGATCAAACATTGATGAAGTATGACACTAATGATTGTTTAGAAATTCAGTGGATATATACGTTTTACAGAGCATTCATGTGGATTTATAAAGCTTCACACAAAGTGAAGCCAAACAAAAAATATAAGACCTCTCTCCCACCATCCTTTATTTCCCCTTACACATATATAGTCAAACAGCTAATTTTCTCGATCATGATCTTGGATTTTTAACACCATATCTTCTTAACTAGGATTTTAACATATCTATAAAATAATGCATTTCACCACTCTTTGCATAAAAACACTAAATAAAACCTCATTGAATAAGAGGAAAAGTGAGTGTGTAGTGTGCAAATGTCTACATGGCCAAATGAATGTGCAGAAAATACTCGATATTATCATTAAATTTAGCCATTAAATTGCCCCTTTATTTTTTAACATAAATGGTCTTGTTTACATTTGTCTACTTAGTTGTATTATATTTTCGTGAACTTGGGATTTATGTCAAAATACTATTCAGGTTTAGCTGAGGATGTTTTGTAATTTGAATTCAGAAAGGAAATTAAACTGAAAGTATTAAATGGTGTTATTCTAAGTGAATTTTACTGACTATTTCTGCTTAACCAATTTCTGAAAAAATTACTTAAGGAAATTTCCAATAAACATGATAAATATGATCAAATATAGGTTTAAGTTTCCAAATGTAAATATATTTTTAAAACTGGTTGGAAACATATTTCTAGTTAAAATGTACCAAAGGATTTTAAGTGATGAACACCCTTTAGTCTGTCTTGTAGTTGTAAACAAAAAATTATAAACATTCTCAATTGAATTTGAAACAACATTTTGCATAAAGTAGCAATTATTTATTTTCTGGTTAAAAACTCAGATAACAGAAATATATTATATAGTCTGTCTTGTAGTTGTAAACAAAAAATTATAAACATTCACAATTGAAATTGAAAGCAGCATTTTGCATAAAGTAGCAATTATTTATTTTCTGGTTAAAAACTCAGATAACAGAAATATTTTTTTGTGATAAATCCAATCCTTTCTATGTATTGTGTCTGCTTGGTGGTAGATTTTTAATGGTATTAGATAAAAAGAATTAAAAATATCCAAAAATTATTTAATCATGAAAATCAAGATTTTTGGATGTTTATAGGAACATTTAACAAATACAAATATACATAGAGGCAGATTTAGGGGGGGGGGGGCTTATGGAGCTACATATTTGGTTAATGCATAGACGTTTTTACTTGTTCCACTTACCTAACAGTGCTTAGTTTTTGGGCCCCTTTTTTTCTAAATCATGGATCCACATCTGTCATTAAATGATTTAAAAAAAACAGGAAGTATTTTGGATGTTCAAAAAATGGTATCAATCTGTTTGTCTTGTTAAGTTTATAGGTACGGTTTTAATTTTGTGTGTGTTTTTCTTCCTGGCTAGCTGGAAATTTGTACTTAATGCAAATAAAAATACAAATAGAAAGGAACTAAGTCCATAACTTAAAAGAAACTTTAAAGTAATAAATCAACGATTTTTAATGTTAAAGGTTTCATTTCTGTGGTTTTTAAAAAAAAATTTTATCATTCAAAATATATCAGATTAGGCCTACATTTATATGCTTCAATAAGCTTAATAATAAAAAAAAATAATAATAAAACTATGCACTCATTAAAAATGTCTTGAAGTTGAAATGCACTTTTGAAATAGAAAATGTTTTTCATGTGTTTTAAATATAAATACATTTTATAGTAGAAAAAGACGATTTGAAAGACAGTAGACAGTTAAGAGCTTGGTATAAAGTATAGGCTCTGTTTATTGTCAAAATTGATTGTTGAAGAATATTGGTTGACCTCTAGATATCTTTTGATTATTTGTGTTGTTGGATCATTTTCTTATTGACGTATAACCCACATCACTTTCTTATTGACGTATAACCCACATCACTTTCCTATTGACGTATAACCCACATCACTTTCTTATTGACGTTTAACCCACATCACTTTCCTATTGACGTTTAACTCACATCACTTTATATTGACATATAACCACCATCACTTTCTTATTGACGTATAACCCACATCACTTTCCTATTGACGTATAAACCACACCACTTTCCTATTGACGTATAACCCGCATCACTTTCTTATTGACGTATAACCCACATCACTATCCTATTGACGTATAACCCACATCACTTTCCTATTGACATATAACCCACATCACTTTCTTATTGACGTTTAACCCACATCACTTTCCTATTGACGTTTAACTCGCATCACTTTATATTGACATATAACCCACATCACTTTCCTATTGACGTATAACCCACATCACTTTCCTATTGACGTATAAACCACACCACTTTCCTATTGACGTATAACCTGCATCACTTTCTTATTGACGTATAACCCACATCACTATCCTATTGACGTATAACCCACATCACTTTCCTATTGACATATAACCCACATCACTTTCTTATTGACGTTTAACCCACATCACTTTCCTATTGACGTTTAACTCACATCACTTTATATTGACATATAACCCACATCACTTTCTTATTGACGTATAACCCACATCACTTTCCTATTGACGTACAACCCACATCACTTTCTTATTGACGTATAACCCACATCACTTTCTTATTGACTTGCATGTATAGCCCACATCACTTTCTTAGTGACGTATAACCCACATCACTTTCTTATTGATGTATAGCCCACATCACTTTCTTATTGACGTATAGCCCACACCACTTTCTTATTGACGTATAATCCACACCACTTTGTATTCATATTGATAAGATAAGAGAAGACATGCCAGATTTTACTTTATTTATGAAAATACTCTCAAATTCCATAATTCTTTATGCTGATAGTCTGTGTTCAGATTTAAGTCAGCAGATTAGCCAAAACTAATTTATGTAACCTTGAGGTGAAAAGTTAGGAACACTTATTTCGTTCATAAACAAATCATCTTTTAAAAACCTATGAACTCAAAAACTAGCCAATCTTTTTATTCTGTAAATGATAAGCCATGAAGACATTATCAATATCCAGTCATAATAACAATTAAACCTGGTTTTCACTGCTTGTAAAATAATAATAAGTCAACATTACAGGTATTGAGCAGATAGTTGCTTTTATATTTGGTAATCAATGCATTGATATAAATTTTTGATGATTTTGAAATAAATCTCATTGATTTTTTTATTGCCCCCTTAGGTACGTAAGGGACATGTATAAAATCTAAATGCATATACTTAATATAAATTTTTTTTAGTAAAAGTGGCCACTTAAAAGTAAGAATTTAAAAAAAAAAACCATCTGACAATAATAAATCCAGGAAAATGATATGCTTAAGTTTGCTAAATTTGTTTATATTCAAATAATTAAGTTGAATTAGTGATGATGATTATATTGATACATCAGTTATATTAATGATTTCAAAAACAAAGTCCAAGATATATGGGTTTCTTTCAGGATCTGAAAGCACTGGCTAAAAGCAAAAGGAAACGACCAAATTCTGAATCTCAAAACTCAGCAGCAGCATCACAGAGTGATTCCGATTCTGAGACATCTGAAAGTGATGATGATGTAAGTATGGTTCAAGGCTAGATCATGTTATAATGTATATAACAATGTCAGGGTAAACATGATTAATTGGTCAAATATTCACTACTGTAGCTCTCAGAGAAATTAATATCATTTAGAGTTGACTGTGTTAAAGGTTCTTTTTTATTGATATACTATATGTTTTTTTAGGATATATGCTTATTTTTGGAATATCTATATGTGTAGAAAACTGGGTACAAAATGAGAACACTGATTTCATAGAAACCCTAAGGCCTTTTAGTGCAGAATATTATTCATGCCTCACTATTTTCAAGAATGTTTTTTTTTCAGTCAATTGGCATGTAATGGAGCTTATTTAGATTTGGTTTAAGAATACTAAAAAGATAGTAAATTTTCACAAAAATTAAAGAACTTTTATAGCTAGAGATTATTGGATCTTGTTGCAAAATTTACTAAATGATTTTAAATTTACAGTGGACAGTAAATGGCAAAGGTAAAAAGAAAAAGAAGAAGGGAAAAGCTGCCAAAAAGACGAGCAGGAAATCCTCAGCTTTATCGTCTTCCGAGAGTGAAGCTGAAAGTGAGAAACATGTTTCAGAACCCGAGGAAGGTATGTAACTAAACATGCTAAACAGCAATGGATTACCTCCCTTCTTTTATTAAATATTTTAACCATGAGAGGGGGTGTAAATGAGCCATGAATCAAGAGACGGTGGGAGGTATGTTGCTGAAAAGAAACAAAAATAAGAGAATTATCTCCCTTACATAATGCTAGGAGTTTGAAACATTGTTCAGTAAACAGCAAGATACTGTGGATTCCTTTTTCTTTGGATACCAATTTTCGTTCATTTCGTGGCTAAAAGTGAACCACAAATTTAAATGTTCAATGAATTACAAATTTTCTTTAGGCTTGTAAGCAGACTAAGGAAATTTTTCCTCAACCCACGAAAATTGGTACCCACGAAAATAAATAAATCCACAGTACCACAAAATATTACTGGTGCTAGTATGTTATTAAATGGGGAAAAAATACATATGTTTATTGTTGTGAAAGTGAAGTATTATTGGAATATTTAAGTGAAACTCCATAATTATTCTGGAAGGTAAATATCTGTGTCCCTACTATGAACATCAATGATGAATGTCTCAACAGGTCATTAGATGACAATCATTTATTGAGCATACATATGGGAAAGATGACCAAGTTATAAAATCTTGGACTATGTTTTATGGTCAATTGTTTTTCATTGAATTGCCTAACTTTTTGTCTTGACATGGGGAATTAAAGATTGTTGTGTGCCTTTGATTTAGGTGGTTTACCTTGGTATGTTGATCTCTAGATGTCTATTTTTAGTAAACTGATGTTTGCTTGTTGTCTCATTAATATTTACTTTACATTTCACTTCAATGTATTATTATTTTTCATGTGATAAATCTGTGTTTAAAAAAGCAGAATATATTGTATTTCATAATTACTTTTATTATAGGTGAAGTGTCAGAGTCTGATAGCCCAGCTGGTAACTCGGGGTCTGAATATGAATCAGATAAAGAGACTTTCAACGATGGCTATGATGAAAACTTAATCGGAGACGAAGAAGATCGATTACGCCTCGAAAAAATGACTGAAAAAGAAAGGGAACAAATTTTGTATAACAGAATCGAAAGAAGAGAAGCTCTAAAAACAAGGTAGGATTGTACAGCGAAAATGATTTGGAAGGTTAAGGCAACACAGGAAAAAAATCAGGAAAACAAACCAGAAAATAATACTAAGAAACGCATGAAATGTAAAATTCTCTGACATTAATTTTTTAATCCAAAAATACACTCTAAGGAACTGCAAGTTTCATAATTTTAAAGATTAATTGAGCTGAAATTTATTTCATTATGATAATAAAATTATCTATTTCTTTCAGATTTGATATAGAAAAGAAATTAAGACAGGCCAAAAAACAGCAACAAAAGAAAAAAGACAAGCAGTTTGCTGAGTCTTTGTTAGAAAGGTCCACAAGTCAGCGTAGTAAAGAAAGACGGAAAAATATTGAAGAGAAAAAAGATTCAGGGAAATTTTCTGTCCTTAAAGAAATAAAGGCCAAGAGAGAAGAAAAGAAGAGACAAGGTTTGTTTTAGGATTCATTGAATTCTGGTTACTGAGTTGATTTATTTTTGTGAGTACATATTTACGTGGATTGAGAAAAACTTGCTTTTTTGTGGATTTTTGATTTAGTGGTTTTAACAATGCCTGCATATATTCCTTTGGAAATTTTGAAATTCTTTGATCATTTAAATTTGTGGTTCTTCTGTGTCCATGAAATCCATGAAAATTGGTATCCAATGAAAAATCATGAACCAGCAGTATTAGGGAAATTTACTGCATGTTACAGCCAAAATTTCAAAAATTGTTAACCCATTTCTTTGCAAGATGTAATCTGCTTATGCTGAACTTATAGTAATATAAAAAGGTCAAGTCACATAAAAGCTAAATGACAGAGCTTCGGAGGTAAAATTAAAAATAACTGGATGAGTTTGAAAAAGAATTTTAAGCCATACATTAGTTCTGTTCCATAAATTTTTGTTATTTCCCCACAAACAGACATTTTTGAAAAAAAAATACAAAAGTATAAGTTAAGACCAAAAATTAGCCTACTCCACATTTTTATACGACCGCAAAAAAATTTTTGTAGTCATATATTGGTATGACGTTGGCGTCGTCGTCGTCATCGTCCGAAGACACATTAGTTTTCGCACTCTCACTTTAGTTTAAGTGAATGGATCTCAATGAAATTTTACCATAAGGTTCAATACCACAAAAGGAAGGTGGGGATTGATTTTGACGGTTATGGTACCAACAGTTAAGGAATTAGGGGCCAAAAAGGGGCCAAAAATAAGCATTTTTGTAACTTCCAGACATAACTTGTGTGTAAGTGTATGGATCTCTCTGACATTGTACCACAAGGTTCCATATCACAAAGGGAATGCTGGGATTGATTTTGGGGGTAATTGCCTCCAAATTTTAGGAATTAGGGGCCAAAAAGGGGCAAAAAACAAGCATTTTTCTTGTTTCATGACAATAACTTGTGTGTAAGTGTATGGATCCCTCTGACATTGTACCACAAGGTTCCATATCACAAAGGGAATGCTGGGATTGATTTTGGGGGTAATTGCCTCCAAATTTTAGGAATTAGGGGCCAAAAAGGGGCAAAAAACAAGCATTTTTCTAGTTTCATGACAATAACTTGTGTGTAAGTGTATGGATCTTTATGAAATTGTACAACAAGGTTCCATATCACAAAAGGAAAGCTGGAATTGAGTTTGGGGTAATTGCCCAAAAAGTTAAGGAATAAGGGGCCAAAAAGGGACCAAAAATAAGCATTTTTCTAGTTTCCAGACAATAACTTGTGTTCAAGTGTATGGATCTCTCTGAAATTGTACTGCAAGGTACCATACCACAAAGGGAAGGCTGGGATTGATTTTGGGGGTAATTCCCTTAAAATTTTAGTAATTAGGGGCCATAAAAGGGCAAAAAAACAAGCATTTTTCTAGTTTCAGGACAATATTTTGTGTGTAAGTGTATGGATCTTTATGAAATTGTACTGCAAGGTTCCATATCACAAAGGGAAAGCTGGGTTTGAGTTTGGGGGTAATTGCCCTAAACGTTTAGGAATTTGGGGCCAAAAAGGGGCCAAAAAACAAGCATTTTTCTAGTTTCCAGACAATAACTTGTGTTCAAGTGTATGGATCTCTCTGAAATTGTACTGCAAGATACCATACCACAAAGGGAAGGCTGGGATTGAGTTTGGGGCTGATGAATCATAAGGGGGTTCAAAAAATTTTGGGGTTTTTTTTTTTCCTTTTTTTTCTTTAAAATTTTCCATTTTAAATTGGTTATTTCTGATTTATATATAAAAGCAAATAATAATGATATGGTTTGAATAGGTAAATTAAAAATTTTTAAGTTCTTAGACCACTTTCATTCTGTGTCAGAAACCTATGCTGTGTCAAATATTTAATTACAATCCAAATTCAGTGCTGTATCAAGCTTGAATGTTGTGTCCATACTTACCCCAACTGTTCAGGGTTCGACCTCTGCGGTCGTATCAAGCTGCGCCCCAGCGGAGCATTTTATTATTGATTGAAACCATTATCAAAAATCGTTACATAAAAGAAAGGATTTGTTTTCAATGTTCCAGCAAGGCTGTATTAACTGCAATAATGTCCATTCATTTTGACTGTCTTAATATTGTTTGTGTCATCTTTATTAAAAAAAAAAATCTCCACCAGAGACCAAATGATGTAGAAGTTAGCAAATATAGGACACTGTACATCCTTCACAATGAGCAAAAATTAGCAAATATAGGTCAATGTACACCCTTCACAATGAGAAAAACCTGTATGGCATAGCAAGCTATTTGTTCATCAAAAGTTCCATCTTTGTTTGTATTTCTTATATTGTAAGAGATATGGTGAACACAAGATGACACCATTGTGTCTATTTCTGTAAAAGTTTATAAAAAGGAATTTTAAGAGTAAATCACATAAAATTACTAGCATTTGATGCGCCATAAAAAAAGTCTTTAGATGATAATTTAATGGAATCACTTCCTGTGTTTTGTAGCCTCAAATATTGATTTGATTATTTTTTTAAATTTACGTATACATTGAAAATTGATTGGTTTTATTTACAGAAGAGGCCACTAAACAAAAGAAATTAGAAGAAAAAAGGAAAAAGACCCTGAAAGCTGATGATATTTACTCTGATGATGAGGATGAAGATGAAGATGAAGAGGAAAATGAGGATGATGTTCGTAAAGATAATAAAATGGAGGTCCGTGAAGCAAAATCTGAATCTGAATCATCAAGTGGTGAAAGGTCATCAGATGAGGGGTCACAATCAGAAAACGAGTAAGTGTTCTGTGTATGAATTATTAAAAGCAAAGATAATTGGGTAATTATACCCCCGCTCAGAAGGAGGGGTAAAATACTTTATGTCTGTCTGTGCGTGTTTCCATCAATCAGTCTGTCCTCCCCTGAAAATTTGTATAAAAATCAGATTCGTGAAATTTGGTATCAAGCTTTTTGTGAGCATGCTATAATGTGAAGTAATTTCAGCTGTCAACATCTTACAGTTTCCTGAATACTTAAAAACTCTTACAAATAATGGCCATGTAGGACATTTTTGTCTCATTAAAAAAAAAAATATGACAGACATTAAAAGAATTATCTTTAATAAATAATTAAGGTGGATTTCAGATTGATGGAATGTTCAAGGCCTGACAAAAATCTTAAATCATAATTTGAGAAAACTAAAAGGACAGGGTGTGATTAGGGCCTTATTTTGTCTCATTTTCACTGACATTTGAACTATTAAATTAAGATTTATAAATATATAAAAAATTTTTTCATTTTCAAGAAAATTGGTTAAGTATAGACAAGTTTTTCCAATTATCTGCCTTAGTTTGTGACACGACTCCTATGCGTCATCGTAGTAGCGTCGCCATTACAACTGTGAAAAAATATAAACTAGATATACATCTATTTCCCAGACCGCATATAATTAACGTAAACACAAGAATGTGAAGGCGTATTAGACCTCGACAAAATTATAAATGCTATAAATAATAAAGTAATTAGATAAGGAATGGACATTAAAATTTTCAGTGTATTGCAGGCCAGGTGTTGTCCTTAGAATATAACTGTATTTGATACATTACACCCGGGATATAATATATACGAATACTAATCCCAGGCTACATATCGATTATTATCATTATTGATTATTATAACACATACATAAATAAAAAATAAATTGTCTTGCCGGGTCAAATGAGATATATTAGAAAAACCAGGTGCAATTTTATCAAATCATAGAAATTTCTGTAGTCAGACCTATAATGAGACAGTCCTAAAATTCAACAATCCTCTTATCCGACGGTCCTATCATTCGACAGCCCGTTTTCTCTGACGCGCAGTTACTTGTCTCTATTGAAAAAATATACCTATAGACATGTACCGTTTGATGATAAACTTTGTTCACAGAGACGAGAGTTTTGTGCTTGTGGTTCGTAGGTTCTAGTAAACTATTTGACTACCAAGACCTTTGAAACATTCTTTCTGATTTGTAAAATTTAATTATTCATGCACAGAATAATCTATTAATGAGGAAAGTTCAAATCAAGTTTCACAGAAGTTACTGTATACGTCGTATAAAGAAAGTAAAGTGACTATATACTTTGAGCACACAGGCCTACATATATCATGTATATGGACCATTAAGATGAGGCTTATAGGGAAGGGCCCTTAATAGTAAGTTTTGCTAGGATTTGTCTATGGATGCAGCTGTTTGTAAAACCTTTAAGGTTTTCAGCAAGAACTGGCACCCAGGAATAAAATGTTTTACAAGCCTTACTTTTCGAAATATGAAAGTGCCGTCCAAAATAACCAAATATCAAACTAAGTGTTCACCTCGATCATCAGTACGATCGAGCAACAGCTAAACTGCTATATCGTAGTTGAAAATTAAATTTGTGTAATAATTCCACTAAAGTAAAGAACACTTATAAATATATATATAGTTACATAAGTATACAATAAGGCGTCAATGTCGTTCATAATATTTCTATACGCTGACGTGGTTCCCCCCTTTTTTTTAATTTTGAACTCCTTACTCCTCTGTTAACAATATTTTTGTCTGAGTTGATGTTGTCGGAATTAATGTCTGTCTATTTTGCAGCATAAAAATAGTCGTCATGAATAAAAAAGTTCGTCTCTTCATACTGGGTTGATTTGCTTACAATTAAAACTACATGTAGCCTCAGGGTAGGTTTCATTGTTATTATTTAAAGAAATGTTCAGCGGGAATTTAGGGGTTGGGGGTTCCCGCACACCCTTTATTGAGCTACATTTATTTGTCTAGTTTGGGGGCCCACGGCACCCCCCCCCCCCCCCTTTTTCAAAATCCTGGATCCGCATCTGATGTGTGGATTTTCTTTACAAAAAGAGGCAGATGCACTGTAGTCATCGGATTAATTTTCATAGATTAATTTAAGTTTTTTTAACAGTCGTTTCACGACGTGTCAACATTCGTCTGCCTGTGTAATTTTACTTTCATAACAAGTTTTATTTAAAAAAATAAACGGATTGTGTGCAGTCGGTGCACCATCCAGAAAATAAATGTCCGGACCATACAAAAACCTGTTGATGCAAAGTTTTTCTGCCTAAAGCTTTGATCCACTCAAGTTTTGTTGGCTCGTCAGAAGGCATCAAATGAGACTTATACAAGTAACATGTTATATGGAATCAAACAAGGACTGAGGGGCAGTCATTGTGCAACTCGTTGTGTAATTCAAATATTGATTTTTTTTCCACATCTACGATTATTTGTACAACTATTAACTGCACAAGAAATGCCTCCACATTTTCATAACTTTCGGCAGTATCCATAGTAAAATAAATCAGAAAATGAAAGAAATACAAATGTAAACAGAAAATCGATAATGTTTTGATCAATACACGTGCGTTATTTTTATACGACCGCAAAAATTGAAAATTTTTTGGTCGTATATTGGTATGACGTTGGCGTCGTCATCGTCGTCGTCGTCTGGCGTCGTCCAGCGTCGTCCGAAGACACATTGGTTTTCGCACTCTAACTTTAGTTTAAGTGAATGGATCTCCATGAAATTTTACCATAAGGTTCAATACCACGAAAGGAAGGTGGGGATTGATTTTGGGGGTTATGGTACCAACAGTTCAGGAATTAGGGGCCAAAAAGGGGCCAAAAATAAGCATTTTTGTAACTTCCAGACAATAACTTGTGTGTAAGTGTATGGATCTCTCTGACATTGTACCACAAGGTTCCATATCACAAAGGGAAGGCTGTAATTGATTTTGGGGGTAATTGCCTCAAAATTTTTGGAATTAGGGGCCAAAAAAGGGGCAAAAAACAAGCATTTTTCTAGTTTCATGACAATAACTTGTGTGTAAGTGTTTGGATATTTCTGAAATTGTACTACAAGGTTCCATATCACAAAGGGAAAGCTGGAATTGAGTTTGGGGGTAATTGCCCGAAACGTTTAGGAATTGGGGGCCAAAAAGGGGCCAAAAATAAGCATTTTTCTAGTTTCCAGACAATAACTTGTGTTCAAGTGTATGGATCTCTCTGAAATTGTACTGCAAGGTACCATACCACAAAGGGAAGGCTGGGATTGAGTTTGGGGGTGATGAATCATAAGGGGGTTCAAAAATTTGGGGGGGGGGGGATTTTTTTTTTTCTTTTTTTTTCTTTTTTTCCTTTTTTTTTCCTTTTAAAATTTTCCATTTTAAGTTGGTTATTTCTGATTAATAATTAAGAGCAAATAATAATGATATGGTAGGAGATACACACCAAACAGGATGTGTAAATTATTATATAATAAGTATTGTGCAATACTAAGAAATTTTCAATTGCACAGTATTGCACAATAGCAAGAAATCTTCAATTGCACAGTATTGCGCAATAGCAAGAAATCTTCAATTGCACAGTATTACGCAATAGCAAGAAATATCCAATAGCACAATATTGCGCAATAGCAAGAAATTGTCAATTGTACAGTATTGCACAATAGCAAGAAATATTCAATTGCACAGTATTGTGCAAAAGAAGATACTTCGTATAAATTGCTTATTTCTTGATCAATTTCAATGGGGTTTTAATCTTGAATTCTTGGGGTTCTTTAATATGCTGAATCTAACCGTGTATTAAGTTTTTGGATTTTGGGTACCGTTTTTAAATTGGTCCACATTGAGGTCAAAAGGGTCCAAAATTTAACTTTGTTTGATTTCATCAAAAATTGAATTATTTGGGTTCTTTGATATGCCGAATCTAACCGTGTATTTAGATTCTTAATTTTTGGTTCCGTTTTCAAATTGGTTTACATTAAGGTCAAAAGGGTCCAAAATTAAACTTAGTTTGATTTTAACAAAAATTGAATTTTTAGGGTACTTTGATATGCTGAATCTAATCATGTATTTAGATTTTTGATTATGGGCCCAGTTTTCAAGTTGGTCCAAATCGGGGTCCAAAATTAGACTTTGTTTGATTTCAACAAAAATTGAAAATATGGGGTTCTTTGATATGCTGAATCTAACCATGTATTTAGATTTTTGATTTTTGGGCCCCGTTATCAACTTTGTCCACATTGAGGTCAAAAGGGTCCAAAATTAAACTTTGTTTGATTTCATCAAAAATTGAATTTTTGGGGTTCTTTGATATGCTGAATCTAACCATGTATTTAGATTTTTTATTTGTGGACCCGCTATCAAATTGGTTCATATTGAGGTCAAAAGGGTCCAAAATTAAACTTTGTTTGATTTCATCAAAAATTGAATTATTGGGGTTCTTTGATATGCCAAATCTAACCGTGTATTTAGATTTTTAATTTTGGGTCCCGTTTTTAAATTGGTCTACATTAAGGTCCAAAGGGTCCAAAATTAAACTTAGTTTGATTTTAACAAAAATTGAATTCTTGGGGTTCTTTGATATGCTGAATCTAAACATGTGTTTAGATTTTTGATTATGGGCCCAGTTTTCAAGTTTGTCCAAGTTGGGGTCCAAAATTAAACTTTGTTTGATTTCAACAAAAATTGAATATATGGGGTTCTTTGATATGCTGAATCTAAACATGTATTTAGATTTTAGATTTTTGGCCCAGTTTTCAAGTTGGTCCAAATTGGGGTCCAAAATTAAACTTTGTTTGATTTCAACAAAAATTGAATATATGGGGTTCTTTGATATGCTGAATCTTACCATGTATTTAGATTTTTTAATTGTGGGCCCGCTATCAAATTGGTTCATATTGAGGTCAAAAGGGTCCAAAATTAAACTTTGTTTGATTTCATCAAAAATTTAATTATTGGGGTTCTTTGATATGCCAAATCTAACCGTGTATTTAGATTTTTAATTTTGGGTCCCGTTTTTTAAATTGGTCTACATTAAAGTCCAAAGGGTCCAAAATTAAACTTAGTTTGATTTTAACAAAAATTGAATTCTTGGGGTACTTTGATATGCTGAATCTAAACATGTGTTTAGATTTTTGATTATGGGCCCAGTTTTCAAGTTTGTCCAAGTTGGGGTCCAAAATTAAACTTTGTTTGATTTCAACAAAAATTGAATATATGGGGTTCTTTGATATGCTGAATCTAAACATGTATTTAGATTTTTGGCCCAGTTTTCAAGTTGGTCCAAATTGGGGTCCAAAATTAATCTTTGTTTGATTTCAACAAAAATTGAATATATGGGGTTCTTTGATATGCTGAATCTTACCATGTATTTAGATTTTTTATTTGAGGGCCCGCTATCAAATTGGTTCATATTGAGGTCAAAAGGGTCCAAAATTAAACTTTGTTTGATTTCATCAAAAATTGAATTATTGGGGTTCTTTGATATGCCAAATCTAACCGTGTTTTTAGATTTTTAATTTTGGGTCCCGTTTTTTAAATTGGTCTACATTAAGGTCCAAAGGGTCCAAAATTAAACTTAGTTTGATTTTAACAAAAATTGAATTCTTGGGGTACTTTGATATGCTGAATCTAAACATGTGTTTAGATTTTTGATTATGGGACCAGTTTTCAAGTTTGTCCAAGTTGGGGTCCAAAATTAAACTTTGTTTGATTTCAACAAAAATTGAATATATGGGGTTCTTTGATATGCTGAATCTAACCATGTATTTTGATTTTGGACATTGGACCATAATAGGTAAATTAAAAAAATTGAAGTTCTTAGACCACATTCTAGTGTGTCAGAAACCTATGCTGTGTCAAATATTTAATCACAATCCAAATTCAGAGCTGTATCAAGCTTGAATGTTGTGTCCATACTTGCCCCAACTGTTCAGGGTTCGACCTCTGCGGTCGTATCAAGCTGCGCCCAGCGAAGCATTTTATTCACGGTTGTAATGGCTGATCGGTACACGTGAGAGGTTAATGGATGCGCCCATGTTTTCTAGGTCAATTATAGGTAAACCCATCTATTGATTTGGGTTGTATGATTTTCAATGTTTCAGATAAAGTACAAGCTAATACTTAGTTTATAGAAATTGTTGTTATTTATTGTAGATATTATAATTACCAGAGATCAAAGAAAAAAGTGCAGTATGTGTCTACGAAGGAACAATTACAAAAGGTCAGACTGTCTCGGCATAAAATAGAGAGGTATGTACTGCATTATTCTTAGTGTTCACAATTTGGTAGGCCATAAAATTTATTTTACAAAAAGGCTATACCCATTCCATTATGATTTTCATAAGTTGAATAGGCTCTTTGAACAAACTAAATTTCGCAAGTGATATATTTATATGACTAGCAAATAAATTGTGGCTATGTCAAAATTGGTTCTTTTCTAATATGAATACACCAACAAAGTTAAAAATCCTAAAAATAAATCGCAACAAAGTTGGCTAGACTTAGCAAACTCATCTGTGTGTAATATGTGTTAAATACTTTTGATACCAGTAGTTATTTTTCACTAAAAATTGGTTTAAATGTCTCAACATATCATACTTTGCTTGGGCATAAGTCCATTTTGTGCAGTATAGAACCAGTCTAATAATTCACAAAGGGAAACAGATTGTGTTAAAAGTGTGTAATAAGACAATCAAATCAGCAAATGGACCATTATAGATGTAGCATAAGCTTTCAGGTAGCCAATAATGATGGATAGAGTGCCATCTTTTCATGCAATCCAATACTTGACGATTCATTTATGATTGAGAGTACCAATTTTTGTACATTGAGGAATAATTGTGTTTTTGTGATTTTATCAAAATTCTGCATATAAAGTCTTAGAGATACTATGATGTTGATCAATTTGATTTGATTGATTGGTGTTTAACACCACTTTCAACACTATTGTGCTATTTGTGGCAGTCAGTTTCTATTGGTGGAGGAAGCCGGAGTGCCGGAGAGAACCACGACCTTTGGTAGGAAAACTGACAATCCTAGTCAAATTAAGATTGGAGTGCACATGCCACGTGCGGTTCTATGATGTTGAAGATCTAGATCTACAAAGTGTTGGTTCACTCATCTATAAATGGTTAAGATATACCCTCTAAATCAAAGAAAATGAGTACCCCACGATGAATGATGAATCCAGAGTATATGATACATTTGTTTTAGTTGTTTATTTATATGTTTTGTAGATGGGTACATATGCCTTTCTTTAGGAAAACTGTGGCAGGTTGTTATGTAAGGATTGGTATAGGAAATCATGAAGGCAGAGCTGTATATAGGGTATGAAAAATTTGTTAGATTGTTGTAGTCATAGAAATACAGAAGCTCTGGCATATTTGTTATTGATATCTTTGGAATTTACAAAGTTAGAAACTGGAATGATAAAACAGGAAATGTTAAAAAAAAACTTATCATTACCTTCTAAAATCAAAAAAAATAAATTATAAATTACTGATGGTTCATTTGTTTTGTTAATATTCTTTATGTCTTTAATTGCAGGTAGCTGAAATAATAGATGTTGTAGAAACAGCAAAAGTTTACCAATTAGGGACAACTAGAACAAATAAAGGATTAAAACTAAGGTAAGCAAACAGAACATGGAGAGAAATTTCCAGGAGACAATTTTTGCAACTTTGTTTGCATCACTCTTGAAGCTATTTCCTTCATCAACAGCAAAATGATGGATGTGAACACAATAATGGATGAGTCTTTGTCTATTTCACTCTCTAGATTAGGGTTTTATTTCATAATTATTGTTTAAAAGTTATGGGTTTATTTGCACAATTTAAAAAAACAAACTTGTGTAAATATTTATTGGATTATTCTACTATCCTCTTTTCTGAAACTAGCAGTCAGTGTGTCAAGGATCATTTTAGTGTTACTAAAAAAAGGAAATGTTTGAGGAGATACTGGTTTCTGTTTGATAACTTTGTGAGGTTCCTCTGTTGGATTTAAATGAAACTTATATAGATGGAAGATAAAGGCAATTGGAAGAGCCCTATATTTTTTCAGGTCAATAGGTTATTGATGCTAATTATAGACTTAATAAAGAAAATGAGGGGCAATTTGTTTCTGGGTGACATCTTGAGATACCCTTGTTGTGTATTATGAATATAAGTAGTAGATAGTAGAAAAGGAACAAAGACTATGGATTTTTAGGTCAATATGTCAGAGGTCAAAGTCACAATTACAAAACTGACAGCTACATGTAATACGTATTCTTCAAAATCTTAGTTTCTGGATAAAATCTCTTGATAATGTTTTATTTCAGGGATATTTATATTGGACATGTGCCACTCAGATGTGGCACATTAGCTAGTGTTACTAGAGCCTTTTCTGAAATTTTATTAGGTACCATCCATGAATGTGTGGTTCAGGGATCATAGGTTGGCCTTGGGTTTAAATTTTAGAGTTTGTTTTGATTTGATTTGAAAAATTTTTTATGCTTATTATTTTGCAGACATGGTCATTCAGAAAGGGTTTACCGATTAGAGTTTGTATCAAACCAAGACTATACAGATTCAGAATTCTTTAAATGGAAAGAAGCCATGTTGTTAGGAGGTCTAACATTACCAACTGTAGATGATATTGAAAAAAAAGTCAAAGACATTGCAGAGGCTGCAAACTATAAATTTAAGGAAAACGATATTGAAGAAGTAAGTACAGTAGATTTGTTTTTATTCGTTAACGAAAATGGGCACTTGTGAAAATAAATGAATTGACAATAGTTTTAAGTCTGTTATATATATAGATAACAAAACTTCGGTTGAATATTAGTGGTTTTGTGTAAACTGTAAAGTGTAAATCACTTTACCAATATTATCATTGAAAAATTAGTCCTAAATTTTCCAAAACTTAATTTTAAAGATGATGGATGCGAAAACATCAAAGTTTTACACTGAGCATGTTATTAATAATACCCTCAATAATATTTTTTTTTATACTAAATACATACTAAGACAGAAGACTTACAGCTAAATATTTACTCTTTATTACAGATTGTAGCAGAAAAACAAAGGTTTAAAAAGAATCCTCATAATTATGCTGTAAAGAAAACCATTTTATTGAAACAAAAGGTCAGTTGAAGATTGTTGGTCGTGTTAAGTTTATGTATAGTTTATTTAATGTTGACGAGCTGCCATGATGACTTACCTGTCTAGATCTCTACTAAGGATTAAGGGAAATAAGGGGTATTTGTCAATGAGACAGCAACCCAAGGACACAAATTATCACAAGACATCTAGAAGTCAACATATCAGTCTTCAACAATAGAGAGGTGTAGATACAATTTTTCATCTCTTGAATGTTTGTTATCAAAATAAATTGCAGATAATTAATTGAAATGAAAAATTTACAATGGAAATATTGAAAAAGGTATTATATTTTAGTGCGTTTCATTCAGTAAAATTTTAGTACCACACTTCCCAGTTCTAATTGGGAAATCAGTGACCAAGAGAGTAAACTGTGAAAACACAGTGTTAGAATTTTCTTTTGGGGCTGTTTCAGAATTAATTGTATGGAGAATTGTTAGGCACACTTCTGTTAAAATTTGAAGAGTGGTAATTAAAGAAAGATAGCCTGAACAATTATTGAAATCAATAGATTGAACTTTGTTGCATGGCAGGGTAAAAAATAAAGTGCCCCCAATCTATCCCAAACTATTCTGGGAAAGAGTATACAAAGCAAAAAATAAATTTCCATCAAAATCATCAGAATTTATTGATGAATATTAATTTTTCATAGGAAATGGCAGACATGGAAGGCAATGTTGATCAACAAGGTAAACTTCAACAGGAATTAGAAGATTTAGAGGAAAGGGCAACTGAGTTAGATCGGCGAAGGTCACAGAAAATTAACTCTATCAGGTATGTCATTGTTTAAGAAGCACTGAGTTAGACCATCGAAGGTCACAGAAAATTAACTATCTCAGGTATGTAAGTGTTTAAGGGCAACTGAGTTAGACCATCAAAGGTCACAGAAAATTAACTATCTCAGGTATGTAAGTGTTTAAGGGCAACAGAGTTAGACAGATGAAGGTCACTGAAATTTTTTTTTTTAATTAATGCCAAAAAATGTGACAGGAATCTGTATCAGATTAATTAAATTCTAATCAAATTGTTAAATTTCAGCATTTCCTGTGAAAAAAGCATTAATTAATCCCACATTTATGTTCATTGATCAACAAAATTAATAATAAATGCATGCAACAATTCTGAATTTTCATCGTTTATTACCTTTTCTTTAGTTACATCAACCAGAGAAACAGACAGCGTAATTTGATAGAATCAGAAGAAGCATGTAAAGTTGAAGTAGCAGAAATGAAAAATAAAGTAGCTGATCCATTTACCAGACGACAGTGTCGTCCGACCATGGTTACCAAGGTAGGTCATATGACATTAAAAATGATGTATAGAAACAAGTTTATTACGTTAGATGAAATAAAAAATCTAAGTAATCTTTTGATTGTTGCAAAATATCCTTTTTTTGCACAAAAATATTATTCTGACCTGATTTATCACTAGTAAGTTGCTTGATTTTATTATTACATCAAAATCTAGAAGGTAATCTGTATGTATTGTAATCTGTCTAAACCAAGGAACACTATATATTTTAGAACATACAGTGTTAACCCTGATAATTTCATGTCTACTCTCACTCCTCTGACATATAAAACAATAGGTGTTGTCAAGACGTCAATGCATTTAAATAATGCATAAAAGAAAACATAAAAAATTATATGGCCCCTGGTATTTTTTACTTTATTTTGCATTAAAAGCCATTTTTATAAGAATAGCTAGTCAAAAGAATTCAAATATCGAAAAATAACCAATTGGAGACTAACAATAGTGTTATTTCACTGATATGATTTGCACATTCTTGAATTTATGTTGTGAATCTTTTTTGATATTCAGATTCTCTTACATCCTGCACAATATTTGAAGGTTTGTTTTATTTCAGGTTGGTTTGCAGGCAAAGGAACCATTGAAAGAAGCCAAAGAAGGTCAACTTAAAAACGAAAGCCAATCATTGAACCTCAAACTCCCATCATTGAAGGTATATATTTATTTGCCTAAAGAAGTGTAAAAGATAATCAAAATTTATGCATGTTTGGGTAAACAATAAAGTGGTAACTCTTTTTGTTGATATCTAGAATAACCTAAAGGATATGGAATAGCAATACTTTGGGTTTTTTTTTCTATTTCAAATTCCAAATATTGTACTGTTATATTTGTTTTAAATGGCTGCTTTAAAATTAGATAGAACTGTACTATCAATTTTCCTTGGTTAATTTTCAAGTTTGGGGCTTTGAATTTTGTATTATCATTTGCTTGAATGTATAAATGTAATGGATCAGATTATTTTGTGGTGCTTTGCTTTGTTTCGTGCAAATTTTTATTTATTCAGTCATTCTGAAGATCACTCTCGACACTAGCAATATTCTGATAAATATTGGTCTGATGCTGTAAGTTAACCTTGTACAATAAACTCTGAACCTTTTGAAATCTTGAGATCTTCAAAATGACTGTTTATTCCCTAATTTCATCCAATGTATTTTCCAGGCTGAAGAACAAAGAGATCATAGAAAGGTATATCTCAAAACAGTAAAGTTAATTGATTCAAGTAGTGTTAGATACACTTGGAATGGCTACTATCAAGTTTATAAAATGTCACACAGTAGCAATTTCAGTAAATGCTAGGTGCAATTTTGGCTGCTTGCAACTTTTCCTAAATTTGAATAGAGTATAGGATAAGCTGTCAACATTGATGGATGCATTCAAATAGAGCTAGCCAGTAGCGTAAAACAACATATGAAAGTCTAGTGCTAAAAGACTAAATGAGAACTTATTGATTTACATTGAACTGGAACTATGATTTAAAGAAATATTGATAGTAAAAAATTAGTAAACCAATCTAAGCCATATTCAGCACCACCTAGTATTTACTAAGTTGTAACATAAAGTAAAATTCAACTTGTGTCAGGTTTTCCTCTAACTTGGAAAATATTTTTTAAAAAAAAGTTAAAGTGCTCATGATTTAAAAAAAAAGCAGTTTTAATGAAATTGATTAAAAAACGATATATCTATAGTTGACTGTACTGTTTTGATTTCTACGAGATTTACTTGTGTTTTGAATGTACATATAATAGACTGGTTTGGTTGGCCTGTCCTTTATCTGTTTGGATTTTCTAGATATAAGGGCCAGGTATTCACCAACCATCTTTTTCCCCGATTTATTTTCATTATGAGTAGAAAAGTTCCCTGGTTGACAAGGGAAATAACCAGACACAGAAGTATAGATTCTACCACTGCATTGAGTGTGATATGATATTTCTCCTTTCGAGACAGTTATACTTTCAAATTTAAAATGTGAGGCTTGTTGTGCATTTTAAATATTTACAATTTAACTGGACAGTTGAGACATATAGCATTCCACTAGATACGATGGTAGAATCTGTTTCTCTAATTATTTTAGACGATATGTATGCAAAGTTTATCTTTATGTTTCAATGATCTGCATAAAGGTTGTGCTCTTTCTATGTGACGTCACAATAGTGAAGTCAGAGGAAAGAAGAAAATAAAATGTCATAGTTGAAAATTGACAAAAGAAGTACTGAGATCAAGGGAATCACATAACAAAAATAATCAACCTTTGGGGAAGTATAAATTGTCTAAGAATAAGATATATCTTTCTACCATCCATAATCTATTTTCTTCTATTTTAAATATTTATCTCACTATGTTAACCATGTTTTTTCTTATCTCTTCTCATTTGAAATTTCACTTACTTATTAAAGTTCAGTAAGGTCAGATTCATAAATATTTTAAGGTAACTTATAATGTTGGATTTTCCTTTAGCTAGCACATATATAGTATCATATGCTGTTAAAAATTAATGCTGGTAGTATAAAAAATATTTCGATCAATTTTAAAGGAAATTTCTTAAACACAGTTTTGTTTAATTTTTTTTATAAATAACTAATAATTGCTTTAAAATACGTTCTATTGTGTAAGTAATATTCTGATTATAGGATTGGGGTGACTTTTCATATAAAATAAAATACAACAGTCCCTCTTGTATAGCAACAACAGCAAGGTGTCTAAAGACATAAAAAAATTTAGGCATTTTGATATTTTTTTTTTGCAGATATCACCTTTAAAAACTACAGATAAAAAGCAACAAGATTTATTTGCTGATCATGATTTTGATATAACAATAGATCTTGACGTCACCTCATCAGGTATGTAATATAACAATAGACATATTATTATAGCTTATATATATGATAAATAATTTCATTGGGTAACACAGTATCATGTGACATGGAATAATTCAGTTAATTTTCATTTAAATGCAAGGAAGGATGAATAATCCTAAAAATTAACACCCAGCGATGAATAACCCTATTATTTACCAGTGAATAAGCTTTTGAGCTTTTTGATTTGTACACAAGTTTTCTCCCATCAAAATGAGGTCACGGATATATGTAAACAAAATGGCAACGGTCACGTACGAAACCCATCAAGTGAAGTGGAAACAAGGCTTTGAAATTCATCTAGTGTCAAAATATCTCGCATAAACAGTTGTTTTCAGATCTATCAATATTTTACAAAAAGAGTCTACCTTTAAATAATGTGTTGTACATACAAGAAATTCTAAAACACCAAATAGTTTTCTAACAGGAGTGTTTTGACAATCTGTTACTACAGTAGGGCAAGTGCTTTTTCAATGGTTCAAAACGCCCTTCAATAGTTAGTTCGGAATAATAAAACAATTGTGGGCCCTTAGAAGCAATGAATATCCAAAATTGTCAGCCCAAAAAGTTTATTTCACTGAGGGCCATAATTGTATATTGACCGCACCTCATAGGTATGTGATATAATAATAAATTTTGACGTCACCTCTTCGTGCTTGAAGATATTGATTTGATATTTGGTGTATTGTTTTATCATGACAATTTACAGATCAAGTTCGAATTTTGTTCCGGCCTGATGATTTTGTGCAGAGTTATGGTCCTTGGACTTAGAAAATTCACTCAAATAATCAGTTTTCGGCACTTTTTTCGTCATGCTTGAAGATATTGACTTGATATTTGTTACATAGTTTACACCATGACAAGTTATAGATTAAGGTAGCATTTTGTTCCAGAACCATAAATTTTTAACCGGTAGTGGATTATGTATTGCCATGCAATACTCCAGAATGCTTGTTATCCTCTGTGAATAAACAATAGTGATATACTAATACTATTAAATTATTATAATGGTCTATTTTTCAGCTCCCTCTATGATTGTTAATAAAACCAGTGAAACCAGTCGTGAAGGAGCAGCACCAAAACGATCCCTTAACCTAGCTGAATATAAGAAGATGAAAGGACTTATTTAGTACCAGTATGTGTGTGTGTGTGAATGTTTGTGTGTGAATGATGAAGGATGTTTGAGTAGGTGTGTCTGATCTGAATCATGTGTATGTGTGTTGACTTTTCATTTCATTTCAAAATATGTGTTTTCACTACAGAGATGTCATGTTTATCGTTTTTTTATTTAGTATATCTTGTTTTAGAGAAGGACATATATAGCATATAATTCATGTAAGAGAGTCTGATAGAAAAATTCTCTGTCACTTACAGTATCATTAAAAAAAACTTGCATTATATGGACCATGTTTAAGGATTAATGGATGAGCGAAGTGGGGGGAAAAAATTACATTTTCTTTATAAATAACTGTGGTATGTTTTTTTGCTGAAAAATATTAAGAAAATATTGTGTCCCTTGCCAAATCAAATTTTAATTTGGTCCTAAAAGTTTAAAATGTTTACTTATACCTGTATATGTACAGTACAGTTTTATGGTATTTCTAATGTTTTTATATTTATCAGGTTTATATTTAGAGTGATACTGTGTAACATGTTCAACAGTATAAAGCTTGTTTTCTAATGTTTCTCTCAGCTTACGACATGAGAGTTTGTACCTTGGACTTAAACAATATTTCTTTGTCATACCCTGGAAGTATTAGTTGTCCTTAAATTTTTTGATTAGAATAACAAACTTGATGACTGTTGGAGGTCAATATGTTTTCGTCATGGGCCAGTCTACATTTCTACCAGTTGGCAGCTAGTCCCCCCCTATTCTTAAATCTCTGAAGTAAGAGCCTTTATACATGTACATGAATCCACTTGTCAGAGTTGTTTATTGCACTTTTGTTTGTTTTTGTATTTCTTCAACCGATTGAAAGATGCACAGCGTCCGGTGATAGTAACATAATAAATTATGTAATCTCTAGGTAAAAATTTTTTTTATATAAGTGTTTGGCTGGGTACCCCCACACTGTTTATGTTCCGTTACTGATTTGTTCCTTTTATCCTTGACACACTCTTACCCTAAACATTTTCTTATTAGATTGTTTTACAATGTAGTGTCAAATAAAAGCTCAAATTTACATGTACATTTTTCCCCAATGGATTTCAGTATGCAGTGATATGTAAATATATAAATAAAACAACGACAAGGGGGGTGTTTAAGTCGGTGACTACCCATGAGGGTCTCGAACGGTCAGATATAAATTGTATTTAAGGTGAAATAAAAGAGAAAGGTACCTGGAAATTGAATATTAATATGTTTTCATCATGTAAAATGAGATGCATGTTTGTTTTAACAGTTAATATATATTTTGTTTCCAGTTGTTTACAACATTTCTTCAATTAAGATCATCATAGGTTAGATTTTCAACGTGCAAGCCTTAGTAAGCAGTTCAAGATCTGAACTATAATTATCAAAAGTGGAGAAATATTGTAACTTAAGACAGAGAAAGTAATTATGTTACAAATGCAGCTTTTATAACATGAAGTCATAATAAATAACTGTAAATTTAGAAATTTTTGTGTGCTTTATAAATGGGACGGTTGAACAATGGGAAAAAATGAGATTAATTATTGCAATTCCAGGAAATGTAGCATACAAATAATGCTATCAAAATACAATTTTTGTTTCAGTGAAACCTTTCCTGTGGCAATTTTAAATAAAAAAAACCTGCTAGATGAAATTGCTAAGGATAGACTTACTGGACCCACTCATAAATATCTGATAAAAGCAGACCTTTAATGAATTTTGGCCCTTGATCTTTTTCAATATTTAGTGTATGGATTGCTGACAAGAAGTATAAAGTTACATTTGACAATGCATAATTTAAACAGTACAAAATTTTCTTAATATGCAATTCATGTACCTACAAATGACTCTACCTGAAATATGGGCAAACTTATTTTAAATTATTTCTAACCATTTTGCCAAAAGTTTAAAAAAAATACAATGAGAGAAATTAAAATCTATCGTAAGTATGTCCTATTATCTTCAAATTATATTAAACCATGGATAAAGTATAGGGGTTATATAGGAATTCCATCATCAGTTAATTTCACTTTGGGTTGATAGAATGGGTTTAAACAAAAGGAAACAATGCAATGAAATATATGTGAATAAAGGGAGGTTATTGTGATCTTACAAATTTTAAATTAAAATGTGTCAAGATTGTAAATCTAATATCTTTGATCGTATGTGGTATAATTTTGTGAACTGTATTCACAGTACTTCTAGTTTAACTCATTCTAGGTATGCATGGAATATTTGCCACTAGAGGTTAAGCAAACAACAATCAATCTAGTTTTAAACTTACAAAGGTTAACATTATTTAATATGTTTTAAAAACTAACCATGTGTGACCATAACATGCAATGTTTTGTCAAAGGAACATCAGTACTTCTATGAAGTGTATATGTGTTGATGTAGTGATTTTTTTTTACAATGAGTTCACAATATGAAAGTAGGTTTTATAGAGGTAGATTTTTGAAAGATTTTGTTGCGTTTTTTTAATGTCTAAAATGATATTTTAATCTATGAATTGGTAGCATACTTAACATGTTTCTGTTTGATTATGCATTTTAAGGACTGTTCCATTTAAATGAATGTTCGAGGGTATAAACAAACTTCCCAGATTCACCCAACAATCAACCTACTGTGGATTCATTATTATTCGTGGGATACCAGTTTTCGTGGAGTTTGTCGGTACAGGTGAACCACAAATTTAATGGTTGAATGATTTACAAATTTTCAAGAGGCTTGTATGCAGACTTTGGCAAATCCATGAAATCAAATATCAACAAAATTGTATATTTTCCTCAATCCACAAAAATCGGTACCCATGAAAATATATGAATCCACAGTCCTTTGCGTCATTTTGCATACATCCATAAATGATCCACAACCCCATTTCCAAACATAAAACTTTCCTTCCTACCTCCCCACCTCCATTCATATGGAATAGTCTTCACAAAAACTGTTTGTATACATATTGAGATAGTATTACACAGTATTTAAGTTTTCAGGATGCAATAATATCCTGTTTGACATGTCTGTTAATGCAAATTTACAACCATTACTTTTGAATTAAAAATAAAAAGTTTAAAAAATATAGTATTATTAACAGGGGTGTAAAATATAGCAGTATGTTTCTAAATAAGTATTTACTTTAGCATTCTTTTGTTACCATATCAGCCGAGGTGTATAAATCATGAATTAGAATGAAATACCTCAGGACAGAGTGTGAGAGATTTTTATTAGATATTTGTTATATATGATGTTGTACCTCTAATTAAACTGATAAATCTTTTTGTGTGTTTACTTTTCTTGTCATCAAAAGATCATGAATGGTCAATGTAATTATCACAATGACCAGTATAATTCATTCAGGCTTTCTTCACTAGTTGTGGTTTTGACAATTATCTGTATACTTCACTTCAGCCATTTTTGTACCCCCCTCTACCAGGTCAACTTCCATGGAACTCAACACATTGTCTTGAAGTGTTACACCCATGTGCAAAATGTCCCCAAAAAATCTATCATTTTAACCCTTCAGTGGTTACAAGCACTTTGATTAATGATTTGATTCATTTTGTCCAAACATCATATACTTTTGTATCTCTACTGTTATTTGCTAAAATAATATGTAACAGTTTAACAACTCTTGTGATGGACAACTGTTTCGCATTCAATACCAATAGGTAGTTATTAATTCAGGACAAGAACATGTTATTGCTATATGATTATGATTCTTGCATGTTATTAGACGTCTTATCAGAGGTGGACTTAACAAAATTTAAAAGTATGGCCTATAGGACCAGTTAGAGCATAAATTTACTGGCCCTACTCAAAATAAAATTTGCCCTCTCAATGCTATATAAGTGAAAATATAGTCAAATGTACTGGCCAATGGGGCCAGTAGTCTTTATGTTCAACTGGCCCTATCGAAATTCTACTGGCCTCGGGCCAGTGCTTTTAGTCGACCCCTGCTTATTTTAAGTGCACAGCATAGTGAGCAAAAAAAGTTGTAGCCTTTGATTTAACACAGCCAGGATCAATCGCACAATATTCTGCACCTAAGGTATGCATGCTATTAATAATGAAGCAACACTAAATTTTAGTAACCATGGTTTTTTGTGTCGCACAGAATGTGAGATAAAAGGATGCTAATCAGAAGGCCTCTTAAATCATTTGCTTAAAGCTTTATATTTTATAAGGTAAAGCATTCTGTGAGTATTGCATGGCAATACATAGTCCACTACCGGTTAAAAATTCATTGTATTGGAACAAAATTCTTAATTGATCTATAACTTGTCATGGTGTAAACTATATAACAAATATCAAGTCAATATCGTCAAGCATATTGAAAACTGACTATATAAGTGAATTTTCTAAGTCCAAGGACCATAACTCTGCACAAAATCATCAGACTGGAACAATATTCAAAGTTGAACTGTAACTTGTCATCATAAAACTATATAACAATTGTCAAATCAATATATTCAAGAATGACAAAAAAAAGTGCAGAAAAATGATTATTTTAGTGAATTTTCAAAGTCAAAGGACCATAACTCTTGACAAATTCATTAGACCAAATATCAAATCAATATCTTCAAGCATGAAGAAAAAAAGTGTGGAAAACTGATTTGCCGGACTGATGGATGGACAGACAAATGGACGGAGTGCAAACCTAAAGTCTCCTTCGACTTTGTCGGTAGGGGACTAAATAACCCAGATACTCCATACCTTGTGTAACAGGTTCTTATCTTGCAAAGTTGGGCATATGTCCATTGTGCTTGACCCAATTTTCAGGGTTCAGCAACTGCTTAAAAAAATTATCATGAATTTCTAGCTTATGAGTAATAGGATAACTATATTTGGTATACTGGATCCTTGCAAGGTCTTCATGTGTTCGACAAGGTTCATCTGACCATGGCCTCATTTTGTGGATCAGTAATCAAGGTTAAGTATGTGTGGTCTTCCATATTGCCTTTAGTACAAGCATTAGGTCAACAATATTTGGTTTTATGGAATCTACATGTCCATTTGGATGAGTTTATCTGATCTTGACCTTATTTCATGGTTCATGGGTCAATACTTTTATGGTAAGGTCCATAAGCAAAAGGTCAACTATATTATATGATTGTAATGTGTACATTTCCGTCTTGCAGTGTTCATGTGATCTTGACATCATTTTAATGGTTCATTGTTCAATGTTTAGTTTTTGTGGTTAAGCCCGTTTCTCAGGTATTTAAGCAATAACTCATTTGGTGTACGGAATGATTGTAAGGTGTGCATGGATGTCTGGCAGGGCTTAACTGACCTTGACCTCATTTTCATGATTAATTGGACAATTTTTAGTTGAGATAAGGACCTTTCCTCTGATACTATAAGCAATGGGTAAACTTAGTTGGGTGTGTGGAATGATTGTAAGCCATATATATCTGTCAAGCAGGGTTCATCTGACCTTGAGTCCATTCAACCAGGATCAAGGAAGCAGGGGAGCATAATAGTTTGTTCAAGTTTGAGGTTAATGTATCAAGACATACTTGAATTGGTGTGACAGATATTTACAACAACTGAATTTCATATAAAAATTCAAAAGAATTTTACTTAAAACCTCATGCCCATGAAAATTGTGAGAAAAATAAAGTATGTTTGAGAAATTTGGCAGTGTAGTTTCAAAGAAATATGCACTGAACTTGACATACCAATCAACATTTTATAATATCCTAACAAAGGAAACATGGCAGAGGAATTTAATAACAGAAAATAGATAAAACAAAGCTTTTATTTATCTAATAAATTACAACTACATATAATCTCATCACCATTGGGTACTGGTAATTACAATGTCACAAATGTGACCGAGTTCAGATCAAGTTATTCAAACTAATAATTTTATCTAACTTCAGCATCTTTGCACTGTTGTCTTTCTGAACTAATTTAATTAACTTCAGTTTACTTTGACATTTCCCCTGAATAGTTGGATGCATCAATTCTTTAATTTACATTATATTTGGGGTAATTGGCTTAAAAGAATTACAAATGACATTAATACACTAAAACAATAGAACTTTTGAACTGGGCACATTGTTAGGCAAGTACAAAGTTGCATATGTATATTTTTTTATCAATTAAAAGTCATTTTGTGCACCAAAAATTAAAAAAAGGTAACAACTACTAAAGGTAAGAATTACACCTACGTTAACAACAAAAAGATTGCAAAATAAACAAATAAAATACTTTGAATATTTTTTTCTGTACAACATCATTACATTGTATAACAAAATACATTTAATCTATGAATATTATATAAACTCTGATACCATTTGGTTTTACAGCTTTAAGGTTTTGAGCCTGTCTGTGAATGGAACAAATAGAAGGGAAATTGGCACTTCCTCCTTAGCAGATAAAGTTTTAGTATTTAAAAGTCACACTTGGTACATTACTTTGTGACTTTATTATTTTTTTTTTTTAAGTTTTCAACAATTAGACTTGGAAAAACATACATCATTGTATTCACATTTTGAAAAAGTAACAATGTCAAAAAAAAAGAAAAAACAACCAAACTTGCACATTTATAAATGTAAGCTAATATGTATAACTGGTGGAATTCTTGTGTATACATTTCAATTATATACATGATATAAGGACATAAAAACATTGCTATACGTGTATAAATAAATGTTTAATTAGCTGCTTAGGCCAAATTTGAAAATTTTAAAGTACATTTTCTAAATTTCATTCATAAAACTGAAAGTTCGACCAGCAAGTTTCAATCACCACTTAACTCTTTCTTCCAAAATAAAACCAGACATGAAGCAGGTTTTGAGTAGCCGAGGGAGGCACTGAGAAGCTTATTTTCATTTATTTGGCCTAAGGCAAAATGAATATAATAAATAACACAGTTAACAATATCTTTAGGATGCTTCCTACCACCACTAAAACTTGCCATCCCTTCTAAAATGAAATACTGTGGATTCATTTATTTCTGTGGATTCATTTATTTCCATGGATTCATTTGTTTCCGTGGATTGAGGAAGAACTGTATTTTCATTGATATTTAATTTTGTGGTTTTGCCAAATCTTGCATGCAAGTCTATTTAATTTTGTACTTCATTGAACATTTAAATTATTGGTTCACCTTAATCCACGAAAATTGGTATCCTATGGATAATAATGAATCCATAGTAATGCAATAGTTACAACAATAAATTCAAATCAAATTCTTCACACTTGTGTTGTATAAATAACATAGGGTTGTTTTGTTCCAAGTGTGGCTACATTGTTGTATAAACATTAATAAATTATTTGATGAAAATGAAACAATTAGTGTATATATTTTGAAAGCTACTTTTACATAAAACAAATAGATCAGCTACATTGTAGATTCAAGACAACCGTTTTAGACATGAGGACGCACAAGGCTACATCCTTTTATAAATAAAAAGCTCAAAATTTGAAGGACTTTGTTACAAATTATCTTACTTTGAAGGTTTAGCTTAACAAAACCAAACATATTTGACATTTTTTTTATTCATACTTATTCATTGACTAAGCTAAGATCATCACAAACACATTTGACATTGACTTGAACTGTAGTCTTTCTTGCAGGCCTGATGTCTCTAAAGTGAATATGATGTTTTTCTAAAATTCATGGAAAAAATTAAACATGCATATATTATAAACTACTTTGTCACTCAGATAGAGTTATTGAATTATTAATAACATTTTGAAAAATTTACATATTATTTTCAATTCTTAAACATGTTAAATCAGAATATTTGTATATAATAAATGTCCTCATGTGATTAGCAATGATATGTTAAATGCTGATCAATAAAACACTTTCAAGATGATAAAAGGCTCCACATTTATAGGATAATAAAATGTTTACATTTTTATTTAGATAATATGTTCATAAGAATTGGTCACACCACTCTTTCAAACATTGATAGCAGTCATTCTGTTGTTTGGAATTGGCTCCAATCAAATCTTTCAGCCAATCTTTAAACATATCTTCATCTTTTTTCAACACCAAAAACTGCCCCAAGACAACATAGGCCTGAAAAAAGAGTTTTCTTCCTTATGAAAAACAATACATAAAAAATAAATATATGTCTGGAAGATGTACAACATCACCAATACTTTAAAAAAGTGAAAAAATAAACAAATACAAATATCAGTAGAAATTTGGGATAACAGATATCCTTCATCAATACATGTATAATGTAAAATGGAGTCTTTATCAATCTATGCTGATTTGAAATTAAAAAGTCTTGAAAGCAATACAAATTAAAACTGAACAAGGCTTGCATTATTCTTAAATCTGGAAATTCATGCAAACTTATTATTTACAAAAAATGAGGCTAGTTATGTATACATCCCAAGTAAAACAACACATCCAGCTGCTGTGGTTAGCACTACATGATTTGAACTACACCCATTCATTGATCCCTTCTGATTCAAATGTTTTAATTTTCTTATCAAAAATCTTTTCAGAGATATATATATATTTAAATTTTGAGTCATTTACAACGGATTCTATTTCTTTTTTTTGTGAATGCTAACACTTTTTTGTGACTAACTTATGTCATGTCATTAGATCTTAAATCTGTGTAGCTGTCAGGGATATACTAATACATTAAGTTATAAATAAACAAAACACAAATCTAATACTACATTTGTGTTCATCATGAGTTCATTTAAAAGTTTAATATGGAAGGCCAATATTCATGGCTTTTACACCTCAACAGAATAACAATTTCCAGGATCAAATAAAAAGCTTTCTGGACTCAAAAGCCTTTCTGTGCATTCATTCAATTTACAATTCCATATTATATGATCATCAGATAAAACTTACACAATCAAAGCCTGACTCTGAGAGTCTACCACCAAGAACTTCACCAATCCCTGCGAGCTCTGTTACAGGTTTATCACCCATAGGCTCCATTACAAAATTTCTATGTTTTTGAGAAGTTGACGACATTTTGCTACAAAATAAAGAAATTTCATAAAATTTAATAGACATATACTGTTCTTTCTACAAATGATACTACATGTATGAAAACACTGGTTTCTCAATATTTTTTTGTCCATTCAGGACATACAGTTGTGGTCATGGTGGTATTTCTTAAAAAGCTTTAGAAAATTTAAATGAACACTTTTAAATCATATTTCAAGTGTTTTGCATCCAAGAGATTGCCATTATTTTAAGTTTATTGTTTTCCAATTTTTGTAGTAAGATCAAACCAATCTTATTACATATGAATGTCTGTAAGCAAGTGCCTGGCAGTTAAATATAAATATGGTCATGAGGTATGACCAGGTTATAAGTGATGACCATGACATGTCTGGGTGACATATAAAGAACCAACCAGATAGCTTCAAAGTAGGGAACTTGGAAGCTGTTCAGTAGTGGACCTGTCAGCTGCTTGGATGAATAATACAGAGCTAGATAAAAAAAAAAACATTTAAGAAATAGGGGAAGAGTACTGTATAAATGGAGAACCTCAGGAAGTATAACTTAGCTGCTTTATGGAAGATATTGTTTCATGTTTGGGTCGGCCAGTTAGAGACTGCACATTTAGATCAAAAGGTTGAGGGTTTGAATCTCTTTGGTACCATCCATGTATGTTCACCAATTTATCCCTTTTAAAGAATAGAAAAGAATGTTTTATTTTATTTTAAGTCGGGTTTACATGAACATTACACATATAACTAATAGCTCTGTAAGAGTTTTTGCCCTTTGTTCACATTAACATATGGAAAAGTCACAGGGGTGTTCATTCATTGCCTTTTCTCATTAACGAATTAAGAATTTGGAATCAAACAACATATACCTGACACAACTTATAAGTTATTAATGATGAGGAAAGGTACGATACATGTATCATAAACTCTAATGACTAATGTTTGGGGAAAACGAAAGTGGACAAACTTCTGTCGGAATGCATTATTGTGTACTTTCTCTATATTTGCCATTAGTTTTATCGCCTCATAGTTACATCCTTCGTTTACAAGAATATAAATGTACTAACTTGTGTTGGAATTTTTCAAATAAAAGATGAATATCTGTATGTACTGTTTTATCGAGTTTCGTTTTCAGGAAATATTGGCGCTTTCACAAGTAGACAATGTATAAAGGTGACTTGAATCAGAAGTGTCTTTCCGACTATACACAAACGTATAAAAGACTCAGACTTGTCCTTTTTCAATTTATCTGTTCTCCTCAAATAGGAGAACCGTAAAAAAATATAAATATTATTTTTTTCGCAGCTTTTTTAAAACATCTGGGATATATTATGTTCTAGGTAATTTGAATGAATATTTGAACTGTCTTATTTCGAGTTTCTTTTAAATTAGTAAAACATAAGGCACCATCCATTCATCTTTTATGGAAAGACATGTTTTTTTTATATAAACAGTTTGATTCATGTATATGTATGTCTCTGATTCTATCAAAATTCAAAAACAAATAATAATTTGTTTCAGCTGGGAATAGTTTAATATAAATCAATATATGTCAATAATTATGTCCCAGGTTTCAGAAAAGAAGTGAAACAAAGAGTTTGTTTCCACTGAAACTTAATTTATTTTAAATAAGGAAAAACATTTCAACATTCAGTTTAAAAAAAAAAACAAATCTTGTTCCTGTTAGTAACTGAAAGTAAATAGTTTGTACGTATAGGCAAGGATGTATATTGGTATGTTAGTTATACATCCTTGGTAGTTGGTATAGGCAAGGATTGGTATAGGCCTTTTAATAAAGAAGAAAAAAATAGATTTTTTGGGAATAATTTGTCAGATTCTAATTTTCTTGAGAAAAAAAAATGTTTATGAAGGAAAGTGAATAAAATAGTTTGTTTCTTTTTTATTATTAAAGGTGAAGAAAAATTGCAAAATTATGTGTTGCTTAGACTTTTAATCTAAAATATGAGAAAAAACAAATTTGACTTTAAAATTATATTCTACATATCAATCATCAATTAAAACATTGTTTTTGTTTGTTTTTTGCCTATCTTTTTGACTCATCACATTCAGGATAATTTTTCATCAATTTTTTTTCACATTGTGGACACATACAAAAAAAAGGCCTTGACCATTGATTCTAATATTCTTGAGAACACATTTTTTTTTCTGCTGGAGACTAAAGATAATAGTTTGTTTCCAATGAAAATATAGGAAAAGGCATAAATATGGAAATTGATTTCAATTCTTTTTCTTGTTCCTGTATGTTGTTGAGACAAGAAGCACATCATGCTGAAATGTCTCGCCTGCTTTACTAACCATAATTGATTTTATGTAGATAGTCAGGGTTTGAAGATAAAGTTTTACAAGTATCACATAAACTTAACATTATGATCAATGATTCATGAAAATGAGGTCAAGGTCAATTAAACCAAGCCAGATAGACATCTACACCTTACAATCATTCCATGCACCAAATATAGTTCACCTACTGCTTATTGTATTTGAGAAATGGACCTAATCACTGATCCATGAATGATCATGAATGAGGTCGAGGTCAGGTGAAACCTGTCTAACTGACATGTACAAAGACCAGACAAGGAACCCATATACCAAATATAAGTTATCCTATTACCTGGTACTATAAATAATGAGAAATTCACAAGACAAAAAAACTAAACTTTTTTTGAAGCAGTCACTGAACCATGAAAATGAGGACAAGGACAATAGACATATGACAGACAGAAAAATCTTAACATTAAAGGCATCTGTATGTATACAAGGTGTGAAGTCTCAAGGTAGTATACCCTCTGAAATTTAAAGCTCAATACAGAATACAGATAGTTTACACTGCCGCCAGATTGTAATCTCTATGTCTCTCATTCATTGACATTCGTCGCAGGGGAGACCAAAAAGTAGGAAACTGATGGGACACAGATGATGCCCCCGCTTGCATACCATATAAAGTTATAAAGAGACATAACCGAAGAACGATAAAAGTGACACTACCCAAATTTGTTCTTGATCTGAGTTCCGTGGTAATAAGTATTGTGTATAAGTTTCATAACATTTGGTTGAGGCAAACTTAAGTTAGAGAAGTCGAAAACGAAAAATTCAGCAATTTTTCCGTTTGTAAAGGGGCATAACTCAAGAACAGTAAAAGTACATGTAACACCACCAAAATTCAAACTTGATCTGTGTTTTGTGGTAATAAGCATTGTGTATAAGTTTCATAACATTTGGTTGAGGTTAATTTCAGTAAGAGAAGGGAAACGAAAAATTCAGCAATTTGTCCATTTGGAAACAAGCATATGTCCCTTTATAACTATATGATATGCAAGCGGGGGCATCATCTGTGTCCACATGTGGACACTATCCACATTTATTTGAAATGTCTTCCATAATACATAAAAAAATATCAAAAAGCTAAGATTTTATGAAACTTTATATTTACTTAGGGCATATCCTGAATTTTTATGCCCCCGCCGTAGCGCAGGGCGCATTAATTTTTACCCTTGTCTGTCCGTATGTCCCAAAGTTGGTTTCCGTTCTCTAACTTTAGTTTGCCTCAACCAAATGTTATGAAACTTGTACATAATGCTTATAACCACAAAACACAGATCAAGTTTGAATTTGATCAAACTGGTTGGGTCGTACTTAATCTGTATTATGTAGTAATAAGCATTGTGTATAAGTTTCATAACATTTGGTTGAGGCAAACTAAAGTTAGAAAACGGAAACAAAAAATTTGTACTTGATCTTAGTTTTTTGGTAATGAATATTGTGTATAGGTTTCATAATTTTTGGTTGGGTCAAACTTAAGTTACAGAATGGAAACTAAAAATTTTGCAATCTTTCTATTTATAAAGGGGCATAACTCAATAATGGTTAAAGTGACACTACCCAAATTCAAATTGATCTGTGTTTTATCAGTGGAAGTCAAAATTAAACATTGCATTGTATAAAGCATTGATTGTAGTTGTTTCAACTATAATCATGGACAAAGGAAGATAACTCCAATTTTAAAAATTACTTGATATTTAGAAGAAAATAAAAATTTTACAATTTTTCCATTTATAAAGGGGCATAACTCTAGAACGGTTAAAGTGACGACACCAAAATTCAAACTTGATCTGTGTTTTGTGGTAATAAGCATTGTGTATAAGTTTCATAACATTTGGTTGAGGCAAACTTAAGTTAGAGAACTGAAACTAAAAATTTTGCAATTTTTCCATTTATAAAGGGGCATAACTCTAGAACGGTTAAAGTGACGCCACCAAAATTCAGATCGTCCACCATTATAGAACTTGTCTGAGATATTGCTGATATTAACCTATAGTATAAGTTTTATAAAAATCTGGCATGAATTGTACCTGTGAGAGCGCTAACAAGACCAGACGGACACGCAGATGGACAGACGCCCGGTGTTTCCATGTCCCCCGCAATGCGTTATGCGGGGGACAAAAAAAACAAAAAAAAACAAGAATATTTGTCTATAGGACACTTTGCCATGCTTGCACCATCCCATGTTCACTGAACCAACGACATCCAGGTATATATTCAAAGTCTATTGGTGGTATTATCAGCCCGTGATATCTCAGTTGGTAGAGCGGGAGACTGTAGTGGTATAGAATCTAGTAATATCTAGGTCGGTGGTTTGAATCCGCCTCACGGGATATATTTTCCGACAGTGCAAGACCCTCATGGGTAGTCAAGGTCGTTAAAAACTCCCCTCGTCGTCGATATTGAGGACCGATCATGTGAGGGTTTTTAACAGCCAGTCAAGGTCGTTAAAAACCACCAAGTCAGTCATATTGAGGAAACACCACAATATATCTAACATTTAGAACAAATGGATAAACAGTGTGGATTTAAAAATGAGGTGGGTGCTGGCCAAGTGATAATAAATAATAATATGACAGTAGGTAAGATAAAATTTATTAATTCTTGAGACTTTCGTCATATATATGTTAACATTGTGTATGTGTATCACAGCATTAAGACACCTTTCTAGAAATACTACATCTAAATCATTGTAGCAATAGCTCTTATGGTCCACAACTGTCCTTTATATTATTATATACAATATCTGATTCTTTATCACATAACAGGTATCATAAAAAATTTAAATCATTAATGATCCAATAAAAGGAAGTAAAGGTCAGATGAATCCTGTCAGACAGACAATTTATTCACAATAACTGAAAAAAAAATCATGTGTAAAAACCATACAGTATCTTTAGCAGTAACTGAACTTTAAAAATGAGATCTAGGACAAGTGTTTATACAATATTTTATGCCAGATGGAAACTTTGAACCATCAAGATCTGTATACATTGTTAACAGCCTTAGTGCAATAAATCTATTATCAAGTATTTAAAAAAAAAAAAAAAAAATCGCTTTTGAAATAGTTACCGTTATTAGTAAATCTTGATCTCTTGTCACAAGGAAAAAAATAATTCATGTATTTGAAAAAAAAGAAAAAGATCTATATACGGGATATGAATTCTATCATATAAATAATTTATGTTGTTGCCCCTGCAGGATGAGCACCCATATGGGATGCATTCTGCTACATTCATTGCAGGTGAGACAATGAATCATTATAAAGGACCATAAGAATTATTCTACAGAATCTAATAACAAAGTTTTGCTCTATCTCAGTCTGTAAGGTGATAAAACATTGGAAAATTTACAAATCAACTTCATTTATCATTACAGAGATCTAATAACGTGTAATGTTAATATTTAACTTCATATTATAAAATAACATCTGGTTATGAAACAGGCATAGATAAATATGTATAAGTTGTTACATATCTGTTTCAAGTTTCCTGACCTAGCCTAATTTAAGTGTCTATCCTAGCACGTTGTACTGAGTCTGAGGGTCCAAATAAAACAGAAAGCAGCATACTAGTATATAAAGATTACAAACAAGAATATAAATGCAAGGAGACTTTAGTATATTTACAATTCAATTCCAATGCATTCTGGGTAGAATTATCAAAAGTGTAAACCAATATGTTGTAATTGGCTAACAATGAACTAAAAGGTGGATATCATAACAATTGTATAATTCATTAATATCTTGGGAGAACCTCCCCAAAATAGCCCTATTTCAATAGAAAAACAAAGGATATGGGGTATCCATTCATGACACAAAATCAGTATATGCACAGCAAAAAAACACACATTTCAGTTTGTTTTAGAAGCTAATCCCATCATCAAATATACTGTAAACCAACTTATTTTCGCGGATACTTTATTTCGTGTTTAGCCCTTCGTAGCCAACTTTGCAGCTATTTATTTTCATGATTTTAAAATTATTTTGACGTATTTATATAAAGGAAGATAAAAGTTTAACAAATTCGTGAAGATTTATATTCGTGTTATTTTTCAACTCGGGAAAGACGTGAAAACAAATCGCTCGAGAAAAAAGTTGGTTTACAGTAAATAGATTTATTGTACTATTTGACAAAAAATTATAAAACTATATATTGAATAGTAGATACTTTTAAACTGGCAATAGCTCTCTTTTGAGAAATTTGTGTAATTATTAGAAAAACTATGAAATTGACCTCCTCAAAGTTCATTTTACTACTTACAAATTTCATTAATATGTATAAATAAACTTATGAATTAATATTTCTCCACAGCAATAATGTTATCTTTAAAATACATACATACATACATATATTGTGTATATCCAACAAGTATTAATAGTACACATATGTTTTCAACTATTGGCCTTTTAGATATTCTTTTATTTTGAATTAATGAGACAAAACTTTCATAAATACAAAGGGAGGTAATCCCTTAAAATATAAGGAAATGTGGTATGATTGCAAATAAGGCAACTGTCTACCACACACCAAAGGATGTGGATGAAAGCAACTATAGGCCACCGTACAGTCTTAATTAAAGCAATGCTTTTTTTTTTGCCAATACTTTGGAAACAGAATGAGATTAATCTGTGTTACTTTGAAGCTTACAGAATATTCATGAAAATGTTTGACAAAAACATGCAAGTGATTTTGAGAGTAATGTCCCTTCACATTGGTAGGAAAATTTTGCACTGTAAGATTGCGTAGTTTAATAGCACCAGATCTCTCTGTTATGTCTTCCAGTTAAGAATGTTAAGACATTTTATCAAAGTAGTTCTAAAAGCCATTATAATAATCTTCACTTGATATGTAAATATCTATTGCACTCTCCTGATTTTGTTTTTTTTTAGGAATGTTTAAAGAAAATTTTAACGAAATTAATTATATGATGTGATATATGAAAATAAAAGTGCCAATTAAATAGAAAATGTTTTTACATCAAATTTTGTAAGAAAGATATCTGAAATTAAGGGAACAAAGGAAAACCAAGATATCTAAAATTTACAGTGGGTATCTACTACAAATGTATTAACAACAAGTTTTAAAACAAAAACAAAGGGAGGTAATCCCATAAAACATTTAAAAAGCGAATTGATTTGCAGTTAACTATAACAAATACAATATTTACAATATACAAGTACAATTAATTTACATGTAAAGCACTTCTATAACAAGAAAGACAATTATTTCTATAACTTAGGTCATAGGGTATTCTTGGTTATACTTACAAAAAAAATCTAAGCTCTGTATTTACATTGATGAAATAAGTTCAGGGATACTTAAGATTATCACATTGGTAAGATATAAAAACTATACATTGTTGTTTGTAAACAAACTGGTATATCGTATATGATACAACTAACAGATCTCTAAAATTTATCTGATTTAAAAAAAAAAATCTTTTCAAACAATTATTGAGACAAAAAACTAATATGTTGCATTTGAGATCAGAATGAGAAATGTTTATAAATGTTAGAATATCTTTATTATGGTCTAAACTAAGAGATTCACTTCGACATAACTTACATCAGCTGGAAAATTTGCAGAGGATTTCAGTCTTTCAGTCTAGAGACAGTATGTAATGGTAAAAAATAACAATTAATAAGTTTAAATTCAGCACCTGATAATACACATTCATCTTTCATTGAGCATCTTTAAAAACTCATACAAGACAAAACTACACAGTATATCTACGTCTTCTAATGATCATCTATTGGGTTGTCATTTTTTTATTTCATTTTAAAACTGGATATCATATCGTTTCTAAATTGAAAATTATAAAGAGGAAAATGGGAAGTCATTATACTTGAAAGTCTTTTGCATAAAACTTCATATTCCCTTTTTAAAAATTATTTTATAATACATCTGAATTAAAGAACCAAATCATCAGGGGGGGATAACTCGGCAGAAAAATGTTCAAAGTAGATATTATAGCTAATTAATACTTTTCTTAATATTATCTAGAAAATGAGAACGTTTATCTTAATTTTTCTTTTTCTTTTTTGGTACAGTCCTAAAAAATATGACATTAGTTTCTTTTGTAAATTTCTGATTTAAAAGTAGAATTATTATCCAAACTTTTCTTAAAAATACAAACAGTGACGTCATCGTATTAAATCACACATTGAATGTACATATGCGTAATGTTAAATTTAAGAATATCTACTGTTAAAGTACATCAACTCCAGCGTTTGTCTAATTTTGATATCTACTTTGTAAAAAAAGATTTAAAAATTCATTTTTTCTTCACTGTAACAAATAGATATGGAAAGGTTTAACTGTACAAAACTTTCAAAGTAAAATAATATGAATGGCATGTCGAGCATGGGTTCCATGTTTTACTATTACTACTATGTTCATGATAACATAATTATTCTAATTTCTAGCTTAAAAAAGTCTACTAATATCAAAACGGACAAAAAAGCACAACCCTAAATAACAATCAACAAGACAACAAAAATAGGATCATCACATAGAACAACAAGATATCAGTTACTGTAAATTCAGAAATTATTGCGATGTTTTTATTATTGCTAAAAATGCGACAGGGTTATAATCGCAATAATTTAAACTCGCATTTTGAATTTTTTTTATATGAATTAAGCAGGATTTTCTCAATATCGCAAAAAATAAAATCGCATTTTAGTCTAAAATGACAAAATCGCAATGATAAATGCACGCAATAATTTCTGAATTTACAGTACTAATTAGACATCTAAAATTACTAGGGTGGGATGTAAAATCCTTACTACATTGTATCCAGGTGAATCACTAACAAAATGTTTCTTCCGTTGAACATTTCTTCTTATAAAACAAAGAAAACACCTCAAAAAGTAACAGTTTATTCTGGAAAAGGAATTTCAAATAAAAGCTCTGAGTCTCATTATTTATAAATTTTCCTATTTCAGGCAACAATTGATGATTCAAATGAATAAATATGGAATTAACAATTATTTTGTAAATAACTATCCCTATATTGAGACATAGTGCCATTTCATAATCTGAAGCATTTGGGGTAATGTTTTAACCAATGGAAATCAACAAATGACATTACTTTATTTCCATTCAGTGTATGAATAATGAAATTACCCATAATCTTCTAGATTCTGAAACTGGTTAAAAGGATAATTATCAGACCTGCCAACTATCCCGATTTATGGGGGATATCCCCCATGAGAGGTATTGATCTGAATTTTGAAATTCTTTATTAAACAAACTGAACACCTCAAAACAGGCATTCAAATGAGTTAAAAGGGTATTTAAACACATACATACTCATCCAAACAAAATAGAAGTGAATTAAAAGCACTTATGACATATAAGAGGAGCATTAAGTACTCTTGCTCTTAAAATCCCCCATGGAGATTTTGAAAAGTTGGCAGGTAAGAATTATTGACTATACTGTGGATTCATTTATTTTCGTTGGTATCAATTTTCGTGGATTGCTGAAAACTTGCACATTCGTGGATATATGATTTTGTGGTTTTGCCAATATCTGTATATAAAGCCTATTGGAAATATGTTATTCGTTGAATATTTGAATTCGTGGTTCACCTTCACCCACGAAACCCATGAAAATTGGTATCCAACGAATAATAATGAATCCACAGTAGTTTGAGACAAGATATGTAATATACTGTATATATCATGTATATAGATTCTTAAAAATATGCAACATTTTATGACAACATATATTCAAACTGATTTGATAATAAAATATTTTTACTTTTTGTTATTACTTATGAGCCTCTTTAATATGACAGGTTACCAAATTTGCTAATGATTTATCTCATTTTAAGGTCATTTGTTATTTCAAGTTTTTATAATAATAAATACTTATTCAAACAATTTCTACAATAGATTCTGATAACAAAATAAATAGAATTAAATACTGTAAATTCAGAAACTTTTTGCGATATCTTTATCATTGCAATAATTGCAACAAATTATTCATCGCAAGAATAAAAACTCACATTTGAATTTTGATATCTTTTTTGTATGCAGCATTTCTGGAAATCGCAACAATAAAACTCACAATTGTGTTGATTGTCTAACAATCACAATAATAAATACACGTAATAATTTCTGAATTTACAGTAGTTGCAAGGAAGTATGGTAACAGATGAAAGACTTCTGATATATGTATTTATATATGAGTTTTCTATCATAAATGTTCAGTAAATACAACTTTAGTTTTTATCGAAGCATTAGGACTAATAGACACACGTGATGTAGGGTTCATAAGTTCTTGCAGATCTGAATCACTGATTGGTCCTTTCATATAAGTAGTTGCAGCTCGCCTGGGTAATTTCATCTTCACTTGTTCTATTGTGGTTGATCTTATACGTATACCTATAAAATATAATAAAATTGTTTCAAAATAAAAATTACAATTTATATAATGTTCTTAACTCAAACATTTAGTGCACACTCATCCATTATCAAATGTAATCTCTATTCAATTCAGCACAAATTGATTTTAGCTGAGTTTTATTTTCAAATGCATTTATATATTTATATACCCTGTAAACAAAAATTTTATGACTACAAATTCTTGTCAATCAAGTAAAACTCATTCCTCAAACTCGTGGGGTAAAAAGTACAAAATGGTTTGAACATTAGGAAAATTTCTTACATCACTGCCATATTAACTTAGTCTTGTTTTTTGTATCTACATCCATATACAATAAAGTGTAAGAATATATGTAACACTCAGAAACGTGTCCATCCCCCCAAACGTGTCCGATTTCCCCAAATGTGTCCACATGACGTCGCTGAACTGCAAAACATGTCTAGGTGCTAAAGGGCGCCAAAACCTGTCATTTTTAAGAACGCCCAAACGTGTCCATATAAAGCATAAACGCTCCATTTAATTAAGTTAATTTTTGGCCTTCAAGTAACAATAAAATGTCCACCAATATTAAATATATAATTTTGTTATTGTTCTTCTATTGACGTATTCTCCTTTTAATTTACTCTTTCATCTATTGTCCTACCTCCAAGCGTGACTGGAGAACAGAAATATGGTTAATAAGGTCTTCTTCCAACCGACAGTTAAATCCTTGTGAAAGTTGGGCGTCAGTTTGGCTATGTGGGATGTATAAGTACGTAGCCACGTCCAGTCAGAATGGGGATGTTAAACCTGAAACCTCGTGTAGGAAGAGATAGACCTACCTAATGTATTTATTGTTAATATGTTCTAGTCTTGAATATGCATAAAATATCTGCCACTGGACGTTTAGCAACCATCAATCAATCAATTTATTGTCTTAGATATGCATGAAATAATTGTCACAAGCAACAATCAGTTAATCTTTTATTTTTTCCTAGTCCATTATTACCTCTTTCACAATTGATTTAACGTAATGTGACAGTTAAAAGGATGATGCACATTCAAAATTACTTACATTTAATATTGGAATTTACGAATACAGTTTTTAACGTATTTTAACGATACCTTTAGGTAATAACGGTTATGAATTATAAGGTTGGTATCAGGGATGCTAATGATACATGCAAATTTATTCCTCTTGTTTTTGTCTCTTTAGTGATGATCGAACCCAAAAACTTAATACCAGTACATACTTTGAAGAGCTGATTAAAAAAATCAGTGCAATATTCTCAAACATCATTAATATTCATGTAGTAAGACATCACAGGAGTATATTGGTACAAAAGAATTCACCTAGTAAACGATGAATTTAACTGTAATAAACAGCTGCGCCATGAGCGCATGATACGTATCGCCCGTCGTCTTGTGTGTGAATTTTTATGCAATAAGCATAAATAGTTTCTGACATACGGCGTGACATGCCAAAACCCCCTTTTTTTTTTACAAAAAACTCAATATCTCTAAAACAAAATTTTGAATCAAAACCAAGAAGTATCCAGATCTTTAGATTAATATAACTAAGAAGTGTGTAAAATTTTAAGCAATAATCATAAATCGTTTTTGAGATACAGCGCGACATGTGAAAACCCCCCCTTTAAAAAAAAAAAAATCAATATCTCAAAAATAAAATTTTGATTCAAAACCAAAAAGTATACAGATCTTTAGATTAATATAACTAAGAAGTGTGTAAAATTTTAAGCAATAATCATAAATCGTTTTTGAGATACGGCGCGACATGTGAAAAACCCCTCCCCTTTTTTTACAAAATACTCAATAACTCAAAAATAAAATTTTGAATCATCACCAAAAAGTATACAGATCTTAAGATTAATATAACTAAAAAGTGTGTAAAGTTTTAAGCAATAATCATAAACTGTTTTTGAGATACGGCGCGACATGTGAAAAACCCCTCCCCCTTTTTTAACAAAATACTCAATATCTCTAAAATAAAATTTTGAATCATCACCAAAAAGTATACAGATCTTAAGATTAATATAACTAAGAAGTGTGTAAAGTTTAAAGCAATAATCATAAATTGTTTCTGAGATACGTCGCGACATGTGAAAAAAAACACACACCTTATTTTAGTTACTAAGTCCCGTAACTCAAAAAGTTTTAATCTAATTTTCACCAAAAAGTATACAGATCGTTTGACCATCATAAGAAACAACTATGTTAAGTTTCATGAAATTTGGATAAGTCATTCTCAAGTTACGGTGTGACATGTTTACGCCGGACAGACAGACGGACAGACAGACGGACAGACAGACGGACGGACGCCGGACATTTGTATACCATAATACGTCCCGTCAAAAATTTGACGGGCGTATAAAAACTAATTAATTGCAATTTGTTTATGTTCGCTCTAAATATGCATGAAATATTTGTCATTGGACATTAAGCAATCAACAGTAAAGAGTTAATTGATATGTTTCAAATTAAACTTGCAATTATGCTAAATATGAACAACCGGCGTTGAACAAATTAGTGCTAATAAATTTTGGATGTTCTTCTTTCAACTCTGTTCCTTTTTTAATTTCTGGTAATTGTGCCCAAAAAACTTCAGCATTTATGTCCTTTGAATGCTGCTTTAATCTTTTTAGGATCCCAACATCTACAATCGTAAAATTGAATTGCCGTAAACGTTATTGACGACACTGAGGACATAATAGCGCTAAAAGTTTTGAGACGTTCAGGCGTCTTAAAGTAGACACGTTTTGGCGAATAACAATTATCGGACATACTTGGGGGATGTGAAATCAGACACGTTTGGGCGATTTATGATCTTACGGACACGTTTGGGGGAATCGGACACGTTTGGGGGGATGGACACGTTTGGGAGTGTTACATATATACTATATTTATATAACCAGCCATACTTCTACTGAAATGTGACATTTTTCAAAACAAATAAAACAGTTGTGACTGACCAAATCATATCCAAGGTCACATGTCCTATTTCATGCAGAGGAAGTCAGGATACAAAGAAGGAAATAGATATCTCCCTTGTACCAGTGAATTTAATGTCTTAATATATTATTTGTAATAGAATAAATAAGGTCTGATCTAGCCTAATACATACTTATAAAATACTAAAGTTTACAGGAATATTTGACATGCAAGCCTCTGTACATAGGCAGGTTGTGTAACCAAACTATAACTATCATATTTCTACTTATTCAGAACATTCAACTAAATTACATGCATCAAGAAATTAGCTTGGAATCTGTAATGAATTCATGAGCTAATGAAACCCAGTTGGAATATACAGCTAATATTTTCGGTAAATTTTTGACCCCTGGGCTGTTATTGAATGCTTAAACTTTTCCTTTACTGAGCCCCTTTGCTGACTTCTGAGTTCTTAAGACATCTAGAGGTAAATACAGTCTTTAACAATAGACAAGTGTATATACTATATGACAAGCTCAAAATCAAAAGTTGAAATGAGACTACTGTAAATTCATAAATTATTGTGTGCATTTATTATTGCAATTTTTGAAGAAAAGACAAAAATGCGAGATTAATTTTTGCGAGTTCAGGAATATTGGCTTACAGATATGCGTATCAGATATCAGAATGCGAGTTCTTATTACTGCGATACCCACCCAGTCGCATTATTCGCAATAATAAAAACCTCGCAATAATTTCTGCATTTACACTATCAAAGATCTGCCATCCATACCATTAAGCTATAACAAAAGACAACCACAGAAATGGAACAGCAAATCGCTACCATAGGTCAAGAATTTTTCTTCTACTTTTTGCTAAAATCCAGATGCAAATTTCAATGCAAAAAAAGTTCTATGTAAAAGTTCACCAACCCTTAACATTCATTGCATTGTCATTCTTGCATTACATGAATCATAACTCAGCTGAAATAGAACCTGAATATTTCATTTTTAGTCTGTACTGTTCCGTGTATATCAGACGACCCACATTTCTTACAATATCTAGAAGGAAAGCCCAAGAAAATGGAACCGATAATTCTTATTTCTATGATCTATAGTATCAATAAGATACCTGAAACACAACATAATATGGGTGGATAGATGGATTGGTGTTTAACATGCAGTGGCAAATATTACATGTTTATCAGTCCTCCCACTGTCTGTATCACTCTGCTCAGGTCTTAATAAAATTGCATATCACAGCTTTGTGACGTCAAATACATTGACCCAGCCTTAATAACTTTGACCCGGACATATCACCAACGTCATAATGAATGAACCGATGTTGATAAGTTTGACCCGAACTTATCAAGTCATCTTCCATTTTGCTGGTGAAACAAAGAAAACACTTGTTTCTATCATGAAATAAACAAAAATACATTTTTTGTACTAGATCAGCATGCTGAGTTTAAGTGTAAGTCTGAAGGAAGACATGTCAACCCATCCGGACTCATTATTCTGACTTCTGACTTTAAACCGACAAGTCTTTGCTCTTACTGTAGATTCATTATTATTCGTTGGATACCAATTTCGTGGATTTCGTGGGTACAAGTGAACCACGAAATTAAATGTTCAACAAATGACTTATCTTCTTTAGGATTGTATGCAGAGATCGGCAAAATCACGAAATTAAATACCATCAGACATGCAATTTTTCCTTAATCCATGAAAATTGGTACCCACGAAAATAAATGAATCCACATTACACCAAAATAATAATGCAATTTTAAAGTCTTATGTTTGATATGGCCAGGGATCAAATCCCCAACCCCTCTCACTTGAAACAATCACACTACCATGAGACCACTGAGACATTTTTCTTTAATAATTCTTGATTATGCATTTAAGTGATAACTGTATTGTATTTGAAGCTTTGCCATCGGTAGTTTTACTGTCGCAAATTGAGTTTACCTGGCGACGCGTAGCGGAGACAGGTAAACGGATATTTGCGACAGTAAAACTACCGATGGATGTCCGCAAAGCTTCAAATACAATACAGTTATCTCTATTCTAATGCAAATTAAACAAATCGTTGAATTTTAGTCATTATTTCAGTGTAAAATTTTCATTAAAAAAAATTCCGCGAAATGATGTTATCTTCTTTGGCGCTTAAACTATGTGACGTCATAGGTAAGCTTTCGGCATCAAACGTAAACACCAGGCATTTTCTGGCTTCTTGTCCGCATCAGAATGGAATAAAACTTGATAAAAAAGAAAATTTGAAGGTGCAAAATGTAAGTTTTTTTGCTTATTATTGGAGAAATTACATGTCAATACATTCCGGAATTCAAAATGTCGGCTTCCTTAGTTACAGACAAGGAGATAGAGAATTGTACGCTTACTGTCATCAATCAGAACCATTGATACAAAATTATTGCATTAGAATATTTATTACACGTTACTAGTAAACACACCCTCTGGAGACACACATTAACATTCAAGTCATTTATTCAAATGTCTTTATAGAAGTCTCCTACAGAAATAGTTATCTTCTTTAATAAATTTCTAGCAGATAAAAAAGTATTAGTACTATAAACATAGAGTACAAAATTTCCACATGTTGATTCCATATTTTCAAAAGAAAATACACAAATAAAACTGAACAAATTATAAAACATGATGTCAAAAGTTTAGTAGAACATAAATCTGCGAAATTTTGTACTCTTAAACAATGAAATGATTTGCCATAAACAAAAACATTTACTCTTCAACATTTGTCTGGCTAAAGTTTTAGATAATCTCCCTTTATCAAAACTATTCATATTTTTGTTTATGGCAAAAACTGACTAAAACGAAAGGGGAACATCAATCAGTAACAGAATTCTGATGGAGCTAATAGAATGTGTGTTTGTTTGTGTGGAGGGAACACTTCCTAGGGAGATTTGATATTAGTTTAGGATTGTCAAGTATAAAATCGACAGAAAATATACATTTAGGGTCCTCCTTACCTTTTTGACTAAAATGATCTCGATAAGTTTTCTTGTTCAAAATTCTAAATTATGGAAATGAAAATAACAAGAATAGTCCCAAAAGAAGCTATTTCTTTATATAAAGCATATCAGTAGTGATTATTGTGTTTTCTCCAATAGGAGAATTAGTTCCTTATATTATGCTTCTAAAGAACCTGGAATAAACAATTTTTTTTAATTTTTGGAGCATGACTATTAGTTTTTATTCGCTAAAGCAATAGTATCTCATTTTCACATGTATATGGCAAAGTTTGTTAATTCAAAGCTTATTTCACTTCCTATAGAAATTTTACATTAAAGTTTGTTAATTCAAAGCTTATTTCATTTAATATTGACATTTCATAGTAAAGCATACAAGCTTATAATGAACAATTGGTTACAATGGTTACTAAATGAATAAATGTGATTACTGGTAACCAATGGCTATGAAGATTTCTGTTACTGACTGGCAGACTTAATAACATAAATACAGGGAAGGAGTCTCTTCATATGCTTTCACCAACCAACATTATAAAAAGTTTAAACAAAATATCATTTCAAAACTTCAAACATGCATGATGGAAAAGATGAGTAACTGCAATACATGTGCATATGATTAAACGCAATTATGTTTGAATTAAGGCACTTTTTTTTACCTTGAACCTAAAATGCTGTCAAAATGAATTAAAAGTGTTCATTAAAATGTCAATTCAATAATTAAAACTTTCAGAGAACAAAAGGGTCTGTTTTACCGCAATATGTATCAAAAGTTGAACTTTTTCATGCAGAATATGAAATTTAATCAAAGTTCTCTAACTAGAACTTCATAATTAAGTCGGAATAACAATTGTACTCAACTTAAATGAATGTCAATAAATACTTGCTAATTTTCAGGTGTATCCACCCACAATTAATCAAGGGTCTTACCCAATTTGTAACTACCATGATCAACAGTCTAGGGCAAGAAGAATTATTATGAAAATTAATTATAAACTAATGTTTGTAATGCCACATGTATTTTTATATTCATGTACAATATTTATACTAAAAAATATGAATAAAAATCAACAAACTATTCCAACATGTATTTAAAATACCTGAGCCTAGTACCTGTTTACCAATGTTAGTTGGTGTTTATGAAGAGTTAGAACTTACATCAAAAAGCTGTGCTCATACTACTAAACAAATCTTGTGCTGTCATCCCTGTAGATTTATATAGAAATAGTAAAAAAATGCCATACCCACAAAAAGCTTCAGTTGTCAACTGTGATTAGTATACATAATGATACAGTTTCCACTTGTTAATATTTTATAGAGAACAAAGAAAGTTTGCTAATGAGTTTCAAAATAACTGAGGGACTGAATGGGGTTGGGGGGAGGGGGGGGTCTTCATTTCATTTATCTTTTAATTTGTAGGACATGTTTCTCTAATTCATTTGGCCCATTATTCTATATTTTCTAATATATTTCTACCCCATTATTCTCTAATATCAATTGGTCCATATTTCTCTATTCTTTATTTTATTTGCCCATTATTTTCTATGTATTGCCCATAATTCTCTATTCTGTAAACCCCATCCAGATCGCCATTACTAGGTTCCAATACAGATGAAATATATTGGAAAACATTTGCCAAACAATTAACTTGAATGCAGACAAATATATGAGTTTTTTTTATTTTATAAATTTGAATTTAAAAAAAAGCAGAAAATAAATCGCATGATTATTTATATATAAAGTTTGTATAGAGATGTTTTACTGTCAGATTCTTTTAAGAAATAATATGGATGTAAGGATTTAACCAGGTTGTGTAGGATGTAGGGATTTAACCAGGTTGTGTAGGATGTAAGGATTTAACCAGGTTGTGTAGGATGTAAGGAGTTAACCAGGTTGTGTACGATGTAAGGATTTAACCAGGTTGTGTAGGATGTAGGGATTTAACCTGGTTGTGTAGGATGTAGGGATTTAATCAGGTTGTGTAGGATGTAAGGAGTTAACCAGGTTGTGTAGGATGTAAGGATTTAACCAGGTTGTGTAGGATGTAGGGATTTAACCAGGTTGTGTAGGATGTAGGGATTTAACCAGGTTGTGTAGGATGAAGGGGTTTAACCTGGTTGTGTAGGATGTAGGGATTTAACATGGTTGTGTAGGATTTTAACCAGCTGGTTTAGGACATAAGGATATAACCAGGTTGTGCAGGACGTAGGGATTTAACCAGGTTGTGCAGGAAGTAGGGATTTAACCAGGTTGTAGGACATAGGGATTTAACCAGGTTGTGTAGGATGTAGGGATTTAACCAGGTTGTGTAGGATGTAAGGAGTTAACCAGGTTGTGTAGGATGTAAGGAGTTAACCAGGTTGTGTAGGATGTAGGGATTTAACCAGGTTGTGTAGGATGTAGGGATTTAACCTGGTTGTGTAGGATGTAGGGATTTAACATGGTTGTGTAGGATTTTAACCAGCTGGTTTAGGACATAAGGATATAACCAGGTTGTGCAGGACGTAGGGATTTAACCAGGTTGTGCAGGATGTAGGGATTTAAACAGGTTGTGCAGGACGTAGGGATTTAACCAGGTTATGTTGGACGTAGGGATTTAACCAGCTGGTGTAGGACATAGAGATTTAACCAGGTTGTGTAGGACGTAGGGATTTAACCAGGTTGTAGGACATAGGGATTTAATCAGGTTGTGTAGGATGTAAGGATTTAACCTGGTTGTGTAGGACGTAAGGATATAACCAGGTTGTGTAGGATGTAAGGATTTAACCAGGTTGTGTAGGACGTAGGGATTTAACCAGGTTGTGTAGGATGTAAGTATTTAACCTGGTTGTGTAGGATGTAAGGATTTAACCAGGTTGTGTAGGATGTAGGAATTTAACCAGGTTGTGTAGGATGTAAGGATTTAACCAGGTTGTGTAGGATGTAAGGATTTAACCAGGCTGTGCAGTATGTAAGGATTTAACCAGGTTGTGTAGGATGTAGGGATTTAACCAGGTTGTGTAGGATGTAGGGATTTAACCTGGTTGTGTAGGATGTAGGGATTTAACCAGGTTGTGTAGGATGTAGGGATTTATCCAGGTTGTGTAGGATGTAAGGATTTAACTAGGTTGTGTAGGATGTAGGGATTTAACCAGGTTGTGTAGGATGTAAGGATTCAACCAGGTTGTGTAGGATGTAGGGATTTAACCTGGTTGTGTAGGATGTAAGCATTTAACCAGGTTGTGTAGGATGTAGGGATTTAACCAGGTTGTGTAGGATGTAGGGATTTAACCAGGTTGTGTAGGAAGTTAGGATTTAACCAGGTTGTGTAGGATGTAGGGATTTAACCTGGCTGTGTAGGATGTAAGGATTTAACCAGGTTGTGTAGAATGTAAGGATTTAACCAAGTTGTGTAGGATGAAGGGATTCAACCAGGTTGTGTAGGATGTAAGGATTTAACCAGGTTGTGTAGGATGTAAGGATTTAACCAGATTGTGTAGGATGTAGCTTCAGCTGTATTTATTGAAAGTGTGAAGTGAAAAAAATAGGTTTACTCACTTACTGAGTCAAATTTAATAATGTTTTTAAAAAAAAAAACCAGGGTAGCTCCTAATAAGGAAAACAAGATGGCTGACATGACCATCAAATTAATTTAGGTTGCTACTGATAAATAAACAAAACTCGGAATAATGTGAAATTCATAATATCAAAAAGCCAAGGCATTTGAAACAATTATTCTTAATAGCTGACACAGATAATTTAAAACATCCTAACATGGGTCAAAATGCATTTAGATTCCTGAACAACACATAACAAGCCATGCTTTTACCTGATTATATCGGAAGGCCTTATCAAATTTATTAACCAGAAGAAATTAATATTCTGCAAAAAGTAAATGTGATAAAAAAGAATTCATATAATTTGAGTATCATTTAGAAAAGAAGTGTCACACAGATAAATTCACCCATCTAAAAAAATATTGTCTTCTTCATAATAAAAATATTTCCTGAAATGAGCTGTTCGAACATTTAATGAAATGTCAGTTTCTAGAAAAAAATTCACTTGCCTACTTGCTTTTGAACCTTCCCATAACCAATAAAACAGAGTCCCAAAAAGGTAAACAAACAATTTTGCAATCATGACCTTACTTTATAAAGAAAAAATGTTGTTAAAACACATAACTTGTTATCAAAATGAATATGTACTATACTGAAATCTGTTAAACCATTCTTGCAGAGAAATACTACATTTAAAGCTCAACTAAAAATAATTGATCTTCACTTACTATTTGATTTCCGTCTATCTAATTTCATTGTTTTAACACGTCTGGCTATAGTTTTTCTGGCATGTATAGAATTCTTAACTATCACAGGTTTATCTGAGTCAATGGCTGCCTCTGTTGCCAAGTCTTCGAAGAAAACTAAAATTGAAAAAAAAATTACTTCTGAAACAAAGCAAAACATTTCTAAGCATAAAACATACATGTGTTAACTACTTTTCTTCCAACTGATTGGACATACTGGTAAGAACACTGATATGGCCTTCAGTTTTAAAGTGATATTCACTTCTCCCTTTAATTTGCTGTTTTTAAGTTGGAAGAATGTATGGTTACAACATCAATAAAATATAGAACTTAAATCATGTGGGTTTTTTTTAAATTAGTTTTCATTTGATGATTAAACTTTATAAAACTAATGAACCATGTCATAAATTTTAGAATTAATAATCAAAGAGCTGATAGCTCTGATGGGAGGAAGATACATATAAGAATAACTTGAATTATAATGAAAGCAGACCACACCAAACCAGCCTACTCTGTGCCATTGTTGCTATTGACATATTGTTTCTTCCAAAAATCGAAAATGTCTGATAAAGATGGTCTCTTTTTACGTTGTTTAAGCTGTCTATTTCAGCAGTACAATTAGATGTATATAAAAAGAATCTAGTAAAAGTCTAGCCAAAATGTCACTGTGTTTTCAAATTTAATTAATGCATGTATTCTACCAAATCTACTTAAAAAACGTCTGATTACAGTAAAAAGAAAAATTCGAAAAATGAAAGATTGAAGATCTTTGAAGATAAGTAAGATGAATATAAAAATTAATGTAAATAAAAAGGAAGATATTAAAACATGAGAATCTAGAAAACTAAAGTAAGTGACTGTCATTTAAGCCTAACTGTACATTGTTTCTCCGTCTTTGTTTCATAAAATGATGCAGACCCTATTTTACAAACTTACAACTGATCATATGTACAAATTTGTATTGTAATGAGGCATGGAAGTTATAAAATTGTTATGCCATAAAGGGATAGGGTAACACTCCTCAGAATGGTTCATGATTTTTGAAACAGCCAGCAGTATAGGATTTCAGAAGACTTATAAGTCTTCTTGCCCCAAAAAAGATTTTCTTAAAGGCTTTACCAATTGTATGTATTCTGTATTCATTTAAGCTGGTGTTTATAATTTTCACAGCCCTAACACATATCAAACCTAAGTGAAATGTAAAACTTACGTTTAAGATTTTTTACATTTGTTTTCATTTCTTCTTTGATTTCATGGTTTATATTAGGCGTCTGTAATGACACGGCTGTATCTAGTCTATCTAATGATATATTAGCATCTCGTAGCTTCTTCTCTGCTGCCATTCTTGCCACAATTTCCTCCTAAAATAGGAGCACATGTAATGCATTATACATCTTTAAAACCAAAACTTAAACCCAACAGTTAAATATACATTTTCATGCTGCATTGCTCACTTTCTTATAATAATTTTAGCACTGATCCATTTTCAAAACCTTGAAGAGAAATAAGCATATGCATTATGTTAGAAATACTAAGACATAAGAGCTTAACACTAGATCCCAACATGTTCCAAGGGCCAAGGGGATAAAATATAGATGTATTCACACTTGAATGAAAATTTTTCCCCCATTACATAAAGTCAAACAAGTTCCCGTAAAATTTGCGTCATAATTAAAAAGTGATTGTTGCATGATGCCAGAAGATTATTTTCGGAGACAGACCTAGGGTAATTCAGAGCAAATTCAGCTAAATACCCCTAAATGTAAATATGTCTATTTCATGAGCCAAATGAGCTATTAAAAGGGGATAATTAATTACCTTTAGTTCTGCCTCAGTCATTTCTTTCTGTGTTCTTAAATCCTGAAAAAAGAAAAAAAAGTTTGGTTTATTATTCTGAAAGTCTAAGAAGTTCAACAATCATATTAATATTTTCAAAAGCATACACCACAATATTGTGATTAAATTACAAATTCTATACAATGGACATATCATTCTGAAATGGTGAATCGCTAAAAACTTGTTGATGGACAAGTAAAAAAATAAGCCTCCCACATTCACCATAGTTAGACTCCTCCTTCTGGAGTGTATATTTCTCAGTTGGTTTGATATGCCTGTGTTTGCAGATTTTAAAGAACATTATACATGTATTTTCATTACTAAACACTATTACATCAGGAAATAACGTACCATAAATTAGACCTTTTTTGGGAAATTTTATCATTAATATTCAACTTATCATACCCTACAGGTATATTTAAATTAACAAGTAATTAACAAGTAATAAGAAAAAAAGTCAAGACATTCCCAAAATTTGTAAATAGCATACCCTTATAGTTTCTTTCAACTCAGTGGCCTGATCACATATAGATTTTTTCTCTTCTTCAAGCTGCTGTATGATAGACTCATTTTCCTGCAACCTATAATAAAGGGCAACATCTCATTATTGCATGATATATTTTGTTCGTCTATATCTGTTAAGTTAAAGGGATATAACTTGTTAACCTAAAATGTATGGGAGATAACTCCTTGTTCCCTGTAGTGTAATACCACCAAAACAAAAGCATCACTTGCTGTTTCATTGGAAAATAATACATAAATAAAACAAAAGTGCACACGCTGAAATGTCTCGCCTGCTTTACTGATCATTGATTTTATGTTGATAGTCATAAATATAAAGCTTTACTACAAGTATCACATAAACTTAACATGATCCAAGAAAATGAGGCCAAGGTCAAATAAACAAAACCGGAAATACATGTATACCTTACAATCATTCCGTACACAAATATTTGACCTATTGCTTATAGTTTCTAAGAAACAAACTTAACCAGGAAAATTTAACATTGACCAATGAACCATGAAAAAGAGGTCAAGGTCAGATGAACCATGTCAGACTTACATCAGTGATTTTGCTAGAGCTTGTCATTTTCGTCATTTACGAAATGGTTTTCAAAATGACGAAAGTATTTCAAACCAATTTCGTCACTTAAATTTGGAAAGTGTAAAAATATTTTCGCATGAAAATACTATAATTATACATGTCTTCATGTTTCTGACAAGTTTATGACCCCTCAGCTAATTAACGTTTACAAGAGCGTTAAAATTTGTGATGACAGGTAATCCGATTATCGCCATCAGATGGGTCACTAATCCATTAATTATTAAAAAAAAACTCATAATTGATTATCATAATTATTTTTCCCAGTAAAATCAGTCAGTCTCGGCATTTCAATTTCAAAAGTTCTTAAACGACAACAATTCGTAGTTTCGTCATTTGAACAAAATTGTTTTCCCCTGACAGTTTGCATTTTTATTTCAATATTCCTCAAAACTATCACAATTTGCAGTTCGTTTGTAGCAGTTTCGTCATATGAAAGTATTTTCATCATATTTGATATTACTTTTCATCAAAAACTTTCGTCAATTTCGATTAAAAAGATAGAAGTTTATTCAACATGGGAACAGTATATCCTGATTCAACACGTCCAGAAATATTTTCACAATGTCAAACAGGTGCTTCCTTTTACTATGTACTGCGCATGCGTGAAAGTATTTATACAAATGTATAGATTCTAAAACGTAAAAGACGAAATCATTGAGTATCAAATTAAAAGAGAGAGATAAATATAATTCTAACTGATCAAATTAATTTCAATAAAATGCTCCGCTGGGCGCAGCTTGATATGACCGCAGAGGTCGAACCTTGAACAGTTGGGGCAAGTATGGACACAACATTCAAGCTTGATACAGCTCTGAATTTGGATTGTGATTAAATATTTGACACAGCATAGGTTTCTGACACAGAATGAATGTGGTCTAAGAACTTAAATTTTTTTAATTTACCTATTATGGTCCAATATCCAAAATCTAAATACATGGTTAGATTCAGCACATCAAAAAATCCAAAGAATTCAATTTTTGATGAAATCAAACAAAGTTTAATTTTGGACCCTTTTGACCTCAATGTGGACCAATTTGATAACAGGGCCCAAAAAACAAAATACATGGTTAGATTCAGCATATCAAAGAACCCCATATATTCAATTTTTGTTGAAATCAAACAAAGTTTAATTTTGGACCCCATTTTGGACCAACTTGAAAACTGGGCCCATAATCAAAAATCTAAACACATGTTTAGATTCAGCATATCAAAGAACCCCGAGAATTCAATTTTTGTTAAAATCAAACTAAGTTTAATTTTGAACCCTTTGGACCTTAATGTAGACCAATTTAAAAAACGGGACCCAAAATTAAAAATCTAAATACACGATTAGATTTGGCATATCAAAGAACCCCAATAATTCAATTTTTGATGAAATAAAACAAAGTTTAATTTTGGACCCTTTTGACCTCAATATGAACCAATTTGATAGCGGGCCCACAAATAAAAAATCTAAATACATGGTTAGATTCAGCATATCAAAGAACCTCATATATTCAATTTTTGTTGAAATCAAACAAAGTTTAATTTTGGACCCCAATTTGGACCAACTTGAAAACTCGGCCCAAAATCAAAAATCTAAATACATGTTTAGATTCAGCATATCAAAGAACCCCATATATTCAATTGTTGTTAAAATCAAACTAAGTTTAATTTTGGACCCTTTGGACCTTAATGTAGACCAATTTGAAAACTGGACCCAAAATTAAAAAAATCTAAATACACGGTTAGATTCGGCATAACTAAATGTGGTCAAAGATTTTACAAATCTAATGCGCCATACAGTGCAATTAAAGATTACTTCTTGAAATTTTTCAATATTTGAAATTTGAAAAAAAAAATATTTGAAGAATAATTCTTTTTAATTTCTGAAATCTGAAATGAGAAAAAAATTGACCCCCAACAATTTCTTTTTACCCACCCCCCCCCCCCCCCCCCCCCCCCCCCTTTTCCCCCCAAAAAATTCTTTCCCTCAAGATATGGTCATAATCGCAATTCAAATTTCCAATTAACCATTTAAATTTACCATAGTGCTAACTTACCGGTAATCTATTTTATAATAGAATTTAAAATATGGTGTCAAATCTTTCATATGGAAAGGGAAGTAATCAAAACGTTGTAATTGGATTACCTCCCTTACATTGTTTTAAATTGTCTTAATTGTTCATTAACCATTACTTTATACATAATTTAAAAGCAGTGTAAGGGAGGTAATTCATATATTGTATTTGATTTATCTCCGTTACACTGCTTTAAATTATGTTTGTACTAAAGTATTTATCATTAACCAGGACAACCTTGTTTTCCCCCCTTTTTTGCCCCTAATTCCTAAACGGTTTGAGCCATAACCCCCCCAAAGCAAATCCTAACCATCCCTTTGTGGTATGGAAACTTGTGGTATAATTTCAGGGAGATCCATACACCATTCCACAAGTTATTGTCTGGAAACTAGAAAATGCTTATTTTTGGCCCCTTTTTGGCCCCTAATTCCTTAACTGTTGGTACCATAACCCCGAAAATCAATCCCCACCTTCCTTTTGTGGTATTGAACCTTATGGTAAAATTTCATAGAGATCCATTCACTTAAACTAAAGTTAGAGTGCGAAAAACCAATATGTCTTCGTACGACGACGACGCCAACGTCATACCAATATACGACCCCAAAAATTTTTTGCGGTCGTATAAAAATTATAATTTCCTGACTTTTGTTAAACACGAAAATATCCGTAAATGAATCCGGATTCATTCTGAATTTATTATCCACTTGTCACTTCCCGTTTTCAGTTCATTTAAAAATCGAAAGTAAACATGATCTATTCTCTATTAATTTACATTTTACAGTCATTAGAATCGTTCCAATAAGGATTGATACAAATCCTTGTTTCCAACTTTAAAGAAATGAATTCCAAATATCGATTTTAAAGTTTTTACAAGGGTAATGATTATAGGAACCCAGCTTTTATTGAACAGGAATGTCCCCTGAAAATAACTGAAGTGAAATTGTGAACTAGATTTCCGGATCCTTGTTCTTATCTTCATATTTAAGCATTACATCAGTCAAATCTTGCAATAACTGCCTACATTTGTAGCATGCCTAAGGCCTCCAAAGATCCTAGTCAATAGTCAGAGTGTCCCTTGCTGTTACCCAAATTAAGATTATTTCATCTCCCGCAAAAGTGACTAAAGCCCTCAAAATCCTAGCTGAAACCCTGTCAGACATGTACACCTTACAATCAGTCTATGCATTAAATACAGTTGACCTATTGCTTAAAGTATCTAAGAAACAAACTTAACCATGAAAATTTAACATTGACCAATGAACCATGAAAATGAGGTCAAGGTCAGATGATACCTGCCAGACAGACATATACATCATACAATCATTTCATACACCAAACATAGTTGACCTATTGCTTATAGTATAAGAAAAACAGACCAATACACAAAAACTTAACACTGAGCAATGAACCGTGAAAATAAAGTCAAGGTCAAATAAAACCTGCCAGACTGACATGTACATTGTAAAATATTTTCATACACCAAATATAGTTGACCTATACGCTGCCTATTGCAAATAGTATTAAAAAAAAAGACCAAAACACAAAAACTTAACTTTAACCAATTAACCATGAAAATGAGGTCATCGTCAGATGACACCTGACAGTTGGACATGTACACCTTACAATCATTCCATACACTAAATATAGTATACCTATTGCTTATAGTATCTGATATAAGGACTTGACCACAAAAAATTCACCTTTTTCACTGATCCATGAAATGAGGTCGAGGTCAAATGAAAACTGTCTGACAGGCATGAGGACCTTGCAAGGTACGCACAAAATAAATATAGTTATCCTATTACTTATTATAAGAGAGAAATTAACATTACAAAAAATCTTAACTTTTTTTTCAAGTAGTCACTGAACCATGAAAATGAGGTCAAGGACAATGGACATATGACAGACAGAAACTTCATAACATAAGGCATCTATATACAAAGTATGAAGCATCCAGGTCTTCAACCTTTTAAAATATTAAGCATTTAAGTAGTTAGTTAACGCAGCCGCTGCTGCCGCTGGATCACTATCCCAATGTCAAGCTTTCTGCGACAGAAGTTGCAGGCTCAACAAAAATTATGTTCTATCTGTTTTATATCATAAGGTATGGTCACCTTTTTTTACATTAGCATAATAAAAGAAATAAAATGGAATTTGACATTTGCAATGATAGTCCAAATAATTATGACGTCTTGCAAGGCTATTTTATTTTTTTTTCTGTGACGCCTTCCTACGACGTCATGCCAGCGTTATGACGTCGTAGGAAGGCGTCACAGAAAAAAAATAAAATAGCCTTGCAAGACGTCATAATTATTTGGACTACTTCAATGATAGAGAGCTTATAACAAGCCTTCATATAATTTGTTAATCAAAAGTAAAAAAAAAATCAGTTAAAAATGACATTATATCCTGTCTGTACTCTACAACAAATCTTATTTTGTAACAATGTGCTAACTGTATAATAAGGAAACTGACGTATCAATTTCAACAGTCTGCTTTTAAAATGCAAATTTCAAGCTGTTTCATTTCAATTCTTCCTATTGGATCAGCAAAATACTTTTAATAAACCTTTTAACTTTTCAGCATTTTAGTTTTCACTGACTGCCTACCACTGATAACAAAAATGTTCATGAATATCCCACAACAGTTACTTTGAATACCTACTTGTCTTCAGCTACAGATTTATCGTCTAACAAAGTCTGTGTGTCATCTTCTATCTGTTTTAACGCCAGTTTTAATTCCTCCCTGGTCTGAGACAAATCTTCAAATTCTCTATTTATAAGATTTTCTTTATCCTGTAGTTGCGTTAACACTCTGTCTTTGTCTTTGGCTAAACTCTGAAAAGTTTTTGTACAAAGGTAATTTAATTTTATTTTACAGGTATGTAAAGGTCTTTAGTTTTCTATGTTGTGTTTTGTATACTGGTGTTTGTATTTTGGTAGTTTAAGGCATGACATTGTTAGTTTGTTTTTCGACTTATGAGTTTGAATATATATCCTGTTGGAATATTTTGCCTCTCTTTGGTAAATCAAAGCTTATTTTATTTCAAATATTAAATGAATTATTTTCCCAAAAATGATTACCCAAATGCTGTAGCTATGTAAATGAAGCTATAGCCATTCTGAGAATATATCTAAAATGATTTCACGCTCAAAATCAAAGGATTTTACTTGGACCGACGACACTGAGAGTCATTTTGTATAATCCAGTCCTCATAGTAATTACTATTTGACAAGGTGAGCTATAAAATGTGTTACCTGTAACATTGTATCTTTTTCCTGTAATGTCTGTGACAATTCTACACTGTCAGCCTCTAATGTCTTCATACTTTCTATGGTATTATCTAACTCACTGTAAGATATATATACACTTGTCAAAGTCATTTTATTTAATGTTCAGAGATTCTCAACCCCTACATTTAATTTCCTATATTGTCATTTAAAATTAAAAACAATAATTTTTCAACCTGGAAACAGTTAAAAAAAATTCGTAAGGGTTCCACGGAACCCAGTGTCTCGCCTACTTTTTCTGTTAATCGCAGGCTCAACAAAAATGAGGAAGTAAATCAATAAAAATATTCCTCTTGATACTATCTTTTGATTGTAAGAAGCTTCTGTCCAAGTTTGGTAAAATTCCAGGATAGTTTATGAATCTAATAAATGTTTAAAAACTTTAACTGCAGACTGAATGTAATGTTAACTGGAAGAAAACAAAATTTCCTTCTAGATACTAGCATTTGATCATAAACAAGCTTCTGTCCAAGTTTGGTACAAATCCAAAATAGTATAAGAAAGTTATTAAAATTTTAAAAACTTTAACCACAGAGTGAATATGTTGTTTCCTGGCAGAAAATCTAAGTCTATTTAAAAGTAAAATACGGAAAAAATGAATTTATTTTTTACAAAATTTCCTTCTAGATACTAGCTTTTAATCATAAACAAGCTTCTGTCCAAGTTTGGTACAAATCCAAAATAGTATAAGAAAGTTATTAAAATTTTAAAAACTTTAACCACAGAGTGAATGTGTTGTTTCCTGGCAGAAAATCTAAGTCCATTTAAAAGTAAAATAAGGAAAAAATGGATTTATTTTTTTACAAAATTTACTTCTAGATACTATCTTATGATCATAAACAAGCTTCTGTCCAAGTTTGGTACAAACCCAGGATAGTTTAAGAAAGTTATTAAAATTTTAAAAACTTTAACCACAGAGTGAATGTAGTATTTCCCGGCAGAAAAACTAAGTCCATTTATAAGTAAAAAACGGAAAAAATGGAAATTTATTTTTACAAAATTTACTTCTGGATACTATCTTATGATCATAAACAAGCTTCTGTCCAAGTTTGGTAGAAATCCAGGATAGTTTAAGAAAGTTATTCAAATTTCAAAAACTTTAACCAAGAGTGAATATTTGTGGACGCCGCCGACGACAACGACGACGACGACGCCGACGGAATGTAGGATCGCTATGTCTCGCTTTTTCGACTAAAGTCGAAGGCTCGACAAAAATCTGTACATTCCTTCCAATGTTAAAAAAAGTTAGGTGAATACCAGATTTTTTTTTTTAAATATGATTATTGATAGAATTCCTAATTTAGATATAATAATATTAAGAATAAAACTTAAAGAAAATGACAAAATGTTGATCTCAGAGGCCATATCTATATTTCAGTAATAAAAGTACATACTTTTGTAACAAGTTAAAGACCTTCTTCTACCCAAGATGTAGTTGGTAAATAGTACACTAAACAGAAAATAACAAATGAATGTTGTCACATTATTTCCATGGTGGTGTACAAGCAATTAAATTGTCATTAGTTTTTAGTACTTCATATTTGGAATTGACTGTGTTTTCCACACTAATTACTCACTCTTTCATTTGTTCATAATCTTTCATCAGATCTTCATGGTACTGTTCTAGTTTTGCTTTCTCTTTTGCCAATTCACTGTTTACTTGCTCTAATTCCTGTTGAAACATGTAAAAAATTTCAATATGTATTGTTTCTGAAGCACAATAAAATATCCTCTGCAGTTGCAATCTTTCTTATTTATATATGTATATATGTTATAATTAACTGACTGTAAATTCAGAAATTATTGTGTTTATTTATTATTGTGATTTTTGAAGAATGGACAAAAATATGAGATTAATTATTGTGATTTCTGGAAATCTGCATACAGGTATATGTATCAGAAATCAGAATGTGAGTTCTTATTATTGTGCTACTCACCCAGTCAAATTATTCGCATTAATAAAAACCTTGCAATAATTTCTGAAATTACATTACTCAGACAACTTGAGTTAAGAAATATGGATAAGGGTTTAAAACTCTATCAAAGAAGCTATAACATCACCATTGTAGGGATAGAACTAGCCATCAACCAATAGCCTTGTCCATAACTTCACTTACATATTTCATAGTTAAACCATTTTTAGATATTTGGCGGAAGAAGAAAAAGAGCCAGAAAATAACAAAGGGACAATTATAATTCATAAGTAGAACAGAAACCAAAAAACCTAAAGCAAGAAACGAAAAACTGACAAAAAGACAAACAGTTCTTAAATACATTTTAAAGAAAACTGCAGACTGAGCAACCAGAACTCCACCAAAAACATGAATGATCTCAGGTGCTATGGAAGGGTAAGCAGATCTTGCTCCAGATGTGGCACCTATCATTTTCTCATGGTTAGTAAAAGTTTTCTGATTAGATTCATTCAGTGATATCACAATAAAGGAAAAGAGAATGGGACAGTTAACTAAACTGTTGATGTTTAATGCAATAGTGTTACAAAAATTTGAAAGTTAACTTTTCACATGTTTTCTCTACTTTTGCCCATCATTTGCTACAGACAACCCAACAGTTTGTTATCTGTAGACATTGAATGCTATCATATATTAGGAATTCCTTATCCTGCTGTCCTAACCCAACCTTTTCTATAATGAATACCTCAGTGATGTCTTAACCCAACCTTTTCTATAATGAAATACCTCAGTTTTCTGTTTTTCATCAGATAAAGCTGAAATCTCTGACTGTAGTTTATCTGGAATGAAAGAAATATACATATTTTAGTTCAAATATTATTCCAAACTGTCACCTGCATAACATAATCACCAATAATCTTTCAAAGGATAGGTTATGGCATGAATGCACATGCGGTAATGGTCCTATGAAATAGTAGGGTATACCCAATCTGTCAATGTAACATCAATGATGATTGGACAGAAAGACTGAACATTCATGGCAACATTTTTCGTTCTGTTTAATTTGATTAAATCAAGTTTAAAGTTTCATGGCAAGGAAGGAAAACTGACAATCCTATTCAATTAAAATTGCAGTTAAATGCACCTGCCATATATGGGGTTCAAACTCACAAGCTCAGTATTGACAGGCTAGTGATACAGTAGTTCAACGACTTAGACCACTCAGCCACTGAGGCCTCTATATATATAATGCATTAAGGGCAGTTCCATAAAATCTTACATGGTACCCATGGGAAGCACAACGAATCATAACTACGGATGGCTGTCAAATACTTTTTTGTGTGCTGTGAAAATATGAGTGAATTTCTGAAATTGCCTCTGTAGGTGATTACCCATTTTCACAGTGCCTTCCCTAAGTTCTATGTATGTATTAATAGATCAACCCTAACTGAGATTAAACATATTACTTTGGTTTTTTTTTAGTTATTTTACTATTTCATCAAGACCTACCAAAATACACCTGTTTTTGTTTTGCCATTTGTAATCCCTGATCTTCTAACTGTTTGATCATATTATCCATCAACTGAGCATTTTTCCAGGTTCTGTAATACAATACACATTTCATTTCAATTTTAAGATCAGGGTACCAGATCTATAAATAATCATTCCTACATTTTGATAACTAATTTATTTCAAATCAAATATAACAAATATGAAAGTTTAAAGTAGGAATCAAAGAACAGTTTTTCACCACTGAAAATATATAACTGTACTGAAGAACATAGACATGATTGATTGATTGTTGGTTGCTTAACGTCCAGTGGCAAATGAACATAGACATGGTTGATTGATTGTTGGTTGCTTAATGTCCAGTGGCAAATGAACATAGACATGGTTGATTGATTGTTGGTTGCTTAACGTCCAGTGGCAAATGAACATAGACATGGTTGATTGATTGTTGGTTGCTTAACGTCCAGTGGCAAATGAACATAGACATGGTTGATTGATTGTTGGTTGCTTAACGTCCAGTGGCAAATGAACATAGACATGGTTGATTGATTGTTGGTTGCTCAACTTCCAGTGGCAAATGAACATAGACATGAAATCTAAACAAAACAAAAACGGATTTGTTCATCAGCCTTTTCATTTATTTTTTTTTAAAGCCAACTGAAACAAGAGTGCACACGCTGAAATGTCTCGCCTTCTTTACTAATCATTGATATTATGTTGATAGTCCTAAATATAAAGCTTTATTACAACTGTCACATAAACTTAACATTAACCAAGTAAACTAAACATTGACCAATGAACCATGAAAATGAGGTCAAGGTCAGATGAACCATGCTAGGCAGGCATGTACAGCTAACAATTCTTCCATACAACAAATATAGTTGACCTATTGCTTATAGTTTAAGAAAAACAGACCAAAACACAAAAACTTAACACTGAGCAATGAACCTTGAAAATGAGGTCAAGGTCAAATAAACCTGCGTGACTGCCAAATAGATCATAAAATATTTCCATACACCAAATATAGTTGAACTATTGCGTATAGTATTAGAAAAAAAGACCAAAACTCAAAAAACTTAACTTTGACCACTGAACCATGAAAATGAGGTCATGGTCAGATGACACCTGCCCGCTAGACATGTACACCTTACAATCATTCCATACACCAAATATAGTAGACCTATGGCATACAGTATAAGAAAAACAGACCAAAACACAAAAACTTAACTATAACCACTGAACCATGAAAATGAGGTCAAGGTCAGATGACACCTGCCAGTTGGACATGTACACCTTACAGTCCTTCCATACACCGAATATACAAGACCTATTGCTTATAGTATCTGAGATATGGACTTGACCACCAAAACTTAACCTTGTTCACTGATCCATGAAATGAGGTTGAGGTCAAGTGAAAACTGTCTGACGGGCATGAGGACCTTGCAAGGTACGCACATACCAAATATAGTTATCCTATTACTTATAATAAGAGAGAATCTAACATTACAAAAATCTGAACTTTTTTTTCAAGTAGTCACTGAACCATGAAAATGAGGTCAAGGACATTGGACATGTGACTGACGGAAACTTCGTAACATGAGGCATCCATATACAAAGTATGAAGCATCCAGACCTTCCACCTTCTAAAATATAAAGCTTTTAAGAAGTTAGCTAACGCCGCCGCCGCCGGATCACTATCCCTATGTCGAGCTTTCTGCGACAAAAGTCGCAGGCTCGACAATAAAATTACATAAGGCAAAGGTATGATTGGGGTCAAAAGGCTCTTCTTGGTGGATGGGGAGTAATTGAAACAGGTAAGAGTAACCAACTGTGGATTCATTTATTTTCGTTGAAACTAATTTTTGTGGATTGAGGAAAATTAGCATTTTCATGGATACATGTATTTGATTTCCTAGTTACGCAAAATATGCATACATGTCTATACAAACTTTGTTCTTCATTGAACATCTAAATTCGTGGTTTACCTATACAAATGAAATCCATGAAAATTCGTTTTCCCACGAGTAATAATGAATCCACTGTATATAAAATGCCAAACTGGTATTGTTAATTGTTAACAATTTAAAATTAGACAATCCTTTCTTTTTCTTTTATTATCTATTGCCACACTTATTCATTTACATTGCTTTTATAGCGGCTAACAATCATAACTGACAATCTCTGTTTATGGCTATTCCATTAAAATGTATGTGGGAGGGTAGGAAGGGAAGTTTAATTATTGAATGTGGGTCATGGGTCTTTTTTCAGTATGCCTCTATTACCATTATGCAAAATTACCAAAAAGATGGTTCTTGGTTGTAGGGATATTTTGAAAGTCCCTTCCTACCCTCCCACATACATTTTAATGGAATAGCCCTTACAAAAAGGTTGAATCATTCAAAGTCTTACATTTTCTGTGCCTTTTCTAAATGTTCCAACCATTTAGTTCTATCATAATTACTTTCTGTACCTAACAAATAGGTCATCTGTAAAATATATTCAAAATTTTTAAAAACAAATATATATTGTGGTACACTTTCTGTGTATCATCACTTCCTAGTCAAATACCCATATATCTCTTTAATATGGGAGATAATCCATGTTAAATACAGACTGATCCAAGCCTGGAGTCTGCCTGTATTTTCATTTTGTCGTCTGGTTGCCATATTTGTTTATTTAATTGTTTTTGACTTAAATTAGGTTTTCAACTATCTCTTTTGAATTGTTTCCTCATTTTGTTATTAAGAGGCTCTTTTGAATTGTTTCCTTGTTTTGTTATTAAGAGGCTCTTTTGAATTGTTTCCTCATTTTGTTATTAATAGGCTCTTTTGAATTGTTTCCTCATTTTGTTATTAAGAGGCTCTTTTGAATTGTTTCCTCATTTTGTTATTTAGAAGCTCTTTTCAATTGTTTCCTCATTTTGTAATTAAGAGGCTCTTTTGAATTGTTTCCTCATTTTGTTATTAAGAGGCTCTTTTGAATTGTTTCCTCATTTTGTTATTAAGAGGTTCTTTTGAATTGTTTCCTCCATTTGTTATTAAGAGGCTATTTAACAGCTAATCATACAGTGAAAGTTTTTACTTTTTGTTAAAAACAGTACTGTAACACATAGTGGCCCTTTTCTTTACCTTTGACCTTTAATGGACTGTTATTTAATTGGCAAAATCTTGTTATCAACTTTTTACCTTGACTTCTGCACTTTGTTTAGTTATATTAAATTTGTGCTGAGAATTGTGAGTAATACACATTTTGTTGTAACTTACATTGAAATTTGTACTGTGAATTATAAAATTGAGAATGGAAATGGGGAATATGTCAGAGACAACAACCCGACCAAAGAGCAGACAACAGCCAAAGGCCACCAATGGGTCTTCAATGCAGCGAGAAAATCCCACACCCGGAGGATGTCCTCAGCTGGCCCCTAAATAAAATTGTGTGCTAGTTCAGTGAAAATGGATGTCACACTAAACTCCAAAACATATAAATGAACTAAAATTATGAATACTTAACATTTTGTTTAGCTTACATTAAATTTTGTACCGTAAATTGTGAATACTGATGATAATGGATGTAATAAATTTTGTGTTTCATAAACAGTTTCTTCATTGTAGATAGTGCTTAATATTTGTTTACATTGAGGGCTGTGCTGCAGATGGTAAATGCTGAAAATATCGTTTATTGAAGTTTACCCAATTTTCAGCAACCTTGGCATTATCATGGCAGCCAATTTTTTTTGGCAGAAGAAGCAAGAGTTTCCTGAGAGAACCACTGATCTTCGGCAGGACAACTGTCCATTCTTGATTATTCCTGGTCAATAAAGATAGGAGTCAAATTAACCTCGCCAAATACTGCTTTAACCAGGGTTTACATCACAGGAAAGAGACCACTTTTGACGAAGTACATTTGTACTTTGACTAGTTGGCTACAAGGACCCCTCTAAATAGTATTTTACACTTACATTAAGTTCAGTACTGCAGATTGTGAAAGCTGAATATTGTGTTTCTTCATTATGTATACTAATAACAGATTCTCCCAAAGGAATGAATCCCTAAAATAAAATAACATCATTTTATTACACTTTATATATACTAGTAACAACTACTCCATGAGCATACGATAAATCTGTCTCATCAATTGTAATATTTGCTTGCTGTCTCATTGAGGTTTTTCACACATACATGTCTGCTGTAATTGTTTTTAACATAAATCAAGCCATTGGTTTTCTCATTTGAATTGTTTCCCATTTTTTCAAGCTGAGGCCTAATATAGCTTTTTATATGGCATGGGTAACTTGCTCATCGTTGAAGGCCGTACAGTGACTTATAGTTGTTTACATCCTCATCTTTTGATCTCTGGTGGATAGTCGCCTCCATGGCAATTATATCATATCTCTTTTTTATTCTTTTCTTTCATGTTTCAATACAAATCTTTTTTGTTTTATTTTGTTTTACATTTCATTTATTTTACTTCCTTGTTCGGTAATCAATTAAAACATGCCTTAGGATGAATACTGATGCATTTTCTTTTTTCCATATCTTTTCTTTCTTGTTCAGTATAATAAAACAGGTAGCCATCTTTCACAACAAAAAATCTGAAATAAAAATGAAGATACAAAAGCTGACTATTAAGGCTTATATTTAAATTTCATTTTCTCCCTTAAATAAATAGGTAAATAGGCTCACTGATATATTTTTATTTTGTATTTTAGAGTCTCTTTTGCAAAAAATAACATTTATTAACAAAAAGTGACAGAAAATAATATAATATTATTTCCCTCCCTATCTGCAACTATCCAGATAAGAAAATGTGATTAGATGGAGAGCAAAAACAAACAATATTTCAATTATACATTGTAGGCAGCTAGACTAAAATCCTAATCGTGCAACCTAATCACCTAGCTAAGTGCTTCAGATACTTTTCTCCACTTACATGAAAAGTTTTAAAAAGCATTACAGACTTATTTTCTATATCCAGAAAATGTCTATATAACTTAAAGATTCATCTTAACACTTTGGAAGAACTTAGACATAAAAAGGTTCATATTTTAAGTTGTTTTTTAGTTATAACTTTCCTGGATTTTGCAATTTATGTGCATTATCCTCCTCAAAACAGATGATGGTAAAATCACAAACTCCTGAATTTCATTTGATACATTTCCAAATTACAAGCTTTATATCAAGGTCATGCCAGGCTTTGAAGCTTATAAGTTGCACATGTATGAGTGTTCACAAAGTAAACGTAGTGGTGTAAACACAACCATTTTGCCAAAGTGTTTGATCATGAATAACGATGAACCCTTACCGTAAGTGAGTTGGTAGCACCAAGTACCAAACATGTAGACGAAATCTTTTTTTTCTTTTTATCACTATATTATATAAAATTTATTTCAGATGTTTTTTGGGAAATGAGAAAAACTACTCAAAATTGATTTGTCAGCGAATCGATTTATATTAAATTTGATACAATTTGTATATAATTAAGCAGAAATACATATGATCAAAGCCTTATGTGGGTGGAACCCGGTGGATTTACCCGACAGCATCGTATGTAAATGTAGCATTCGTACATCCTTATTTACAAATTAATAAGGTGATAGGGTTATGACAAACGAGGTAAATTTTCAAATAAGCAACCACTGTACTTTCAGCTATTACATTGACATTGTATCAAGATTAATTTTCTGAAATAAAATGTGTTTCTTCTTCCAAATAAGGAACCAAGATCAATATTGAATGTATGCAGTCCTGTGTGTTGTGCCTGGCAACACATGCAGCTAGTCTTCTCAAAGCTATTTAATTTAAACAGTCTCTTGACAGTATATACAATGGATCAATATTGAAACAAGTTTAAAGAATGTGATTGACACTTGTAAATTTTAGCTCTATTCTGTTAAATATATTTAAAATTCACAAACTTAAAGTAGAAATTTGCAAAAAGCCTTTAAATATAAACCCCTTACGTGAAAAACTGGATCAGAAGATGTTTATAAATGAAATATAATCAAATATTCCTCTCAATTAATCCAGAGACATATATACACATATATATATGTGTATATATGTCTCTGATTAATCTCAGGTAATTTGTTTCATACCATTATTGACATGATTGATATCTTATCCTATTGAATTACATGCATGTACATAAATATCCCCTTAGGCTAAAAATAACACATCTGATAACGGAACGTTTAATACACTGTGATCACCTTTTAGACCATTTATTTGACGGATGTCCAAATGGCTTTTTATAAAGATATCCACTAAACTGAGAAACGTTCGACCAGTCCAAAACCTCAGACGATCGATTGTTGGTCATGTTTTTTGGTCTATTGTCATGATAACTTCCTTGTTCAGAATGAAAACATCCTGTCAAGCAACCCATTCCACAGATACTCGGCTTTTTACTTCATTCTTCCTTGAGCTACCGACAACGGGTAATTATCTCCCCCTTTTAAATCACGTGTCAGGTGTACAAAGTGTCACATTATTTAAAAATGGCGCTCTCCTGTTTTCAGATTGTTTTGATGGTTGGAATGCTGGTTACTGGAAGCATAAATACTATCAGTAAAAAAGCACAAAATGATTGCAAGTAGGGAAATTTCAGGTTTTAAGTGAACGCCTTATTTCATCACAAGGGCTGGGAAATCCTATTTTAGAAAGCAAGGGATGTGCCAATGATAAAACAAGTCACTACTGTCAGGAACATATATACTGTTCCCAGCTACTGTCACTAGGAAAAACTTCAGAAAGAATATAGATAGGCACTAAAGATGATTTGATTTTTCCTTTGTATGATTTCTCCTAAGCCAACAGATAACAAGCACTTTTGAAGATATTATCAATTAACAACAATTACATTATTTAAGATTTAACACATTCTATAAAAAAAAAGTCGCACATTGACACAATAGTCTAAATATATAAATAGTATCTAGATTTGTAATCAATATTTTTTTTTAAGAAAATAAAATCTATTTGATAAAACATAGCTGGTCTTAATAATATGAGGCAGGTGTGACCTGTGAAAGGGGACGAAGTCAATAAATCTTTAGAATACTTTATGATATCCTGTGCAAATGTGGGAACTGTAAAAGTTGGGAAGAAAAAATGATAACAATTTTGAGTTCTTTAATATATTGATTTTTTCTTCATTTAATTGATGTTCTTACTTTTCTAACTTTGAACACAAAAATTCCAATCAAAATTGGTAGATGGCAAAATATTCAGAGAGAAAATTGTATTTGTACTTTATGTGATATTGGCGACAAGTTTCATTAAGTTTTAGAATGTTCGGCAATAGACCAAAGTAGACAAATGCTGCTAAAACATCATTTTGTAAACAGACCAAATATTTTACAATTTCAAGGTCTTATGAATAGCAACACCATCTGAACTAAACAAGCTGTGCAAATTTATACGAATAATTATTAAATGCCTAGAATCTCCTGGGTAACCACTTTATGTATCTAATATTGAGAATGGAAATGGGGAATGTGTCAAAGAGAAAACAACCCGACTAAAGAGCAGAAAACAGCCGAAGGCCACCAGTGGGTCTTCAACACAGCGAGAAAATCCAGCACCCCGAGGCAGGTTTATGCTGGCCCCTTAACAAAAATGTGTACTAGTTCAGTGAAAATGGACGTCATAATAAACTCCAAAACATATAAATGAACTAAAATTAAAAAACATACAAGACTACCAAAGGCCAGAGGCTCCTGACTTGGGACAGGCGCAAAAATGCGGCGGGTTAATAGAAATAAGAAGATGTGGTATGAGTGCCAATGAGACAACTCTCCATCCAAGTCAAAATTTATAAAAGTAAACCATTATAGGTCACAGTACGGTCTTCAACACGGAGCCTGTTTTGTGAGATCTCAACCCTCCCCCTATACCTCTATCCAATGAAGAATAAACAAACACACAGCAATACGCACAGTAAAACTCAGTTAAAAAGAAGTCCGAGTCTGATGTCAGAATAGGTAACAAAAGTCTACTTTACATTTGGACTTAAATTTTATACTATGTATGTTAATTTATTTGTGTATGTTTCGATACCATTATATTTTGGTTTACAAGAATAAAGATAAAGATACTGCAATTGGGGACATTGTCTATAATATTTCATGTAAAAGAACTAATTTATGCTGTTTGGTAGTACATTACCAATACTCATTTATTTTAGGCACCTAAATTTGCTACATAAGGTGCAATCTATATTGGGTTGATACATGTAAATAGGGATAGAGTTTGATTGTTTGTGTTTAACACCACTTTCAGCACTATTGGCATATTCAAACTCACAACCTCAGTGTTGACAGACTACAAAAATGTAGCTATACAGTATACAGTATATAAACTATATAGACCAATCTGCCAGTGAGGCCCCAAGGAATAGAGTTCAATGGTATAAAGTTAAAATAACAGATCTGCATACTAGTAGGAATATAATGTTTGTACTTATTTAATTACATTCAGACAAAAAGTTAGTTTCGATTTAAAAATATGTTAATTTGTGTATTTCTTGCATCATAAGCTGTAAATTTCCTAAGATTATTTTTGAATTAGACATACATTTTGTACATGTAACTCCTTCTGTTCATTGGACTATTTTCCTGAAGATTTCCATAGTCTTTTTTATAAGGCATAGCTCTTTAAGACTATTTACATGAAATATATATTATTTATTTATTTTTTATTTCATCATACTGTGTCATATTATACAGTTGTTTATTTATTTTTTCTTATTATAATTTTGCTATATTGACCTGGATTTTGTAGGTATAAAAGTATATGCAGGCAATTGTCACCAGGCTAATTTGGAATTAATTTTAATTTTATCATTTTATTAAGAAATTGGACTTTTAGAAAAATATGGTTTTAGAAGTTAAGCAATTTACATGTCAAAACAAACTATGAATTATTGTCTTAATTTGTGACATTTAATGTTTAAATATTTGTGACAGATTTATTTATTTGTGAAGTTACTGAAATTTAAATATGAAAGACTTCAATCCTAAATTCATACTAAAGGTGTGAAATAATGTAAAGGAAAATTGAAAGAATGAAATTATATGAATATTAGTGATTAAAATTATCTTTTATATTAATTAATGTGAAAGCTGTCACTCATGGCTAAAGGTTATGAAATGTCATTGGAGTATTGCCATGTTACAATGTAATTGAGTATTGTCTATTTTCAATATTCAGTATAAATATTTGTTGTAAACTATATAAAATCAGAACGATCAGAAGTAAGAAAGAACGAACATAGAACATAATAGAACTATTACAGTAGGAGTCGTATTGTCTATACTATTTTATACTAGTACTTGGACTTGGCATTAAATGATATAACTTGAATGTGTTGGATCTTTGTCAACTGCAATAACTAGTTCCTGGCATTGGTCACTTCAAGACTTCATTGTTTTTGTAATGATTTTACAAATAAAATCATGACCCTGTAACCCCTGTGTTACACAATTATTAAAAAGAATTGCAAACACATTTTACGTTTCATAATCCTGTAATGTGCACAATGGACTGCACCAATGTACATCAAGGTTCACCATGATAAGAAAGACCAATAGGTCAATACTCATTGAAGGCAATCATGTCAGTATTCAATTAATTTGATTATTTCTTCACAAGTTTAAACATGGTAAAGATGAATAATACAAAAGTTAAAACATGGTAAAGATGAATAATACAATTAATCACAACAAATTTGGTAGTCATTCAAAATATTTATTTTTCTACCATACTTATTTATAATTTTGAAAGAGAAAATTTTTATACACAAATATATCTTTATTTGGATTTTCATCTTAATTTTTGTCTGCTTGGAGGTATTACAATCCGGCGGCGAATGCACTGACAGTGACAGCTTAAACTATTTGTATAAAGATTTATATTTCAGGAGCTAGAAGACCTTGATGCTTCATACCTTGTATGCAGATACCTTATGTTACAAAGTTTCTGTCTGTTATATGTCTGTTGTTCTTGACCTCATTTTCATGGTTCAGTAACTGCTTGAAAAAAATAACAGTTTTTTTTGAAAAATGAAATACTCACTTATTATGAGTAAGAGGATAACTATATTTGGCATATGGGTTCCTTGCAAAGTCTTCATGTCTGTCAGGTAGGGTTCACTGACCTCAACCTTATTCCATGAATCAGTGATCAAGGTTAAAGTTACGTGATCAAGTCAATAATTCAGATACTGTAAGTAGAGGATCAACTATATTTCGGTATGGAATGATTGTAAGGTGTATATGTCTGACTGGCAGGTTTCATCTTACCTTGACCTCAATTTCATGGTTCATTGGACACTGTTTAGTTTTTGTGGTTTGGTCTATTTCTCAGATACTATGAACAATAGGGCCACTATATTTAGTATATCGAATGATTATAAGGTGTACATGTCTGACTGGCAGGTTTCATCTGACCTCAAACTCATTTTCATGGTTCATTGGTCAATGTTAAGATTTTGTGGTTTATTCTGTTTCTCAGGTATTATCAGTGATGGAATGATTGTTAGGTGTACATGTCTGTCTGGCATGGTTCATCTTACCGTGACCTCATTTTCATAGAAAATTGATAATGTTAAGTTTATGTGATACTTGTAGTAAAACCTTCATATTACAGACTTTCAACATGAATTCAATGATAAGTAAAACAGGCGAGACATTTCAGTGTGTGCACTTTTTTTAAAAATCTTACAGAGTAGAAGGATATCCTGACAGAAGTGCTAACAATACCAGAACAGTCCATGAATTTAACCATCCATGGTTCCAAACACTGATTATGTTCTTTGGTAAGTACATTGTGACCATTTTGTATACCAGGCAAAATTCTGTAACCTTAATCAAATTTTCTTTTAATAGTTATCTCCCATTTGGACTGAAATTGAATATTCAGATATGGCTTTTGCAACAAACTTACACATTTTTCTTTACTTCAAATATTTAAATATATACTTAACCCTTTAACAGTCAAAACATTACTGAAGTATAACAATACCTTCTGTGACATACAAATGTATTTTCCATTCCAAGAATTTCAAGCTTTTAGTACTAAAAGATAAAAAAAATACACATCTTTCCTGTTGACAATATTTTAGTGTTCATCTTTGGCATGAAAAATGAAACACTTTTTTATGCCCCCGCCGTAGCTGAGGGGGCATTAAGTTTTACCCTGTCTGTCTGCTAGTCTGTCCGTACGTCCGTCCGTACGTCCGTCCGTACGTCTGTACGTACATCCGTATGTCCCAAAGTTGGTTTCCGTTCTCTAACTTTAGTTTGCCTCAACCAAATGTTATGAAACTTATACAAAATGCTTATTACCACAAAACACACATCAAGTTTGAATTTTGGTGGTGTCACTTTAACCGTTCTAGAGTTATGCCCCTATACAAATGGAAAATTTGCTGAATTTTTCGTTTCCTTTCTCTAACTTTCATTTGCCTCAACCAAATGTTATGAAACTTATACACAATACTTATTACCACAAAACACAGATCCAGTACAAATTTGGGTAGGGTCACTTTTACCGTTCTTCAGTTATGTCCCTTTATAACTTTATATGATATGCAAGCGGGGGCATCATCTGTGTCCCATGGACACATTCCCCATTTATTTTATATTGAGTCTATGTGCACCTTTTTCAAGAAAAGAAAGCCATGTAAATCCATCTCCGTATCTGATGAGAGTAAAAATCAGGGATAACCCTGCATCAAAATTGGGAGTTAAATGTTTGGTTCGATAATGCATGCCATACTCTGAACAACAGTTCTAGTGTATTAAAAAAACATAAGTACATCATGTTCATGTATCCACTTTTCAAACCCACTGTGCATCCCCTTTCACCAATTATTGCTGTTAACTGGAATTCAATTGATTTGTCAAAACTTATTAAAATAGAATTAAATGACAAAAATCCAACTAAATTTTGTACTGTGGATTTATTAATATTTCTAGAGGGATAATAGTCTTGTGGATTTTGTTGGTAGGAGGAAATCGATGAAATTAAAAACTTTTCAAAATATAAATTTTTGTTAATTTTGGTTAAATCACAAAATTAAATACATGATACCCTCAAATTGGCATATATTTTTCAAACTATTAAAAAATTGACACCAGCGAATAAAAGTAAAAGAACTCACAGTAACTGTATTCTCAATTGATTTGTTGTATTGTAAAAGAAAGTAAGAAAATAACAAAGATAAATTACAAAAAAAAATATTTCAATGCAGGACAGACAAAAACATGGACAAAAGAAAAAAATGAAAAGACAAGCAAAGGTCATAAAAGAAATTAAATGGAAAACATTTATTACAAGAAGATTTGAAACATAGATAGTAGAAAATCTCTCTGATTTAAATCTGTTTTGGGAAGGTTTGTCTTATAGCACAATTCCGAAATGAGTCCAACTACTGTTTTATTTATTTACTTACAAATCAAATGAAGATTGAGTGCACTGTGATTCTATAATAGAAAAATTCTCTTCTAGTCTTGTCACAAAAAAACGAATGATACTATACAATATGAGTTCCCAAATACCTCTGACATTGAAAACATTGAATTCAAGAAACGTCTTGGTGATGGAGTATGTACCATCAAAATCCCCTCTTTTGTTTAGCTGATTGTAAAGTAAGTTGTATTTTCAGGAGAGATGATATGTTTAGGTGGTTATTGTATTGTAAGGAAGAAAGAAAGAGATAAAAGGAGAAAAGAGGTAACTTTTTCACAAAAAACAATGGATTAAACTGTTTACTTTAAATATGCTAAAATATCCTTAATCTCTAACGCCAAACATTTTTTGGATGATTTTTTCCAAGCCTCCCTTCCCCACCACTCATTGGGAATGTACAAGAGTCTGGATTTGGGGTCCCTCATTTCTTTATTTTTTAATATTGTAGACCATTATTCTCATATTCTTTATATTTAATACCCAGCTATTCTCCATTCTTTATTTTCTTGGGCCTATTTTTCTCTATTCTTTATTTTTTCCCCTTAATTCTGCACATTTTGCATGTTTTTCTCTATTCTGTAAATTCCATCCAGACCCTCATATTGTGTTACCAATGTCTGCCATTCCATCTCTTAAATCGTAAGGTTGTCTGGATTTTGCTGTTATGCCTCTAGATATTGAGCTAATTTTTGGTTATTTGGTGTATAATGGTGAGTTACAGATCTTATTCGGTTTTATTTGTCGATTACCTTATTTTTTTCTGCTGTTCTGCAGGTGGGAAGTAAGTGTCATCCTGAGGTATCTGGTGATCTTGATTGTTTTGTAAGAACAGATTAATTGATTGATTGTCGGTGTTTAAAGGGCCATCACTTTCAGCACTATTGGCTATATTGTGGCGGTCAGTTTTTATTGGTGGAAAAAGCAGAAGTGCCCTATGGAACCACTGACTTTCAGCAGGAAAACTGACAATCCTAGTCAATTAAGTTTGAAGTCATACATACCAGCCACGTGCAGGGTTTGAATTCGCAATCTCAAAGTTGACACGCTAGTGATACAGGAGATGAACTATTTAGATTACTGGGCCACTATGGCACCTTCTGAGAATAGAAGTGGGGTATATGTCATAAACTTTTGCCAAACAAAGATTCTTGATTCATTAATAAGTGTGTTGTTCATGTATTTTTCTATAGCTTAAGATTAGATGTTTAATGAAACTGTATTTCCAAGTAAACAATATAAATGATGACTGCTTAGATTTTAATATTTTCAAAAAAAATAGGTTAAATACAGACAAATAAAATAAGCAACATACTCAATATGGCTGCTTATTTGATATGAATAAAAGGACAGGAGTAGAAGACGTCAATCAGACACTAACCCAACAACAAAAACAACCAAAATAAATCTAGAAGGCAATTTTACAAACAGTCTGTAAGGGAGCTACCATTTGATTTTTATGGGGGGGTAGAATGAAATTTGAAAAAAAGGCAGGACAGGAGTTTTGAGTAAAAAAAAAGGCAGGATGAGCAACTGGGGGGAAAAAAAGGCAGGATGACAATTTATGTAAAAAAAGTCAGGATAAACTAATAAAAAAAAAGGCAGGACCGAATAGAGTGAAAAATAAAAAGGCAGGACAGAGATTACAACTAAAAAAAAGGCAGGACAAATACCCTGAAGTCCAAATAAAGGGAAAAAAATTAAGATATGACAATTTTTTTTATGCTTAGTTAGATGCTGAGTTAAACAGTGTTGCGTTTAACTTAAATGCAAAGTAAAATCTATTTTGTTATATTTATAGTATGCTGAACAAAACAAAGATATGACAGATATTCCTCCTCAACCAAGGTAATTTAGTTGTACCAATATAATGTACAGCATATTATGAATAAAGCTGATTTTTTAACTATTTTTTGTGTGTTCAGAAAAAAACTTTTCTTCAAGATGTATTGTTACTAATTTTGTTCTTTGCTTTTGTCTAAGTAATATTTACATTTTTTTATTTCATTTATAACTTGAATTCAGGATTACTCTCAATCTAGAAGTCAACAAATTATATGTCTGTTTAAAGCTTAAACCTACCCTGAACTATTTTACTGAGTTTTGGTGGAATAATATTAAAGTCAGGTTGTTTCCACATTGTTTCCTCTTAAATAATGTTTATACAATATTTTTGAAACAAAATCCTTATATCTACTTACCTAACCAGTTTTGAGGGTCATGTCATATCAATTTTATATTTTCAGAATAGTACAGTTAATTATAGCAGTACCTACCATGTGTGACTTAATTGGTACATCAGTAGCTGGTATGTTTTTTGTATATTAACCTTGTCCCCTGTACTCAATACCAGACTGGTTATACTTCACTTACTGAAGCATGGGTAGAGTGATGGTTGTTGGTCTATTTTGTTCAGTAATTTGTTCAGAACTTAATTTGTTTGCGCCTGCGCTTTGTACTTGTATCTACAACTCTTCCTAAATCAGTAACTAGATTTAAGTAGAACATTAAGGGAATCTTATGTATCTAATGGCATTGTGCACTTCTAAATTTATTTTTTTTTATTTCAAAATGAATTTTTAGGTGAAACATGAACTTTGTCTTTTTACAATAAATGAAAAAGATTTAAATGTGATTGCCAGTAGATATTATGGTTGATTGGTTTATATTTTGTAGGAATAGGACTTATATATGTTGATGCATCAGTGTGGCAGATGTTACGAGGATCGATCATCATATTTGCAGGAATTTTATCAGTAAGTTAAGGTAACAAGAATACAATGTTAGGAATATTACTAAATGATCATTGTTTCTATGTATTACAGGAAATTGGGTAAACTATATGTCTCTGAGATAGCAACTCAACACCCAAACAAAAGTGTCTTTACTATATGTCAAGGTCTAAATTGCCCCAAATTTGTAATTTTGACACTAATTTCTTCTAAACTTAATGAATATGTCGACTAAACTTTCGGATAATCCTAATAACATAATGTACTTGTGCATTTCTTATTTATCGTTTTGATCTGATCAATTTCTGGGGTTTCTCTTTCCAAATCATGGACTTTGCCCTTTTCCAAAACCAGTGAATGGAAATCAATCAACTTTCATGGATTTTTCACCACATAATGACATTGTGCACCATTTTTATTTTTTTATTTTTGGGGTTCCCCAAACAAAAGCATGGTTTTTCCCCTTTCATATTATAGGGTTAACATCCCGCATTCCTCAATGGTCCTAAACCAGTGAATTGATTTCAATCAAACTTTTACAGATTCTTCATGACATAATGCTATTGCACACCTTTTATTTTACTTTTTGATCAGAATCATTGTTGGGTTTTCCCATTCATGCATTTTTTCCATTTCATAATTTTGAGTTAAGTTTTCTTGATTTTGATGTAAATAGTTTCTTTGATACACATGTACTTCTGTTTTTACTGCACTTGTAAGATTGTTAAATATTTTTCCACTTGAATTTACCCTTTTTAGAATCTAAGCTAGTGGGTAATTTCATTGATGGTACACTGAAATGAAAAGGATATTACAACATTCATTGGTTATGCATTGTTAAGGACAATGTTAACCATTCAGAAATTTTGGTGTACACTTTTGAAAATATTACCCAGAATGCATTAAATTCAGAAACAGTAAATTTACTGTAGAATTTTCTCTTTTCATGTCTAAAATTCACATAGTTATTTCTTTGAACAAGATATAAATGTGTTGAAATGTTAACTAAATGTTCTTTTTTGATTTTAGAAAATATTTTTGAAAAGAAAGTTACGAGTAGTACACTGGTGTGGTATGTTAGTAACAATGATTGGATTGGTCCTTGTAGGATGTTCCAGTGTATTTAAATCTCAACATACTGCTGAAGGTTCTAAAACTATTCTAGGTATACATTATTATAATTAGAAGTCAATCATTTTATGTCCTGCTTAACAAACTTTTGACCTGTACATACACTATAGCACAGGTTGATTTTTTTCATTTCCAACTGCCAACTATGGGCAACTATAAACTACATCCCCTTAAACTTTAACCTAAGATTTTGTAAAACGTAGAATATAACAGCTTCACTTATTTTTCCAAGTATTGTATGCTCAATTCCTTTGATGGAGAAAGGAAATGGTATTTTCAAGTCGATCATTTGAAAGTTTTGGCCACTATGACAACTATGGGACAGTTGGAAATAATAAAATTCAATTGAGCCATCATGTTATCATTACAGAATACATTAACAATTTCAGACTTGTAAATTAGTAATGAAAAGTAAAAACTTAATGGAATCCTCAATTTTCTCACGAATTTAAAACTACAGGTAGAATTCCTTTGTAACATATACATTTGTTCTGTGGGATTTGTTACTAGTAAAATGAAATTTATTAACTTTTTACTAAACACAATTGCTATAATCCAATGAAAATGCAGATTTTTTGTATAAGGTGGAATTATATTAAAACTGAAGTTTGTACTTTCAAATTTGTTTTCAGGTATAATATTAATTCTTGCTAGTCAAGTTGTCAGTGCTAGTCAGATGGTTATAGAAGAAATGTTTCTGAAAAAGAGAAGTCTCCATCCATTACAGGTTTGTGGCAGATAAAAAAACTTTACAGACAATCTTATAATGAATACACAACAGGCTGTGTTACTTCAAATACCAATGGGCCAAAATACTTTCCAATTTGGATGTTTGAAATAATTGCTTCACAATGATCAACTGCGGAAAAATGTTTCACCCATTTCTAGAGAAAGATTGTACTTAGTATCACGATAGTATTCTTATCGTCAATTTCCTATTTTAGATTTCTGTTTAATATGACGCTTGGAAAAATTATCAAGAACATTATTGTTATAAAAGTTTGACTTTCATATTAATAGAAATTAACTCTTTATAATTCATTTGTTCTTATACTGTTTGAACAGTTGAAACGAAAGACTTATTTACCACCCAGGCACCCATTACTTTAAAATGGGCTGCAAAATGTTTATTAAAATTTGTGAATTTTAGCATTTCTTAAAGAATATTAGGTAAATATCGTTTAGCAAATTTTATTCTGAGGACAACTCTCTGGGATCACAATTGTAATTGATTTCAGATATTAATAATTTTTTTATTTAATTTTAAAATAGTAAAATATCAAAATTTTGATATTGTCTTTCACAGGTAGTTGGGACAGAAGGAAGTTTTGGTGCTCTACTTATGATAGCGGTAAGTCTGGCCTATTCTTTTACAAATATGACCTAGCTATAGGTGATCCTAATTTTGGGGTTGTTAGAAAGTTGTTATCATTTGATCCATGAATGCAGAACACTTAAGCCCTTCACAGGAATTAATAGTTAAGAGAGATACAAGTGCCAGTGTCATTATACTTAGACGTAAAGATTTACCTCTGTCCGTCCCTCCAATGAAATTTTCCTTCCATTTTTCTCAGAAATTATTTCCCTTCAATTTGATATCAAGCTTCTTGTGAGCATGCTCTACCCTGTGATTCTATTTCATATACATCAATTATCAACTTCCTGTTTACCAAATACTTCTAGTAGGTGTATTATTAGTGATCAGTAGCTCACAGTTCATCTAGTTCTATAGTATCTATGCTATTATACATGCACCACAACTTCTTTTCCAGTTTATTTATTAGTTTGAAATTAAGAGTCATATCTAATAAACAAAAATGAAAGACTCTGGTTTAATAACTTATCCAAGATACCAGGCTTATGATTTGGTTCACCAGGATGTGTGTTTCATTAACATAAGTCTCATCAGTGGTGCTCGAATCAAAACAGTTGGATATCCTTATCAAATATGAAGTTGAAGAGCATTAAAAATTGAAAATTATGATAAATTCTTTCATTCATACCTTGTAGGTAGTTTTACCAGTAATGTATTTTATACCAGGATCAGATGTTAATAACAGTTATGAGAACAGTTTAGATGCTATATACCAGATATTCAGTGAACCAAGACTTTTAGTGTTCTGTCTTCTATATTTATTATCTATAGCATTTTATAACTACTTTGGATTGGCTGTAACTAAATCTTTAACAGGTATGGAATATATGTAAATTGTATGGGAGGGGCCTTAGTGACTTGGTATTGTAGGTAACTGGTTCAGATTAGTTCTGTCAATCACCACATGTATCCAATAATAAATATACAACAGGAAATTTATAATGTTAAATGCATTACCAATGATTAAGTCAAAATGTCAAAGAAAACAAAATCTTGCCATGATGAGTATGACAGAGACAAAAATTGCAATTTTCATGTAATGAAATGAAATGAAGGTGAAACTAATATTTAATCTGTTATTTTCTTGGATTGTTTAAATCAAATTACTATTATAAATGGCTGTAATTAGGTAATAAGATCATCAACCAATATAGAAATCATGAAACAGTAGGTCAGTTGGAAGGAAACTCCTCTATGTGATTCTTTTATGTTTGCCACTTAATATATTCACAAGGAGCATTAATAATGGTTAAGATACCGGTAATTTTCATAAATTTTCAATCGTCTCATGGCTATAATTCGGTATACAGTAGGTAAATTTGATTGAAACTCATAGGTTATCTGTTACTACTGATTGTAAAACTATATATCAAAAATGTACTATTACCGAATTTTCTTGTTCTGCAAAATATGTTTAAAAGATATAATGTTAGGGAAGTAGAAATTTAAAATTGTGATCCAAAACTCCTTTTTTAATGGTTAGCACTTGCTTAAATGATCTCAATAGATATAAGAAGATATGGTATGAGGGCCAATGAGACAACTTAACATCCAAGTCACAATTTGTAAAAGTAAACCATTATAGGTCAAAGTACGGCCTTCAACACGGAGCCTTGGCTCACACCAAACAGCAAGCTATAAAGGGCCCCAAAAATGACTAGTGTAAAACCATTCAAACAGGAAAACAAACGGTTTAATCTATATAAAAAACGAGAAACAAGAAACACTTAAGAACCACATCAACAAACGAAAACCACTGAACATCAGGTTCATGACTTAGGACAGGTGCAAAAAAATGCAGCAGGTTTAAACGTTTTAATAGGCGCCAACCTTCACCCTACCTGAAACAATAGTGTAACATCACAACATAGAAAGACACACTATAAAATATCAATTGAAATGGCTTAACTCAATCAAAAGACATATTAACAAAAACAAGTCAATGCATACTTAACCAGTCATTAAAAAAAATAAGTCACAGTGACCTAGTTCTGTCTGAAATCTGGTCTGCAATCCAGTAAAATAGTTTACAATATTCAATTATGTAGTTATTGAGATATGAAATTGGACCATTTATTAATAGTAATAGGTTGATTATTGGTGTTTATTTTGTAGCTGTACACAGAACATTAATTGATGCCTGTAGAACTATATTGGTTTGGGTTGTAGATCTACTTATCTTTTATGCTTTTGACAAGGTAAATATCAACAAAGTACCAGTACTGCATTAACCAATGAAGGGAAACAACTCTAATATACAGGACATAGCAAGACAACAAAAATCTTAAACATTAAAGTAACTTGTATCAAAAAGGGGTATTATACATTGAATTTCTACCCTCATGAAACGATTACCTTAGCTTTATTTGGCAAAACCTTTCGGAATTTTTAGGTCATCAGTGCTCTTCAACTTCATACTTGATTTAGCCTTTTAAATTTTTTTATTTGAGCAACACTGATGAGTCTGTTGTAGAGGAAACGCTTGTCTGGCGTAGAAAAATTAAAAGCCTGGTATCTTTGATAAGCTTTGTTTTTTAAATCTACAGGAATCCTGTAATAGGACACAAGATAACAAAGTTCACCATTAAATTTATCAAAAAGGGGAATAGCGTTAATCTACAGGACATAGAAAGACAACACATATCCAAAACATTAAAATCATCAGCCAACTCCAAAACATTAAAATCATCAACCAACTCCAAAACATTAAAATCATCAGCCAACTCCAAAACATTAAAATCATCAGCCAACTCCGAAACAAGAGTCTTGTATGTTTGTTAATGTACTCAGCAGCAATCATGAATGACACAAGACTCATTCAAACTTACTGAGGTTCATTTTGTTGAAGACAGATTTTTACAGTGTTTTGTTAAATTCCTTCAAACCTTTTGTAAACGCAAAGCAATTTAAAGCTTTGCATATTGTGTGGATATTTGTCTATTGTTGAAGGTTGTATATTGACCTCTAGGTGGTTTGTTGTTGTTTGGTTGCAGTCCATCAATGGAAACTCTACATCTCTTTTTATCTACATTTATCTGAATTTGAAATGTGTAAATATTCATCCAGCAAATTAATATAGTAACAAATTGTACATGCATTACTTATTTTATTCTGTTTGCAGGATTTTGGAGAACCTTTTGACAAGACATATGGACTACTTCAAGGTAATGCTACTGGTCTGTAATCTCATGCTGGAGGTCTTTGAGTTCAATCTCAGGTTTGGAAAATTTTGCAGGCTTTAAAGCAGGTATTTGCTGCTTCTCTGTCGAGCACAATATAAAAATTGGAAGACGTGGTATGATTGCCAATGAGACAACTCTCCACCAAAGCCAAAATGACATAGATGCATGTTAGAATAGGAGAAAAGACTGGTTGGGCCAAAGTCAGAATATGTCAGAGTAGGTTATTATGTCATTCTGTTGTGAAAAGCAGGGTATAGTCCTATCATTGACCTGTTGTCCCGAATATGCCTGTAAGATTTGCCACTGGATGTTAAGCAGCCATCAAAGAATCACAGTAATTTTGTTTATCATTGGATTTCTAAATTCTGCATTCAGCAATTTACTATACAAATAAATATTGCGATGTTTTTATTATTGCGAAAAATGCGACAGGGTTATAATCGCAATAATTAAAACTCGCATTTTGAAATTTCTTATATGAATTAAACAGGATTTTTCTCAATATCGCAAAAATTAAAATCGCATTTTAGTCTAAAATGACAAAATCGCAATAATAAATGCACGCAATAATTTCTGAATTTACAGTATACCATTATACAAATATGATCATCTGTTTCTACTATAAACATATGATAATATTAAAATGACTGTTGAAGTTGAGTGTCAGGGGGTCAATTGTTGTAAATCTATCCTTCAAATACATCAATTATATATCAATATGCTGCCAACAATAATGATTATATTGCTCAGCTAATTATTTTTTTTTACTAGAAGTAAAAGATTTCATTGACTCATTTGTAACTTGATCAATTACACTGATTTTATTTTAGTTGATGGATTCCTCTTTCTGCTGATTGGCACTGCTCTATATAATGAACTTGTGGTGGTTCCCTGTATACCTTGTTTGAGGAAACCAGTACCAATACAGGAAGTAGATGTGGAAACTCCTCACCGTGGCAACATACAATATGCTAGTGACTCAGATGATGACATAACAAGACCATTATTACAAGATAAAAAATAAAAGTTAACTTTATGGCATTCATCAAACAAAAAATTATATACAAATTGTATCATGAAAGTTATAACATTGTAAGCTTTGTATATTTTTTTAATAATTTTTGTACAAAAGAAAATTCTCCACCTTGAAAAATCTAAGGGAAAAAGGGTTCTTATATGACAGCATTAAAGAAAGGATCATATAGCATTAGATTGATTGATTGGTGTTTGACGTCACTTTCATTGTGCTATTTTGTTGTGGTCAGTTTTTATGTAGCATTAGAAGTTAAGTCTTAATGGTTGTACTAAGTATCATACACAAAATACTCAAATTTAGAATTTTTTTCTGTAATATATTTATGCAATGTGAACTTTATCTTTATAAAACTGATATTTTTGTAAAATTGATTTGATGATGTTTTTTAAGAGTACATATATATATACCCACATCTCCTTTTATGTTTGCCTTTTGATACTTAGCAAGCTGCTCTGTTAATATTATTAACAATTGGAGCTTGGCATATGGTAGACTCTTAGCTATTGTTGAATACTGTATGTTTGTTCTCAAGATGTTTTTTCTGGTTTAATCACTTTATAATGTTTCTGTCCCATTGATGTTTACCCGACCACTATTTTTTGTTAAGTTACTGCTTACAATGTAAGATGATAAAATGGCTATGATTGATGATTGCTTTATGGTGTTTTAACACCACTTTCAGCACTGTTGGCTATTTCATGGCAGTCAGTTTTTATTGGTGAAGGAAGATGGAGTGCCTGGAGAGAACCACTAACCTTTTACAGGAAAACTGGTGATCCTAGTCAATTAAGATGGTAGTTGAACGGACCTGCCACCTGCAGGGCTGGAACTCACAACCTCAGTGTTGACAGGCTAGTGATAGATTAATAGATCTATTTAGACCACTCAGCTATGTATTAATTAAAAAGTTATAGGAAATTTTCAACATATTTCTGAAGTAATGTTTATAATTGATAAAAATCTCAAATTTATTAAGACTTCCCAAATGCAGGTATTAATGTTAAATTGTATATTCAAGTACTCTGTGGGCAATACTTTCATGTTTTTGTGTTTTTGTGTTGTGTTTGGTTACCACCTTTACATCTCCTTTTGCTCTTAATGAGTTGTGTAAATAAAAAACAGGCATTATGTTCATTGTATATGAAAGGTTGTACACAAGATATTTCATGATTATATTTGAAATATTTTTGTTAATATTTATTTATTCCAATAAAATTTTAAACAAAAACGTTTTGAGTTTTCCACTTTGCACATGGATCTGAAGTATTGTTTAGAGTAAGTTTCAAGTAGTAGTACATAAATTCAAAAAAAAAAAAAAAGAGTGCACGTGCTGGAATATCTTTCCTACTTTATTTTAAAGTCTTTTAAGAAGTTTTACTACAAGTATCACATTAACTTGATCCATGAAAATGAGGTCAATGTCAAGGGAATATCTGTGAAATGGAGAAAACTAGTGACCGATGAAATATGATAAGGTCAATGTCATATAAACCCTGCCAGACAGACATGTACACGGTACAATCTTTCAAAACACCAAATATGGTTAACCTACTGCTTATAGTATCACTTTGGGCCAGGTGAGCTAAATACGAGACTTCACCATAAATGTTGAAATAATTATCTAAAGTATACTGCAAGCCTCATAGATTCAAGGGAAATAATGCACTGTGGTTCTCTCAAGACTACTTGAGATGATGATGAAAGACAATTAATTGTAAAATACCATGATTCATGAATTATTGATCAGTATGCCTATGACAGCATTTCCCCATTATTGTGATTTTGGAGATAATGCTCTGTGATAATTCTTCTAGATACAATACCCTTGGAATTACTTCTTATTAGTAAACTAGGAATTGTGATAAAACACTTCAGGATTCCAAAATTATCGTCTTGAACATGCATGAGATATTTGCCACTTGACATTAAGCAACCAACAATCAAACCAAAATGATTGAGACCAATTAGAGTTATTGTGACAAGAATTACTGTAAATTCAGAATTATTGCGTGCATTTATTATGGTGGCAATCTTGGTTGGTTGGCCGGGTCACGGGACACATTTTTTAAACTAGATACCCCAATGATGATTGTGGCCAAGTTTGGTTTAATTTGGCCAAGTAGTTTCAGAGGAGAAGATTTTTGTAAAAGTTAACGACGACGGACGACGGACGCCAAGTGATGAGAAAAGCTCACTTGGCCCTTTGGGCCAGGTGAGCTAAAAAAAACTGGACTACAGAATAATTGTTACAAGGTAGATCATGCTCGTTGATAATTATTCAAGTTTCCAGAGATGACAATGCTGTGTTATATACTGAAGATTGATTGATTGGTGATTGCTTTACGCCGCATCAGCACATAAAGGCTATATCGCGGCGAATATATACTGAAGACATACTGCATATAAATGAAAAGGGAGACAATTATTATCTACTGGGACTCCAGAATTATTGATAAATATACACTGCAAAGTATTGATGGTCTATTGCAGGCCTTCTCTAAATTTTGTGATTAGAGAACCAATAATCCATGAAATATTTCATGACTTACTGAGTTTTTTTTGTTAATAAATTGCTCCCATGAATTCTTAATTATTTAGATAAAAATCTACAATATCATCACTATTGTGAAAGAAACATTTACCCAACAATAAAATATCAATATTAAAAACTAAAATGTTATCAGCTTTTATTCCCCTGTTACAAACATATGAATGTGTTTAGATGATGTAATCATGTGTGACGCTCTATCAGATCCCACAATTTCTGTCAATTTTTGTACATCATATTGTGAATACATAACAGCACATGATGAATTCTCCTGTCTGTTCTCTATCAACATATTACATAGTTCACTGTAGAAATGTGGAAACAATGGCAACTCATAGAATATAATGTGTTTAATTCCTCGAACCTTAAATCTGAAATAGAGAGAGGATATCAATTAAATGTCAATACAAAATGATAAGACAATAACATTTTTACAATTTACTTTTAACATGTGGTTACTAAAAAAAATAGCAATATATTTATACATATTATATTACAGTAAAGCAACTAATTAGTGGGAACAATTTCTTTTGACTACTAACATGAGTAAATCAAAATTTGATCTATTTATATCAATACATCAAAGTTAGAAAATCACTAAAAAATAAATTGTAGTAAGTCAGTTAGAACGGACTTAACCTCTAAAATGTATCCTTGAATTAAGGTTTGATTTACTGTATTTAAACTAGCCATCATTTGGTCCGAGTACACAGTTATTTCTTAGTGCATTTCTTTTAGACAATAAATGAAAATTAAAAAAATCCCACCTGCACTTTCTCAATAATATTTTTACAGTGTGTTGTACTACTTTTGGGACAAATTATATCAAAATTATAGAAAACTTCATCGGCTCTAACTCAAAATATGGACAATTTTATGTTAAGGGGGTCTTGAAATCTTTTGACAGCTTCCGAAGTGCTAATTTTTAACCTTTTTCAGCTGGACCAAATCACTACTTTACCTTAAAATTCATGACCCAAATTTTTTTACAGTGTAATTTCATCCCCCTACTTGCTATTTGAGGCATAAAACATGGAGAAATAAAATTGGAAGGGGTATAAAAAAAACTGGCAAGTAACACACTGTCCACACTAGGGACTATATGTGTGGACAACGAAAATCAAAGGACGATAACTGTGTACTCGGACCATTTGGCCCCTAATATTGCAATGATAGCTTTAATCATTGTAAACCAGTCTTTTGACCTATACGTACATACTGTGACCTATAGTTGTTAAAATCTATGTCATTTGGTCTCTGGTGGAGAATTGTCTCATTGGCAATTATACCACATCTTCTTATTTTTATATTTATTATCAAAATTTACTGCTTATGCACCAAGCATGTCCATTTTAGGAGGAAGATCAACAATTGATTGTCCTCCAGTAAGAATAATAGGTCCAGGTAGGTAGATATGACTTTACCTTGTGATTTAGCAAATTAAAATTCTGGTTCAGCGTATAGGTGTAGTACAAAGTATGGTATAATCATATCTCATCCTGAATTATGAATAGGCTTTTTATATTTGCTACTAGACGTTAAGCTTTCATACTATGGATATGCTAATATTACTTGAAAATTATTATCAGAAATAATTAATGATATATAACTATTTTGACTTTACCTTCTATAAAAATGAACTCTTTCTGTATACAACATAAAATGAGCATTTCCATGGAAAAACTGGTTCCTAGATCTTGACAGAGTTTTATCTTTAGTATATCTGTAAAATACAAGAACAATTACAGATTTAGAAAATTTAATATTTATTCATATTCATAATACTTGCAAACTATATTTTTTCTAAAAAAACACAAATTTCATCAGTTTCAGCTTTAGAACTCAGCTGTTAACGGGTAAAAATTCAATTATGATGTCAAATTTTCTTGCTTTCACCTCAATTTGCTTTTAAGAAGTCACCCAAAACAAGACACCATGCCTGATGACGTCACATAGAAGACCATAGAACATAAAAGATTTAGTTTGCCTACATATTGTCTGAAAGTTATTAGAGAAGCAGATTACACCAACAAAGCTAGTGCGATAGGATATTTCTCCACTCGCAACAGTTTAACTTTGAATATTGAAAGTCTCTGTATGCCGTTGCTTTTGAAATATGGAGAAATATAGTATCACACTCAATACAGTGTTAGAATCTATGGAACCAAAGGGGAAAATGTCATTATTCATTTCTACTGACCTTAACCAACAATAAGTAATAATAAACCTAGTAATTATGTATTTTCATCAATTTAATTTATTTACAAACTATTCTCCATGATATAACCTAGAAGTTTTTGCTGCTACTTACCATGACTTATAAAATTTACCTTCTTATTAAAGGGTGTGATCACTAGATATGCCTTTACAATTTTACAACAATGTTATGTTTTGCTTACAAAATAAACTTATTTTTAATATATACAAAACTTTACTCTTCATTGACAAACGTATATCTAATCCAATCCCAACACTATATACTTACTCGCTAATATAAACAAAGCTTAAATCTTCTCTGACAAAGTAATTCCTCAATCTAACAAAGTCAAAGTAAGATGGAACATATATTAATGTCTGTGCTAACACTGGGTCTTTGTGTGTTGGTAAAATCTGAAAGCCACAAAACAGTCATATCAGCAAGTAAAACATAACAATTTCTTATGAACTGAAAAGGACTGGGCAAAAATATAAAATAAATAAAAAACCAGTTTCTGTGTTGGAAAATATCTCTTTATCGAAATAATTCATAGCTTTTACAAAATGATTATCCCAACTGTAAATATTGATTGTCTTTTTCAATAATATTTAAAGCAAAACTTCTTTACTCACTTTTTGAATAAAGAAATTAAATCTGTCATCTGCTAACTGACTGTAGCTACTGCAACTCAACTTGTGATAAACCTGAAAAAGAAGATTTATTTTACTAAATTATCAAAAGATTACATACTGTGGATCCATTTATTTTCATGGGCACTAGTTTTTATGGATTGAGGAAAACTTACATTTTCATGGATATTTCATGGTTTTGCCAAAGTCTGCATGAAAGCCTATATAAAATTTGCAATTTTTTGAACACGCAATAAACGAAAATTGGTATCCAACAAAGAACTTCAATTTCTCTACTTCTTTTTTATTGGCTAAATTTTCTATGCTTTCTGAAAACATGCTTTTTTAATTACAGGATGTTAGTTGTGAGAAGGCAAAAAAAAGAATACTTTAATTTTGGCTTGAACCAGTACAATTCATGTCATCTTAATTGATTTATTTTTTGTGTTCAATGCCACTTTCAGCACACTTGTTTGTGTTCAATGCCACTTTCAACACACTTGTGTTCAATGCCACTTTCAACACACTTGTGTTCAATGCCACTTTCAGCACACTTGTTTGTGTTCAATGCCACTTTCAGCACACGTTTGTGTTCAGTGCCACTTTCAGCACACTTGTTTGTGTTCAGTGCCACTTTCAGCACACTTGTTTGTGTTCAGTGCCACTTTCAACACACTTGTTTGTGTTCAGTGCCACTTTCAACACACTTGTTAGTGTTCAATGCCACTTTCAGCACACTTGTTTGTGTTCAATGCCACTTTCAGCACACTTGGCTATATCATGGCAAACAGTTTTTATTGATGGAGGAAGCCTAAGTACCTGGAGATAATCATATCCCTTCAACAGGAAAATTACTTATCTCAGTTAATTAAGATCAGAGTAGAACGCACCTTGCCACAAGTAGGTTCAAACTCAATGTTGACAGGTTAATGATCACAAGATGAACTACTTGTAATATAGACCCCTTTGTTTCTGGTCTGTATGAAGTAATTTTACCTGAGGTAGCTGGACCACTACTTGTAATATAGATCCCTTTGTTTCTGGTCTGTATAAAGTTATTTTACCTGAAGTAGCTGGACCACTACTTATGATATAGATCCCTTTGTTTCTGGTCTGTATAAAGTTATTTTACCTGAGGTAGCTGGACCCCTACTTGTGATATGGATCCCTTTGTTTCTGGTCTGTATAAAGTAATTTTACCTGAGGTAGCTGGACCACTACTTGTGATATGGATCCCTTTGTTTCTGGTCTGTGTAAAGTTATTTTACCATTGTAATCTAAATGGCATGTTAAAGACTAAAATGTGTGAACTCAATTTGTTTATTAAAAAAAAAGCAGAGTTACTGGCTGTAATGATACACCTACCTAATGATAAGATGCATATTGCGTTACAAGGGTGAGGATGTGATACATTGCTTTTGATTGATCCAGAAATAAATGTATGGGGGACCAGAAGATGCTGTTTACTTGACCCTGCCATGCAGAAAATTTCCTAGAGTTGTCTAGGCTATCTTTTTAACTAACTATTACCCATCAAATTTTAATCGAAGTGCCTTCTGTCTGCCCATCAATTACAAAAGGGTCTTTTTTCCATTTTTAACAAAATTCTGTAATTCTGAAATCATTATAGATTCATATATATATTTCACTAATTGGTGGTTGCTAAGCATCGTATGACATTTATTCAATGCATACTTAAAATAAATGGAGAATGTGTCCCCATGGACACAGATGATGCCCCCACTTGCATACAACATTATAAAGGGACATAACTCAAGAACGATAAAAGTGACGCTACCCAAATTTGTACTTGATCTGAGTTTTAAGGTATTAAGTATTGTGTATAGGTTTCATAATGTTTGGTTGAGGCAAACTTAAGTTACAGAACTAAAACTAAACATTTTGCAATTTTTCGATTTATAAAGGGGCATAACTCGATAATGATTAAAGTGACGCTACCAAAATTCAACTTGATCTGTGTTTTGTGGTAAAAAGCATTGTATATAAGTTTCATAACATTTGGTTGAGGCAACTTAAGTTAGAGAACGAAAACTAAATATTTTTGCATTTTTTTCCATTTATAAAGGGGCATAACTCTAGAACAGTTAGGGTGATGCTACCAAAATTCAATCTTGATCTGTGTTTTGTGGTAACAAGCATTGTGTATAAGTTTCATAACATTTGGTTGAGGCAAACTTAAGTTAGAGAATGGAAACTAAAAATTTTGCAATTTTTCCATTTATAAAGGGGCATAACTCTAAAACGGTTTAAGTGACGCCACCAAAATTCAAACTTGATCTGTGTTTTGTGGTAATAAGCATGGTGTATAAGTTTCATAACATTTGGTTGAGGCAAACTTAAGTTAGAGATTGGAAACTAAAAATTTTGTAATTTTTTCATTTATTTGGGGCATAACTCTAGAATGGTTAGAGTGATGCTACCAAAATTCAAACTTGATCTGTATTTCGTGGTAATAAGCATTGTGTATAAGTTTCATAATATTTGGTTAAGGCAAACTTAAGTTAGAGAACGGAAATTAAACATTTTGCAATTTTTCCATTTATAAAGGGGCATAACTCTAGAACGGTTAAAGTGATGCCATAAAAATTCAAACTTAATCTGTGTTTTGTGGTAATTAGCATTGTGTATAAGTTTTATAACATTTGGTTGAGGCAAACTCAAGTTAGAGAACAGAAACCAATTTTGGGACTTACTTATGTACGTACAGACGGACAAGAGTAAAACTTAATGCCCCCTCCTCCACGGCGGGGGCATAAAAATCTATTCTAACATCCCAATTAAAAAGCATGTAAAAATGAAATATAATCTTTAAGTTGATGATGGTTGAGTGAAGATAATCAAAGGATACTGCAGCAATGTTTGTTAAACAATGATAGAAGCTGTGGATCACTAACTGAACTCAGTACAATATTCTGTCTGTAATATTTACTCCTGAAAAAGACAAACAACCAACCAATCAAATGCTTTCTTGTCCTTCTGCCCTATGAGGCAATAATCATTTACACCAATTATATTTAGGGCAGATTCAAGGCTGTTCTTAAAACATACATGGGACCAAGAGAAGGCACTTCATAATAGCAACTATAGGTGGGTGTCAACTACTTTTTTGTACATTGGATATGCAAGATACATTCAAAATGTTGCTTCTATTTTAAAAATGCTTTCCTGGGTACCATGTATGTTTTAATGCAACAGCTCTTACTTGTTGTTTACAATGTATCCATAATAGGACATGCTTCAAATTGGTAACCATTTATCTTACAAAAACGTGTAACCATTCCACATGGCATATGTTTAAGTCAATAATGTAACACAGATTGAACAAAATGAAACCCACTGTAAATATTTACTTTTAAATTATTTCTGCATAACAAAAGGAAACTGGCTACTTTTCCTTTACCTTCCCTAGCATAAATTCTATAAAGCTCTTGTTTAAATTCCTCCAGTTTTAAATTTGGTGTTTAATGTTCTTTCATTTCAACATAGCTGACATGATTTTGTATTCAAAAGAGTTCTTCAATAAGTGGCTGTTTCCTTCATGAAACAGAAGAAATTTTCCCTCAAAAGGATTACCGTATTTTGCGGATTAAAAAGCGCACCCCTAAATAAGGCGCACGGCCGTTTTTGGGGGTGAGGATTGTTTTTTTCCTTACATAAAACGCACCTGCATATAAAGCGCACCCTGAAGAAAACGTACATGCATTCTACTGACCTTAGCGTAATGAATGTTCACTCCTTCTTGTAACTCACTCCGTAACATGTTTCATTTTTATTTTCAGATTGTTGAGAAAGTTGAAAGACATTTTGTATATATTTATTTGTTTCATATTAAAATAAATAAATGTTAATAAAATTATTATAATTTTCTTATTGTTTTAATCATGCCAGATTTATTAGTTGTTTTTTGTCAACAATGGCCATGTGTTGACAGCTTGGGTGTCCATTGAACCTTGTTGTTTTGATTAAAATTAGTTCGGTGTTGATTGCTTATTTATTGTTTGAATTGGAATCAAGGATTTTAATTAATCTTGAAAAGGTATTCATTAAAAGTTACCCAAGCCATAAAACTGCCATTGTTTACCTTGATTATGACCTACTTAATTACCTGTACCCACGTGTGAAAACTGTTCACCCATAAGTCAGGAAAAAAATTATTAAATTAAATCTAAAGAATTTTATTGTTGTTTATAAAATAAAAGTTTAAGTTTTATAAGTAACAAACATTTTTCAATTTAAACTTGGTTGAAAACTGCAACAAAACCATTCAGTTTCTGCAAGTCATTGTCTATTTTTAACTGAAAGTGAGATGGGCCACGGAAAGGGGAATTCAAATAAGACGGCGATATATAAATGTCTTATCATATTGAATTATGAAAATTAATATTCATTTTTTTTATTTCTTACACCAATATGTGGCTACAATATTTCATAAAGATATTTCATTTTGAAACAATAAAACAACAAGCAGTTACTCCTCAATAGTATATCCTGTATGGTACCTCTTTTCAAACACGCTTATCTTTCTTTGTTTATGAAACACTTTAAAGGGTTCATTTCAGCACATGGTTATCACCATCGTCATTAAAAGAGACTTGAAATATTGGAAAGAAACACAATCACTTCCTTTATTATTTCTAAAGAAGATTTTATTTAAAAACACATTACAACAACAAACAATTACATATTTATTGTAAATACACAATTAATATCCTGTATGGTACCTCTTTCAAACACGGTTATCTTTCTTTGTTTATGTAATAAACACATGGTTATCAACTCCGTAAGCCAACAATGAAATAAAGAACAAATGATAAAGTATATATATTTTTATTCATAACAAAATATGCCACATGAACAATTTATCAAGTCACTGCAAGCACTTGACAATCTGACGGTCTCCATAAAAAAAAATACAGATATATATTTTTTTTCACGCTTGCCCTGAAACTGAAAAAAATACATACATAAAGCGCACCTGAGTATAACACGCAGGGACAATGACAGAGAAAAAAACCTGCGGCTTATTTAACGAATTTAACGGTATACGTTTTGAAACTTACCAACCATTTAATGTCCACATCCTAACTCTTGAGAAATCTGTTCCATGAGATTCTTTTGGTTGTAAGTGAAAATGTTTCATCAAATGCTGAAAAATAACAAATTACTGTAAAGTTAAAATTTTTGCAGTCATTTATTATTGTGATTGTTAAAAAATTTGACTAAAAGAGTGATATTAGTTATTGCTCTTTCAGGAAATGCTGCATACAAAATAATGCTAGCAAAATATAAAATGCATTTTTTTTCTCTGTGAATCCAATCTCTTTGCAATTTTTGCAATATCAGAAATATCGCAAACACTTCTGAATTTACAGTGTATACCACACCAATTAAAGATTTGCCTGGTCAAAATATTTTCCCCTACAGCAGAGTTTTGTTTTTTAATGCATCTAGAATTTATCAAAACAGACAATTAATCAAATCTTACAATAATATGATCCCAGTTCTGCATCATTAAAATGTCTGCTTGGTCAAATATCAACATCTCTATTGAACTCAGAAAATCATAGTCTCTCTCCTTGTCTCTGAAAAGAAAATAAGTCATAATCATGGTTTATTTTAACTTGTGCACTAATATATTGTATAATATAGTAGTCGTATATATTTTCTACTTAAACTGAAGTGCAGTTTTGTTCCCATAAAGAAATTGTGCAGAGTCATTTAGAAGTAATTAATAGAAGAAAACAATTGGGAGAAAATGTTTCCATGGCAGTATTTATGACAATATTTATTCAAATAAAAACAAAATTTAAAAGTTTATGTATAAAATATATCCGATAGAAGAGACAAAATAAAGAGGTGGGAGATACCAGAGTGATAATCAAAATCATAAGTCTGAGAAAGCCTGAAAAAAATCGGCAAAAACAAAATAAAGATAAAAGACAATAAAGTAAGAGAACGGAAACGAAAAATTCAGCAATTTTTATGTTTATAAAGGGACATAACTCAAGAATGGTATAAGTGTTGCAACCAAATTTCGTACTTAATCTGTATTATGTAGTAATAAGCATTGTGTATAAGTTTCATAACATTTGGTTGAGGCAAACTAAAGTTAGAAAACAGAAACAAAAAATTTGTACTTGATCTTAGTTTTGTGGTTATGAATATTGTGTATAGGTTTCATAATGTTTGGTTGGGGCAAACTTAAGTTACAGAATGGAAACTAAAAATTTTGCAATCTTTCGATTTATAAAGGGGCATAACTCAATAATGATTAAAGTGACACTACCCAAATTCAACCTGATGTGTGTTTTATCAGTGGAAGTCAAAATTAAACATTGCATTGTATAAAGCATTGATTGTAGTTGATTCAACTATAATCATGGACAAAGGAAGATAACTCCAATTTTAAAAATTACTTGATATTTAGAAGAAAATTAAAATTTTACAATTTTTCCATTTCTAAAGGGGCATCACTCTAGAATGGAAAAAGTGACACCACCAAAATTCAAACTTGATCTGTGTTTTGTGGTAATAAGCATTGTGTATAAGTTTCATAACATTTGGTTGAGGCAAACTAAAGTTAGAGAACGGAAACCAATTTTGGGACGTACGTACGTACGTACAGACGGACAAGGGTAAAACTTAATGCCCCCTCCGCTACGGCGGGGCATAAAAAAGTTTACAAAGCACTATATAAACTTAACATGATTATATAGGGGTAAACATTTCAGAATCAGTCTGTTGATTTTCATAAACTTAACTGATACAAAAAAAGAAATTTTTGGAATGGAATTTTTCTGATAAATTTTCACAATAAATGGTCCTTACCCTTCAGATCCAATAATAGTCCTTAGACCCAATGGTGATGCTAATATTATATCAGAAGCATAGAAATTGGTGTATAATTTTAATGTCTTTTTAGCCACACCCAATCCAATCCGAAAATGATCATCAGTATTTCCTGTAAAGATTGACTCGTAGTCCTCTGGAAAAATATTTATAAAACCACATGAAATAAACTAGATCAATACAGCAGTCCTAGTCCCTCAGCCTAGTTCAAATGATTGTTGTCTACTCAAAGTTCAGTGGCAAATATTACTTGCATTATCAGGATGAAATAAATATTACATAAATAAAATAGGCAGGGTGTCAAAATAACTTGACCAAGAGGAACCGTGATGAACTATGGCATTGGTAGCATTTTAAGTAAGGTCAAAAATGAACCCCTTAAGATTTTTTTCTTCCTCTGAATCTTAAATGTTCATAGATACGTGCATTCTTTCAATATAGGACAACCAATTCAATGTCACTAATTTAAATGGACTTTCTTCTGTAAAGGAAATGTGGTCATATAATAAGAGTGTACTTTAGTGAAAACACCAAGACATTCTTACAGTTATTTTCCCTCTTAATAGAAATGAATTCTATTTAAGAGGTTCTTTAGAAAGCTTTTTTGCAAATTAACTTAATTCATAAAGTAAATGAAAACACACATTATAATAAAATTCTGCATAACTTAATTTGTCTATTTTAACAAATTCCTTGTTTCTTTTTTCATATTACTATTCAATTGATATTTCCTACTTTTATATTTGATTAAATATTTATCTAAATGCTTCATCTTTCATATTCAGTATACATTTCTAAGGTTTAACTTTTTAACAAAATGCTTTTCTTGTCCCGCCATTTAATATTTTAAACATACCAGGTTTAACTCCTCTTCTCTGGTCTGTATTATCCAATTTATATTCTGTGTAAAATCTCTTTTTGTTACTCACCATGCTCTAAAACAAAACAATCTAAGTTTTACAACATTCTTAATATTCATTATAGAGAACATCCAAGTTTCAGACATCGTTAGGCTCGTTTCCTTCTCAATTAAGTAAATAAATCTCATACAAAAATTATTTGATATAAAATAATTCATGCATATTGGGTCAAAATGACATGCTATATTTCAGGGCTATTCCATTTAAAAAAGGTGGGATGGTAGGAAGGAAAGTTTTATTTCTGGACATGGGCTGTGGGCCTTTTATGGTATTCTATCCATTTGATGTGAGCAAAATAAAAGAAAGAAAATATTTTGGTTGTGTTGGATTTTTGGAGTCCTCTAGTACCCTCTCACATCAATTTTAATGGAATAGCCCACAGCACACTTTTTATTATGTTGTCAATGGTATACTATCAACACTTCAATGAAACTTTAATGAAACTAACCTTTTCGTCAGATTTCAGTAGACTAATCATAATATCAACAATACGTAAGGCTGCTTCCCTGAATGGTATTACTATCAACACTTTAGGTCGGGCTAGTCCCTGATCTCTGTAATCCCTGAAATAAGCATATACCAAAGCAATTAGTAACTCACAAAACACATACAAAAAAAAACTAAAAATTTGCTGACTGAAGATTTAAGCAATAAATATTAAAAAAAAAAATCATCTATAAAAGCTAATCTTTCATTACATTAAATAAATGTCTGGTTTCAGATCTAAAGACTATGGGTACTTTCTTTGTTCTTACACCACCATGAAAATGATCTAATCTCATTGGCAGAATATCCAATGTTCACAATGTTGTTATCCAATCAGAGTGTTTGGGTATTCTATATTTAAACAAATTTTTCAAACTTAAAACAATGAACAGGGTGAGCAAAAGGCTTACTTGGTTCAATCTAAGATCGACATTTATGTCTTTATTAAAGTTGAGATAAAACAAATTTAACTGAAAATAAACAAGTAGTAGTAAAGTATCCTTGACAACACAATAGCAGTTGTTATAATAAGAAGATACCAAATAATTGAAAAGCCCTTTGAATTTTTGTTTTGGAAAAAAAAATCAAAATTTGTATTCTATATGAATATTATTTGAAAGACCTTATATTTTAAAATTCATGCAATCATATCATTATTTAAGCCCAAAAAAAAGCAAAATTTTTACACATCCTCTGCCCCAGACAAGCTTAGTTCAATGAAATAAATATAAAAGTAACATGTCTAGATAGCCTTTTCCTGACATAAGGATTAACCTTGGTCCAAGCTAGGACAACGGTTTGACCTTGGTTATGGCTTAATTTATATCACTTTGCTGGTCAATATCTCCACTGACCCCCACCTACTTGACAACTTTTTTTGGTAGCATTTTGATTCTTAATTTATAGCACTATTGTGAACTCAATATTATCAATTGAAAATATCAGGGTACATGACAAAATGGTTCTAAGGTGAAAACCTACTGCATAAATTACTTGTCACATATTTGATCAATTGAAATTTATATGGTAAAATACAGGAATGTCCAACAGAGAAAATAAAGTTGATAAGTACAAATCCTTACTTACTTGTCTTCATTGCCTGGAATTTTCATCTTGGTATTGTGTGAAATGACACGCTTTCTGTTTCTATAAACAAAAAAAAATATAAAGCTACATATCAAAAAAAAAAGTTCTTTTCAAACATAAGCAAGATGATGTGAGATCAAATATACTTTTTATCTTTGGAACTTAAATAACATATTGTATTAATTAATTGATGCTTGCTTTGTGTCCAGTGGCAACTATTTCATGCATGTTCAGGACGAAAACATACAATTAATCAAAAAGGTAGGTCCTGCAAAGGGGGTTGACCATGATGATCGGCGAGATTTTTTGAATGCCACCTTAAAATGAGGGTATATTGGATAGGGACAGAAATTTAGCCTTGCAACTGGCATTATTTTCATACCCCAGTAAGCCCTTGGGGTATAACATATTTTAAATCCACCTGTCTTTTGTTGAACTGTTATATTGACCTTAAGATGCCCTTTTGATCATTTGTGTCATTTAATTGGTGTCTCCTTGATTTATATACCCCACATATCTTTGTATTTATTGATTTGTTGTTTAACTTGGTACTTAATTAAAGATACTTACTTCAGTACATGATTCAATGCATGTAAACAATAAACCAGTCTGAGATGCTCTCCTGTTTCCTGTGTTCTACATGGGTAATACAAGTCCTAAAAAAGATGATTACATATTTAATTTTTCATTCCTCTTTCAATAGTTTTTTATCTATTTTGAATCATAATTCACATGGAAGAATCGTTAAAATGTTTCAACTTACATACATAATGTCTATACTTTTAACTATGTTCACAGTAAATTGTATCATTTAAATGTTGGAATTCAACAAATACTGTAAATTCAGAAATTATTGCGTGCATTTATTATTGCGATTTTTAAAGAATGGACAAAAATGTGAGATTTATTATTGCAATTTCAGGAAAAATCTGCATACAGATTTTTGTATCAGATATCAGAATGCAGAGTTCTTATTATTGCGATGATCACCAAGTCGCATTATTCGCATTAATAAAAACCTCGCAATAATTTCTGAATTTACAGTAACTTGTCACAGTATAAAATATCTTATCAAAAACTTAATCCATGAAGGCTAAGATCCTTTTTAACAACTTTTTAAGTTACCTGGGAACCACCTAGGATGGCAGTAGTTGAGCATGAATTAATTCTTGAGTTCAGTCAGTTTTTAATAGGGTTTTGTGGTCATTGACCTTTAATTTTCTGTGTAACGCTTTGCAAAACATTGATCTTTTTGTCATCTTTTTCTTTCTTTTTGTCATGGTAATGTCTGTTCTCTCCAAATTTGAATAGTACTTTTTTTACCTCTTCTTATATTTTTAGATTTCTTACCTGATATTGGTTAAGAATTTTAAATACCATTAGCTGTAGTGGGCTTAAATCTCCTGAAAATTAAACAGTCAAGGGTATAACTCTATAGGATTATTAGAGAAAATATCATATATGTGTTATTACAGATACTTTCATGAGTTGTCTACTCTTTATTCCTTAAATTTTCTTAATCTGTAGTAACATATGTTTGTTATTTGTTAAATAAATAATAAATATTTTAGTTTTTAGTGGGCACTTAGTGATTTCAAGAAAGATGAAAATGTGATTTTCAATAAAGTTTAAATAGAAACTATGTGCCACAAATGCTGTAATGTATGCCACCTGTTTAACATTTGAAAGCAGGTGAGAATTGTTTGTAAAGAACCCTTCCATACATCATACCTGCCAAGTTTGATTAAAGTTGGTCAAGTGTTTTAGATATGAAGATGAAAATATAAAAAGTTTACTAATGACAGCAGTTGCCAAGTGAAACACAACAAAACCATATTTTTTAGTAAAAGAAATGGTCCTCAGAAACCCATGTTGTCCTACCCGAGTTTATTCTGATTCCTAATCTTTGCTTAAATGTCATTATGTACCTTTGTCTGAACAGTGTTTAATGTTAGTTGTGTTGACCTCATTGCATAAACTTTGTTTTACCTAAAAAAAAAAAAAGAAAATCAGAACATATCTATATTTTTATAATTAATATAATCTAAAAAAACAAAGTTAAAACAAGAATGTGTTCATAGTACACGGATGCCCCACTCACACTATCATTTTCTATTTTCAGTGGACCGTGAAATTGAGGTCAAAACTCTAATTTGGCATTAAAATTAGAAAGATCATATCATATGGAACATGGGTACTAAGTTTCAAGTTGATTGAACTTCAACTTCATCAAAAACTAACTTGACCAAAAACTTTAACCTGAAGATATACTATCGTATATGGGGCATAAAAATGTTAAGACATGCTTTGCCTGTAAATAATCCAGTGACTTCAAAATGGATGATTAATAACAAAATGAAGTGAAAAATTTAAAACACATATGATTCCACAACAACAGTTAATAGAATAAGACCTATTCTGAATTCATAAATTTTTAAGACAACTTAAAAGCCATTGGGAGAAATTTCTAATTGGAATGACACAGTGGTATTATCTTTTTCAGATTCATAGATTTACAGGGACAACTCATATTTGTTCATCAGAAATTTAGAATTTCTGACACATACCACATTCGTGTCACCATCTTCTTGACGAGTACAATATAAGATGCTTAATTGTAAAATATGCATCAATTTCTTGTAAAATTACATGAGTAAAAGGATTATCTTTCATATCTTAAGACGTTGATTTTCTGGCATTTGTTAGTTAGAAGATGAATTGTTTTGTAATTTTGATGTCATTCATAATTAATAGTTCATTTGATAGCTTCTGGTTTCTAAAAATGAAATTGCACAATTAATTACTGAGGATTTGCAGTTTTCCAGTAAATCATTAAAATCATTGCAGTTTTAAAACTATGGATACCACAAATTATTCTTTTTTAACAAAAAACAGGTACCAAATTTCATGCAGCAAAACCATTAATACAGGTTTGTTCATGTCATGATACATTGTACTCAAATAAATTTGACTATTTAAAGAAAATTGTCTTGATTTTTATCTTGAAAGTTCAAAGTCCTAAACAAATGACAGAAATCAAATGTGTGGACCTTTGGTGTCACCCAAGTCATTTCAGCAAACTAACAATTAAAATAGCAAAACATTCTCATTTTTTTTCAGCCATAGCAACTGTAGAAAAAAATTATAATTAAGGAAATATAAGTATATGTTCTTAATAAAAACTTACATGCATTTTCTTTAGGTCAGTAGAGTTGTCTGGTTTCTGTGGTTGTCCTTTAATGGTTCTGACTGTATATTTACCTAGGTGTGCAATCTGTAAACAAATACCATAATGGAATAAGTTTTTTTCATCACTTAAGGTTCATCATAACAAATGGACAAAAATGGCCGTATTTACACCCCAAAAACTACTCTGAGTACAGACTTACCTGTCCAGTTGGAAAAGTTTTAAGGCCTGGCATCCACTAGATATATAAAAGGTAGATGCATTTTGTGTTTCAGAAAGATATAATCTTTTTTGGATTTTGATGGGCATTTTTTTTCCTTTCTGCAGAAGGTGTAAAAATAAACAAACACCTGAATTGCTTTGATACTGTCCACTCATTTAAACCCTTTAACTCACCTATAGTTGTGTAGATATCTATTGTCTGTCTATCGTCTATGTCAATCAAGGACAATCAATACTTTTTACCTGAGAGGGAGCATCTCAAAGTTGTATCCCAACTTAGTTTATTTTTACACATTCCACAGGAATGAAAAAAAATGCCCATCAAAATCCAAAAAAGATTTTATCTTTCTGAAACTCAAAATTTATTTAACTTTTATATATCTAGTGGATGCCAGGCATCAAAACTTTTCCAACTGCACAGGTTAGTCTGTACTCAGAGTAGTTTTTGAGGTGGAAATACAGCCATTTTTGTCCATTTGTTATGATGAACCTTAACAGTTTTTGCTGACATACCAAGTCAAAATAAAACATTTTGCCAATCTGAGACAGAAAGCATGTTGAAAATATTCTATACAATAGAGCTATTTCATCAAAATGAAAGGGAATGAAAGGACTTCCAAATTCCCAGTACAACTAACATACTTTCTTTAAGTAGTTTTGCAAACATCAAATGAATTTACAACCATAAATGACCAACAACCAATGTCCATTTTAATGGAACAGCCATCTGTTCTTTATTTGTTTAGCTTTTACAGATACATATGTGAATACCAAGCATTTAAACACATTCTTTTTTCACCTCTTCTTTCAATAAAAAAGAAAAACATATCTAATTTTGTAATATGTTGTCATTATAAGTTTTTTAACATGGTTCAAAATGGGTTTTCCAAAAACTACGAGAAGCAAAGAAAGGGAAATAATCAGACATATTAATATATATGATAGCAATTTATAGCCATTTTATTTTCATTTCTGATATTGTTCATTGTGATTGGCCCAACTTACTTTCATTTCTGATATTGTTCAATGTGATTGGCCCAACTCACTTTCATTTCTGATATTGTTCAATGTGATTGGCCCAACTTACTTTCATTTCTGATTTTGTCCACTGTGATTGGCCCAACTTGGTCACATCCTCTTCAGATATCTCCTTTTCAAAATGCTCCAGAAATGGATCTGTAAATAATCTAAATATCAATATGAAAGTCAAATAAAAACAAACGAATGTCACAAATGTCAATATTCATTTCACTGAAATATGTAGTTGTAGTTCCCCCCCAAAAAAGTTTTATCTAAGCTAGTTTTTGTTGTAAAACTTAAAAATGAAGGAAATACATTGTTCCACGTATCTGTTTTCCTATTCTGTATTTGGGTTGCTGTCTCACTTACCTTTGCACCCCCCCAATTTTTTTTTCTATAACGCAATCTTTTAACAAACAAGTTTGCTAAATACACTTTACGATTGTAAAACTCAATATTATATGGTCCATTACTTTTTCAGAGATCAAAATTTATAAATATTTCAAATTAACTTGTACTGAATACTACTGCAACTTTACTGTCATAAAATCCACTAAAATTACTCATAATTTACATTCAACAATATACTTTTATATTTTGGAAGAAACGATTTATTGTCTATTTGCAAAATATACTGTGCAAGTTTCATTAAAACAAATGAATGAATGAACAGACAAAATCGTCACTATATGTCCTAATTCAATAAAGCTGATTTACAAACCTAAATTTTTTGCATCTAAATCGTCATCATCTTGTTCTGTCTCTGATTCATCTATTTCTTCCTCGCTATCATCTAACTCTAACTTGTCAGATGTCTCAGAGTTGTCTGATTCATTCTCCGACACGGCATGTTCAGAATCATCTAATTTGTTTGGTGTCTTTCTGTTCTTCTTACCATCCTCTTCATCAATATTGTCATTGCTGCCTTCAATGCTATCCTCATCTTCACTATTATTATCTACATCATCATTGCTGTCTTCCAAGTCATCACTATCACTTTCATTCTCACTTTTATCACTATCTGTAATAAGATATACAATATACAAATGCTAACAAAAATCAATCAATGGTGAAACATTCCTATGTAAAAACGGAGATAACTCTTGCAAGCAGAAAACCATATGTCACCCTTAGAAAATATTAAAGAACATTTGTGAGCACGCTCACATACCACACGGCCCTCCATTGTCACTGGGCAAACAAAGACTCATAATTTCTACATAAGTCAATTGATAAAATTTTTTTGTGAATATGCACATCTACATATTATGTCCTTAATATCTATAAAGTTTCATGAAATTCTGTTGTGTGGTTTTAGAGAAGATGCAATGACATACTGTTCCAGTAGTTTATTAAGGCCAAAATTCTAAGTTCGAAGGGCACAACTCCTAGAAAAATAAAATGTTCCGCTGGGCGCAGCTTGATACGACCGCAGAGGTCGAACCCTGAACAGTTGGGGCAAGTATGGACACAACATTCAAGCTTGATACAGCACTGAATTTGGATTGTGATTAAATATTTGACACAGCATAGGTTTCTGACACAGAATGAATGTGGTCTAAGAACTTAAAAATTTTTATTTTACCTTTTCAAACCATATCATTATTATTTGCTTTTATATATAAATCACAAAAAACCAATTTAAAATGGAAAATTTTAAAGAAAAAAAATCCCCCCCCAACAATTTTTTGAACACCCTTATGATTCATCACCCCCAAACTCAATCCCAGCCTTCCCTTTGTGGTATAGTACCTTGCAGTACAATTTCAGAGAGATCCATACACTTGAACACAAGTTATTGTCCGGAAACTAGAAAAATGCTTGTTTTTTGGCCCCTTTTTGACCCCAAATTCCTAAACATTTAGGTCAATTACCCCCAAACTCAAACCCAGCTTTCCTTTTGTGATATGGAACCTTGCAGTACAGTTTCAGAAAGATCCATCGACTTACACAAAAGTTATTGTCTGGAAACTAGAAAAATGCTTATTTTTGGCCCCTTATTCCTAAACGTTTAGATCAATTACCCCCAAACTCAATTCCAGCTTTCCCTTTGTGATATGGAACCTTGCAGTACAATTTCAGAGAGATCCATACACTTGAACACAAATTATTGTCTGGAAACTAGAAAAATGCTTATTTTTGGCCCCTTTTTGGTCCCTTATTCTTAAACATTTAGGGCAATTACCCCCAAACTCAATTCCAGCTTTCCCTTTGTGATATGGAACCTTGTAGTACAATTTCAGAAAGATCCATAGACTTACACACAAGTTATTGTCATGAAACTAGAAAAATGCTCGTTTTTTTCCCCTTTTTTAGCCCCTAATTCCTAAAATTTTGAGGCAATTACCCCCAAAATCAATCCAAGCATTCCTTTTGTGATATGGAACCTTGTGGTACAATTTCAGAGAGATCCATACACTAACACACAAGTTATGTCTGGAAGTTACAAAAATGCTTATTTTTGGCCCCTTTTTGGCCCCTAATTCCTTAACTGTTAGTACCATAACCCTCAAAATCAATCCCAACCTTCCTTTTGTGATATTGAACCTTATGGTTAAATTTCATAGAGATCCATTCACTTAAACTAAAGTTAGAGTGCCAAAACCAATGTGTCTTCGGACGACGAAGACGACGACAATGCCAACGTCATACCAATATACGACCACAAATTTTTTTTGCGGTCGTATAAGAAATGAACCATAATTTTCTGTCGATATGCATATCTACATAGTATGTCCTTATTATCTACAAAGTTTCATGAAATTATGTTGTGTGATTTCAGAGGAGTTGTGATGACAAGAACAGGACTGACAGACAGAGGGATGGGTCAAAAACATTATACCCCATGCAACAAGTATAATAAGGGATGGTTCATAATTTTCCACATTAATGTAGATTTAATATTATTATTTGTGGGATACCAATTTTTTTATGGATTTCATGTGTACAGACCAACCACAATTTTAAAATTTCAACGAATTACAAATTTTCTACAGGCCTGTATCCAAACTTTGGCAAAACAAAGAAATCAAAAATCCACGAAAATGCAAGTTTTCCACAATCCACAAAACTTGGAAACGAAAATAAATAAAATCCACAGTAGTACTTTGCAGTTTTTTTTTTAAATATTCCATGTAAAGTTGGAGATAACTTTTTAGGTTTGAGGTTACCTTTGTTGTAATGATTGTTGTTTGCTTAACTTCCAGTGGCAAATATTTCATGTATATACAGGAAGAGAAAACAATCAATACAATAGGAAGGTTATGAAAGGTGTGACAACTAGGATTAAGGGCTTGAAATTTTGACTGCTACTAGAGAATAAGAGTATGTTTGATAGGGGTAGAAATTTTGCCTTGCAACAGGCTACCTATTGACCTACATGTTTTACTGCCAGGAGAAATGTATATACCAGTCAACCCTTGTGGTACCTTTGTTTCATAAATTAAGTACATGAATACCCAATTCAATTGAAATACAGATCCTGTTTCCTCGTTTTGCTTACAAGGATGTAACAAAGTTCCATTCTACTTTCTGTTCTTAAAGACCTTTCGGGATCCTCCAATTTCATCATAAGGCCAAAAAAAATAATACATGTGTTTCCGCTAACCCTACCTACCCTAATTTTTAGTGCCTACCCTAACACTTTTTATGCCATTTTGGAACAAGCACTGTTTAAGTCAGACTGATTCCCTATAAAATAATATTGCCTTCCTACCTACCCTATTTTTTTTCAGCACGTTAGCGGAAAAACACATGTATTACTTTTTTTGGCCTAATGATACACACCATAAAAATTTTGAGGAAGCAATTTGATTGGCTGAAATAAAAATTTCCAGAATAGAAAATGGTTTTCAAAGCATGAGAACAGGATCTGTATTCTAATCAGATTGATGAATACCTGAATGCTGTTTTAAAGATGACACTAATTCTTGGTATGGGTTAACTTCCTCTTCTGAAGAACTATCATCTGACTGAAAGAAAGTAACAATAACATTAATATAAAGGTTATATAAATCAATGCCAGAATGTTATAATCTCATTTGGGATTTAATCACCCTAATAGGATATAAAATAAGTGCTATAACATTTTATTTTTTATTTTAGCAGGAAAATTCTAGAACCAACTTTTGATTTATAGCAATTTTTTTTAGAAACTTATTATATGATAAATTGATAGCCACCTTCTTCCAATCAGGTGTCCAGAAAAGTTGCTAACCAAAGGTCGTTGGCTTTTCTGTATTCTTTTGCACTTAGTACATGTACATGCATGTTGTAATATTTCCTCTAAAATCCAAAATAATTTTTTTTTGTACAATAAATTTATATCACACTTGGATGACTGTTTAATACCTGTTATGTATGATATATGAGATAGGAAGTACTTTTTGCTTTAAAATACATGTAACAGGAATGTATAATTGCTTTTACTATTGCATAGCATTTTCATAAAATTGAAGAAAAAGGAAGAAACAAACCTGACTGGGATAGTCTTCTGTCTCTATAACCGATCTGAAAACAAAATAGAAATTAAAGTTAATGACCCCTTCTGATGGCCTGTTTGTTAGGAAATTTTCAATTTGCAAAAATATTCAATACCAGAGACTGGCCATTTTGTTAATATACAAAAGGGAAACTTCGTTCATTGCATTCAATACAAAATGAGGATTTTTGTGGCAAATCAAGCCAAGATTTTTACATCAAATCCATCATTTTAAACATTGATTACTCACTTGTTTGTCCATGTTGTGCTAGCATTTATTATTAAAAAAAGTCCTAAATACATGTAACCTTTACAATCCAAAAATCCTTGTGCTGAGTCACTAAAGTTGACCACACCCTAGAAGGTGTGCTTGAATAGGTCGATATTTGTTCTTGTTTTAACTAATATCTTAATTTAAAAGTTTGTTTTAGGGAAATCATTGCTAGAACTGCATGCAGTAATCCCTCATCTATTAAGTACTCAAATGTCAAATATGAGAATACAAGAGGAAAGGCTGTGGATTTTCTATAAAATTTCCATATCAGCATCTGTTTAGCATTGAGCAGGTTGGGAACAACCCCTCAAATGAGAAATAACCCCTAAAGGCAATGACCTTCCCTTTTAAAAGGTGTAAATTTCAATTGATAAAAATCATTCTTTGTTTAAAATCACTTCTAAGTACTAAATAAGAGGACCCCTCTTTTATAATTGTTGTTCCAAATATAATGAATTTTACCCCTTTTAACTTAAAAAGGCTAAGTTTTTCTTATATCTTTTCTACAACAGCAAAAATAACCCCTTGTCTGAGGGACAGTCCCTCATTAGGGGGGGGGTTGTTCCAAACCTGTTGAAACAACAAAATGGTACATGTACATTAGGAATGTATCTGTAATACGCAGGGTTTGAAATTAGCAGGGGCCCACTTGCCAATGGCCCCAAAATTTGGTGTGGGCTACTTAAATTTCTGCCTTTCTTGTATAGGACTATATATGTGGGCTACAAAATTTAAGCTGTGGGCTACCATTGCCAAAGTCTTAAGTTCAATCCCTGCGGCTTAATATTATTTCAAAGCAGATATTTTTTAAACGTCTTAATGATCCAGGAATATTACATGAAAAAATGTAAAAGCGAGCAGATTAAGCAGCCAACAATAATTTGTCCAGCAATAATAAGTTTGACAATATAAACTGATATTAACCCATACATTTTTAATATGTTTTTCAGAAAGCATGTTAAAGGGGCATTAGCTGTCAAATTTATGTTCATCGAATTTGACTCAAATTCTCATATTTGATTTTATAACATACTAAAACGTATATATCCAAATAATAAAAAGTTTAAAAGTCTAAAATAAACAATTTAAGATGCATATATATATGTATCAGCATTACTGTGTATTTCAGTGTAGATGCCATCTAATTAACCATCGAGGTGACCTCTGAAGATCGCAGACGGTCATGTAACTTGATATAAACATAAATATCGATATAAATAGGAAACGCCCAAAATCATGTTCACTCCCATTCACATTCGTACTCTTTCACATTTGCACCCTTTTTAAGGTTATTTGTTGAATAATTCTTTAATCCTGGTTTTGCTTCAAAATAAAGATAAGATTTTTTTGTTTTAAAATAAAGTAACATTCTTAAAACATAAACGGTATTCTTTTGGAGTTTTGAGAATTATTTTGACGAAAAGGAAAAATAAAAATTGACATGATGATTAAAGGCCAAGTTCACTCATCTAAGACTTGTAAAAAAAAGGAGGAAGATATGAAACTCATCATAAAAGACACAATGACATTGAAGCTTGAAGCATTGACATCAACATCAACAGCTCACACAATCATTCAAATCATGCACAAATAAAAACGAGCACTGAAATATTTAGTTACTACATGTAACATGTACACCAAAGCTAGTTATAAAACCATTCAGATTTTAAAACTCGTAACAATAATACCAAATTAATTAGCTCTGTAAATATCAATTATATATATATTATATATATATCCCGCAATGGTGGTAAGTCGTGCACTTAAGGCCATGTTTTATTTTATTTTTCTGTAGACTTAGCTTTGTTTTTTTATTACTGTGTATTGTTAAGCTTGGTTACTCATAATTGTTTCTCGGTCACTGAATGTACGATGTTGTTCAATACTGCAGCAGCTGACCTGGTTTGTTTACATTCAAATTCTAATGGCTTCAAAACCACGTGACACATTGAATCGTTATATCCAATCAAATTGCTCTACTGTCAATTAGGTGATTTTTTAGTACAAGGCAATTATATTATGTGTTTGTATGATATTGCTTTGAAATAGTTTGCAATAAATTTGGGGTTTATTCAATAGGAAACCTCATTATTAGCCATAAAATTTGATATCAATGGAATTTTATATGAATATTTACTTATGGTCAGAATATCGATCTCTTTATATTGAACCATTTTTTTTTTTAATGAAAAATATATGTATATTGTTTTTTATTAACCTACTCTATATTCCTGAACAAAAATATGGCATGATTATCGTTTGTTTCCCCAAGGTTTTTCTTTCAATTTGTATGGGGTTTTTTTCGCGGGAAAATCGCGTAAGACGTAAGGTGCTTAACATTTTGAAATTCTTAAAAATACGATTTGCTTGGCCTGTTTGGTCTGCCATTAAGATTGATGACGCTAAATGGAATGTAAACAAAGTAATGGAGGCCGGAAGAGGGGATTTCTGAAGTTCTGGAATGTTTATAGGCATTCGGAAGTCATGTTTGAAACGGCCATTAGAAAATTGGCATTTTTGTACAATACTTTAGAATATCAATGAAAACATATCTTTAGAAATGTTTGTTTATTTATAAGAGTAGAAAAATGTATTCTGCACTAATTTTGTACGCTGGTATTAGCGTAGTGACGTCAATGTGGAGTTTTCCCGTGTGATAAGTACAATAACAAAATCCGAACGAACCAACAATATGACCGTTTATAAGGGGACGAAGTCCCCTATTACAGTAGAAAAATCAATAAAAAAAAAAATAAAAAAAATCGGGAAAATTTCCCGAAATTTTCATTCTACTAATGAACTCAAAATCGTTAACTTTTTTATTTTCAGACTTTTTTATTTTCCCGCATTTGCGCAGAAATCTACTTCCTTTTTCTGGTCTCGTTTGCATGAGTCTTTGAGTAAAACATATATTTATCAGTCTAGTAAAATATAGGAAGGAACGCAATACCAATTCCATTTTTAATAAATCCTTGAATGGCTTGATATGAAAAAATGATACCTGATAGCGTTTCTTTGTTTACATTGAATATGACGTCATAACATAAATAACGTCACAACTAAAATTCCGAACAACAGAACCGAAATCGGAAACGTAAGGGTATTTCCGTTTCTTTTTTGAACAGATTTTGAAGTTAAAATATGTTTGAATTAAAAAAAAATAATTCATACAGACTTCGTCCCCTTTCACAGATAACGCCTGCCTCATATTAGACTACGGTAGGATACACATCTATGATCTTGAAAAATCTATTAATTCAAACTGTATCTGAATGAAAATTGAGTGCTAACGAACCCAGGGGGCGAACGTGTTATGGGAGCGAACAGACCCGATACCGATTCATAATAAAAATAAATTCATTTTTATTTATTCTCCCCGATTGCAAGAAACAATTCAATACTTTTCGGGTTTTTCTGTTGAAAGCGGGTTGATGCTTTTGGCGTATTTGCCTTTTTTCACGCCATTTGTTCCACTTCGTTGTGATTTTCGTTTTCTTTTTCCGAAACCATGCTTTTTCGGAGCCATCTTGTACGTTGACCCGAACCGATTGTTGAAAGACGCCTCCTGATTAGCTGGATGCAAACAAATCAAATTATTTGTATCTTGATAAAGAATGCATATGAATAAAGCACGGATTTTATTTTGAAATATAATAAATTCGCATTACAAGCTATTTATTTACCTGGTCAATTCAAATATGTAAACGTATTACTTTTAGAGATAAAAATTAGATTAATACACTTGTGAATTTTGGATAGAAATACATGAGCGTTTTTTTATGTAAAAACATTTTGAAATATCTTCTTTACATTAGTATTAGTATATATACATTAAAAGTGTGTTTTGTAATGTTTCCTGTCTATTTAATTTTCACGATTTCAGAAAAGAAACCGTAATGTTTCGCTGAACATCTATTTATCTAATTTTTTATATTATAAAAATAATTCGTAAGTGATTTCCCCCCTTAAAAATTGTAATCCTACATAATTAAGCCAAATGTCTTCCTTTTTTTAAAGGTACTGGCTACGGTTACATGGAAATGTAACAATAATATAAAAATTATTGTTACATTGGAGACTAATTGCCGGAATGCAGAGTTGGGTAAGGAACCGATTAATTACGAATGTAACAATAATATTTGGGTCTACGGTTACATTGCGTTATTGTTACATTAGAGACTGCAATGTATGATAGATTTATTAAACTTAAACCTTCTATAGTTATGTTGCTTAATTCTTCGATATGTACTAGATAATATGAATAATAATAATATTATTCAGCGAATAAGTATTGATTGTTTTGGTGTTGTTAAAAATCATGACTACTACAGTTTAGTTCAATATCACAATTGATGAATACTTAATGAACTGTTCAATGGAGCATGTACTGTCACGACTGATAAGATCACAAAATATCTGAACTCTGAAAATGAAAACACTGTTTCCACCAATTTCAATCTGTCGGCAAATAGATATAAGAAGATGTGGTATGAGTTCCAATGAGACAGCTCTCCATCCAAGTCAAAATTTATAAAAGTAAACCATTATAGGTCACAGTACGGGCTTCAACACGGAGCCTTGGCTCACACCGAACAGTAAGCTATAAAGGGCCCCAAAAAATTACTAGTGTAAAACCATTCAAACGGGAAAACCAACGGTCTAAATGTCAACATTAATTGCTTTCACAATTGACTTGTATTCAAACAACCTAACATGCTTCCAAAAAAATATTGGACGAAAATGTAAACATCGCAAGAGTAACAAAATATTTTTCACCTGAAGCATGGCATTCAGACATTGAAAGTTTCTTAAACTTCATAAAGGGAAAATGCAGAATGGAATTGTACGGTATGCAATATAGAGCGTGCACATTGCCGTATCACTGTTTTGTGATGGCTGCTTAGAGTGGTTTCACCGAAAATGCGTCGACCTAAAACATGCTCCAAAAACAACATACTGGATTTGTAGAAACTGTCATTGCACAAATAAAAAATCAAAATATTGTATGCAATATTGTAAATATCAAATAAAAGTTTTCAAGTTTTATTTTAATACATATTTATTACCAGTCCAATCGTACATTGCAGTGCGTTAATGTAACAATAACGCAATGTAACCGTAGACCCAAATAGTATTGTTACATTCGTAATTAATCGGTTCCTTACCCAACCCTGCATTCCGGCAATTAGTCTCCAATGTAACAATAATTTTCATATTATTGTTACATTTCCATGTAACCGTAGCCAGTGCCTTTTTTAATCAGGGGTCCATGATGAACTCGATTTCAAACTTATGCTTAAAATCATTGAAAAAGAAATCTTTCCAAGATATGTCACATTTTGACGATGCAAAAAACAAGATTTTACGTTAGCGACTTCCTCACCTCACCTCCTGCCTCTAAAAGAGAGGCTAAAGCCGGGATATTCAATCTCATAAAGCGAAAACAAACTGGCAATACCATGTCAAAAAACGAAAAGTTAAACAACAGTACACAACACACATAATAGAAAACTAAAGTCTGAGCAACATGATCTTAGGTTGAACGGAATGGTTAGCAGATCCTGCTCCACATGTGGCACCCGTCGTGTTATTCATGCAAGTACAAACCCGGTGATAAGTCTAATTCGATGGGCACATTCGAGGTAAAGAGGACGGGTTATGACAATTGGAACTTAATAAGGAACTTTCCGTTTTGAATTTTCCTTGGAGTTCGGGTTTTTTGTTATTTTACTTTTTGGAACATATCCGTTGTCATCTTAACGGTCAACCAACTCGTCACGGATGGTGTCCTTAAAATTATCGAAAGGATGATTTCAACGTCACTACTTGGAACTCCTGGTTAAATAGCTTCCTTGTAAGCAGCAACCCTCTATCAAGGAAATCGTTATAGGAAATGCAAGCTCTGGAATATCGTATCAACTGGGAGATGTAAACTCTATATGCAGGCGCTGCTATAATATGTTGCTATACATAGGAAATGGCCACACAATTTGGAAGATGAAATCATATCTTTTGTCGTAAAAGTTTCTTCACAACTCTCGTTGTCAATTTCTAGATGTAAATCAAGACATGAGGCATATCTGTACTGAACTAGCTGTATTGTGTGTCATTATCATAAATCAACTGCTAACGACAGAAGATTTTCGCTATATTTTCCAAACGACATTACATTGTTGTTTAAATTACAAAAAAATATCGAGTTATCAGTTGATAACCTATTTAACACAGGAAAAAAATATTATAAATTTTGAGTTTGATCCCACAAATACAATGAGATAATGAACAAGTGTTTCAAGCTTTATCCTGCCTTTTGTGTTAAGTGTTTCATGCTTTATCCTGCTTTCTGTGTTTATGCCTTTCCCCGTGATATTTTGAATTGGTTTCAGAGAAAATTTATAAACCTCAAAATTAAAAGTGTGCTCTTCATAACTGATAATTTTGATCATTGTTATCAAATTATCCTCTTATCATTTAGCTTTTCAAGTTTAGTGAAAATAGTATGACTTCAGATTGAAGTTCCATGAAGATATCTGAGTAGGAACTGGATTACGACTGCAACCGCTACTATTTCCAAATTAAAGCGACGTTTGCGTAAATGGGCGTTATAAGTAGCACGAGTGTCCCTTCAATATCACTACTTTATTAGCCGGAGGGAAATCTGAATCCCTGACACCGCTCTACCAACTGAGCTAGCGGAGGGTGGTAATATATCAACTAGGTCATGAGGGTATCGCTTCACTGACTTGTTTACAATCGTTTTGAACATTTCGAAAGTAATTATAACAAAATCGTTTTTTGACAAAACGATATCAAGACATAAAAAACAAATCAAATACTCCGGAAAAGAGTTTTGTGTTTGTATCCGCAGACAAAGCATCTAATAACATTGTCGTTGTTTGTCGTATATTTAAAGTATATACCTCACTGTGGCTTTGAGATGAATACTTTGCTTTTTGTGTGTTTTTTGTTGTGCATTTACTGATTTTGTGTCATGGATGCATACCCCATATCCTTTGTTTTTCTATAATAACAGTACGTTTATGCAGCTTCTATCATAGCTGAATAGATTAATGAGCTAAACAACTATTGAACTAAAACCTGAACGCCACAAGGTTTTCACCATGAAATATATGACAGGAAAGCTAAAAAAAATCGATTATCAGTCTACATTTTTTCAACTACATATATTTCGATTCTTCTGATAAATGCTCTTAAATGATAACCTTTAAATAACTCTTGATCAAATATTGTGACAAAGAGTGTAAAAGTTCTTTAGAGGTTTTTATGTATGGCTGTATCAGAAATCCATTACTAGACTTCTTCTAAAATTCATAAAGACCAAATTATACACTACTTCAGTGACCTATAACAATACCTGCAGATATTTAGACAGTACATTCTAGATAAGCTAACCAGGTTATTCTAAAAAAATACAAGCGAAATCAGCTATCAACCCCAACTCACTCCTATAGTTATAAATTTAACTTGATATATATTTCAACACGTCTGATAATTATTTTTCATGATAATATTTATACCCAAAGCTGAGACTTCTATACTGTGTTATAGTAGTCTTAATCCAAATTTATGGTAATCGGGACAACTTTTCTTTTCCTCTTTTACATCAGTTTTTTTCATTTTTTGATGATGATAGAACTAGTGTTAATAATTCCGTTGTCTCTTTCAAATCCAGTGGGTGTACATTTTACGTGCGTGTTTACACTGACGGCTTTGAATTTAATAAACCAAGTTATTTTATAACTAAAAAATTTCATATGGATATATATTTCATAACTATTGGTCAAAACGTTAGCTATTTCACCGCGGCGTCGTCTACACACACAACCATTCAGACTAACTTTCTGTAAAAACCATGATTACAAACGGTATACTGTAACCTACTGAATTAAGATGCGTAAAATTATGTACTCGTAATGATTTAGAATTATGCAAAACAACAATATTGAAATTTAAAAAGGTTAAGTATTGAAGACCATGCACATGCATACATATGTTCTATTATCGTTCAAGTGACCTTCAATACATTTAAACTTATTACATCTATACCGCAGTACCCTTTTTATTATCATCATTTTTAGAACTACAGTAAATTATCGTACCTTGGACTAATAGATGTTAAAATCCCAGATCATACGTACTGTATCTATATAATAGAATTTCTTAATCTTTTTAAAACGTATAATTTGACTGATTATCTGGGGCTGCCAAAAGACAAAAATAATCCACTAAAATCACAACTAATAGCAACCAAAAGGCTATTACAGGCATATGCATCGTAAAGAGAAAAATTGGCAAACCAGATAATGACAGCAACTTCTTCGCACAATAAACTTTTACACAAATTACTAGGAACACAAAGGTCAGATGGTAACCGATTTACCAAGACTCTACGAAGGGGTAACCAAATTGCTGAAACAAACGAGGACATTCTTCAAATGTGGACAAGTTATTTCCACGAGCTATCGAATCCAGACATATTGCAGTCCTTCGGCTATTTTTTGCTCTTTGGTCGGGTTGTTGTCTCTTTGACACATTCCCCATTTCCATTCTCAATTTTATTTTATAAGCAGGATTTTGAATACGAAAAATATGAGATCTCATCCCTGCAAAATATCATAATCGTAAAGATAGAAAAGGGGAAAGTTAAAATTGAACCAATAAAAGAGGAGGAAATACATGATGCTGTAAAAAATGAAAAACTGAAAATCTTCAGATATCGATGGAATTTCAGCCGAGCACTACAAAAACGCTTAGGCCGAGCATCTACCGCTCATGTTACATATCCTCAATACAGTAATAGAACAACTTGACATCCCACAGATGCTGAAAAGAGGAATAATGACACCAGTATTGAAGAAAAATAAGGACCGTCAAAACCCGGGAAACTATAGAGGAATAACAGTGCCAAAATCTTCACTAAAATCCTACAGAGTCTATTAAAATCCAGAATAGATATAAAGATCCACCAAATCCAAAACCAACTACAATGGGGATTCACTGAAGCCATGCATATATATATATATATCCATGATATTTGCCGCATTCCTGGCATCGGAAGTTATAATACAATTTTGTGAAGATGAACAGGAAATCCTGCTACTATGTTTGGATGCAGAAAAGGCTTTTGATAAACTGGAACATAAAATATTATTCAGCAAGGTATATCACTATGGCATTGACGGCGACGTGTGGATTCTATATGTATAGAGAAATTAGCATTATAATTAAATGGGACGATCTTGTTTCCGACAAAATATCTGTCAACCAAGGAATTCAGCAAAGAGCAAACTCTCAACCTCCTTATACAAATTCGTTAATAATTCCATTCTAGATAGTGTAACAGAAAGTGAATTAGGAAGCCATATGGGGACAATAGGTATTGCTACACCAACATGTGCAGATCAGATATTAGTACTAGCAAACTCTGAAAGTGAAGTGCAGGGCATTATGGACATTGTATACCACCATACACAGAGAGACCTAGTCAAAATCAACCCACAGAAATCGGACCTTGTATGCTATACATTGTTTTTGTAATACCAAGCAGGAGAGAGTAGTTAACATTGGCATCTCTCAGATAGGTAGAAGTACAACTGCCAAACATCTAGGTATTACCAGAAATGAAAAAAATACAATTGATATTGATGAAAAACTGAAAGTAGGAATGGCCACTATCCTTGCGTACATTGTGTAATACAGCAGATGAAGACCTTAAACACTGCATACTCTCATGCAGTAGAAATAAGCATACACGTGAAAGGCACCTCCAGAAAATAAAATCATACCTGGAAAACTTAAAGAATGGGCTCTATCAGAACTTGGTTGACATGCAGTGACATGCTTATATTTTGGACTGTTCTCACAAAAGCATTAACTATGGATTCCATATGAAACAACAACAATACATAGAACTTATCATCACACTGCTGTTCTGCTACGATATGCATAATAAAGGCAACAGTAGTATACCGCTAATCGAAATTCATAAATCGATTGAGAAAAAAACAAATCCGGGTTACAAACTAAACCAGTGAGGGAAACACATCAAATATAAGAGGAGAACAACAACACAACAGAAATTCAACACTTAAATACAACACACACAGAAACGAACTATAATATAACAATGGCCATTTTCCTGACTTGATACAGGACATTTTAAGAAAAAATGGTGGGTTCAACCTGGTTTTGTCAGGCTAGCCAAGCCTCCCGCTTTTATGGCAATGTTAACTATAACATTAAAATGACAAGATTACATGACAGGACTACAATACAAATAAATGGGAGAACATACAGGATAGAGACACACGCAAATAATAGCTATCAAAAGGTACCCGGCAGGCTTATAATTTAATACGCCAGACGCGCGTTTCGTCTACATAAGACCCATCAGTGACGCTCAGATCAAAAAAGTTCGAAAGCCAAAACAAGTACAAAGTTGAAGAGCATTGAGGACCAAAAGTTCCAAAAAGTTGTGCCAAATTAATACGGCTAAGGTTATATGCCTGGGATAAGAAAATCCTTCGTATTTAGAATAATTCATACTTTTGCAAACAGTAAATTTAAAAAAATGACTATATAATAGATGTACATGTTAACACCGATGTGGTGACTAACTACAGAATAAAAACGAATGCGTAAAACAACCTATAAATCAGCACATAAAAAAGGCACAGCCGAACAACGTATTATATGTTAGCCGAAGAAATCGACGTACAATGTGACGTCACATTTAAATGCATTCCAGTAGAAGGAGACAGATGGCAGGGTAGGCGCGAGGGCGTAGTAAAGCATATCTAGAAGCATTTTATCTTTTCCAAAATAACGACAATCCGCTTGAGAAATCCTTATATAAATTTATAGAACATATCTCTCTCTATAGTGCTTAAGAGGCTATTTACCTATTATCTATTTGGACATTTTACTACATAGTGCTTTAACTTTTTTCTTCAGTTTCCTGCGTATTGGCCGCATGTTGCTTTAATGTGCCCTAAATGTTGAACATATTCTACATCAACTGCAGTTGAACGCATATATCCAATATATTAACAGTATATTTGAAGTAGAAGACGTTAACCTATAGTGCTTACCTATATAGACTGCTATAACGTTAATGTATATATCCGCACACCTAGCATATAATAGCAACTAGTATTTTAGGCATGGAGCAATGATGATCATTAAGCGCATAACTTTTCGTCCGTCTTAACCGATTGCACTGTAATGCACGATGTATAAACATGTAAATGACAACAAAGTATTTGTATAGCACGCTTTTATCGTTACCGATATATGCATGAATTGGTGGATTAGTTGCACGTTCTTTTGTGTGTTGATATGAGTTTATAGTGGGTGCGGGTGTATATTTGTATATAGCGCATTAGCCATCCTACTATGTAGGAGTGCGCCGATATAGAACGGCGATTCATACCTGTAGAAAGAAAGAAAGCTGCAAGCCAAACAACTATTTTTAATTTGAGTTAAGATATGAGATTTTTAGATGAAGCAAATGTGATATATCCCATTTTAAAAATATTTTAACTATTTAAACCCAAAAATCAGCCAAGTACGTATTATATGCCATTGATATATAGCTAATTAACATACTAATAATTAAACAAAATCTGTCCTTTCTCCAACACCAAGCTATACCAGCCGCACGCCGCCATCACTGCAATAACACATGCGACAAGATCAAGCCGAAACCGAACGCCTTTGATAAACAGGAGGACCGTCCGAAGTTACCGAAGCAAGAAGCATCGTTAAGCTTTCGATAACACCGTAATGTATATTGTTTTGTGTCGATATCAGTTGTAGTAGCCTTGCCGCCTCTCTAATTTATGCCCGGCGTCCATTTTAATTCGTCTCGGCCAATGAGTCATACATGAACTTTCATTATTTTTGTTTTACACTATTGGAGAATTTATTTATCTCGTTATGATTGCACGAAATATGTTTCACTGTTGTAATAAAGAAATATTCGACAAATTGCAGAAGCAGTTATCGCTTTGTTCTAAATGCTTTGGGCAACACTGGGACCTGTTCAAACAAAGAAAACTCGATCCGATATACTTTTGCCTAAATGTCCCGTTTTCGATCACACCTTCAGTGGTATCACATTTGGTATGAATAAAAACCGAATAAATGATTTCTGGCTCTTCCTGTCGTCCAGCACATGTGCGAAGCGATAATGAAATTTTTCCAGCAGTTTTGCCCATAAATTCGTTTCTTGATTTGTCGAAAGTTTTCATTTGGTGACTGGCTGTCTTATGGGACCACCAATTATGCGTTTATATCTTCTGAGCATGATGTAGCCCAGTGTTACACCATTCTGAGTGCCAACAGTTATTTAAATTTAATTAGATGATGAATTTGCTGCACCAACATAGTACAGATGCAATGGTAATTCATTTCTTTTGATTTTGGTCTATTTTAGGTCCTACAAACCATCTGGAAGAATGTTGCTATTTCTATCTGTCAAGAAAATCTTCAATAATTTCAATTTGCAAATACAAGCATGACTTGCCCTTAACATTGAAAGTATGCATGCAGTGGTTTTGATTGTGATTTCTTTATAGAAGCTAATGTGTACCAGTTTTAAAAGTAAAAAAATATGAGTCATAATTTACTTTAAAATTTCACTCTTTTAATATAAGAATTTCTTGACAGATAAATTATATACTTGATCCTGTAGGCTAATTAGCTTCCTTATATTTGCTTTTACATCCTGGAAAATGCATACGGCTTGTTTGATCTGCAAACACTATGGATAGAACTTCAAATTTGTTTTGAATTTTTTTATCAGTTATTAAACATTTTAGCAACAACAAAAAAACGAAACTCAAATATAGTTAGTTGTTGATCTTCAAGACTTGGCAGTTTTGATGGACAGATCGAATCCTAAGAACTTTAGAAACTTTAATATGTCTACTTTGATTTAGAATTTGAAGTTCTAGATACAGTCCATTATACAATGAAGGTTGTGTCATATTCCTTAATTCCTTCATTTTATTCACAGGAAAATAACTATAAGCGTAAGTAAATGTATATTGAAAAGTGTTTTAAAAGATACACGTGTTTGCAATAGTTCAGTTATTACTGAAAAAACTTAGTCTGAAGACACTTTTTCAGGATTTAAGGAAAAGTGCAATGTATCCTCTTCTGACAAAATTTTACAAATCTTGCATATGAATAGAGGTTAACTTCTGCATCTTTAATTCAAGCTGGAAAAAAAGTGGTGCCGTTTTAATTTTTACATAACTATAAAATTCCAACCCAATTAAAAAGATAATTATGTGTTGGTTTATTATTTTTAAAAACACGTAATTGTAGTTTCAGATTACTTTTGATGAAAGCTAAAATTAAAATAATTGTTCTTTGAAATAAAGTCAGAAGTCATGTAAGTAACAAGTAGTATATATACTGATATATGTAATAACAATGCAGTTCTTAAAAGATTTCAAATTACAGTACTAAAATACTTGGGTAAATGTTCAAAATGATGGACAATGGTTTCAAATGCTTAAACATGCGGAATACTCATGGTCTGATTCTATTTTTTAGCTGGAAAATGGTGAAGATATTTGTGGGAAACTTGAGCCAGTCTACGGCGAGGGAAGATATACAGATGATGTTTGAAAAATATGGAAAAGTTACAGAATGTGATGTATTGAAAAACTATGGATTTGTGGTAAGTTCATTGTCAGTCTCGTCTTTTAAAAAACTTGTTATGGAAGTAGTGTAAATAAATTTGATGATTTTTTTTCAATAATACATTTATGAGGCTCATATATTTAATGTTAAATGCCAAAACTTCCCCTAAAAACAAACATAAAAACCCAAGGGTAGGATCTGTACATCATCATGCAGTAATACTTTTAGATTACAGATCAGCTCAAGTGTGAAAAGTAAATTAGAAGAGAAGATAGGCAATAGGGCTAATTAAATATTATCTTATGCATTATATCTGGTTAAGAGATTTAGTTTAATGTTTCAACTTTGGAAAGACCAATGGAATTTTTCATAGCCTATCAAGCTATCAGGAATTCTTAACATTACATGTAGCTTTACATGTGGATTTTCATGTATACCTGTAGTTTCCAGTCAAATAGAAATTGTATTTGTTGAATTGGTCATTTGTTACAGTTATAATTTCAACATATGGTTAGATACATGACCTTTGATTGAAAAATAAGTTATCAATTAGTAAACAGAAAAAATTGTATTTCAGCACATGGCAAGTTCAGATGAGGCAGAAAAAGCTATTCAGGAACTGGATGGAGCATCAGTTAAAGGCAGCAGAATGAGAGTGGAGGTATATTCCAAATTGATATATATTTTTAAATTCCGTTAGTTTGGTTTTTGATGGCAAAGATGTTGTTTTTATACGACCGCAAAAATTTTTGCGGTCGTATATTGGTATGACGTCGTCGTCTGGCGTCGTCCGAAGACACATTGGTTTTCGCACTCTAACTTTAGTTTAAGTGAATGGATCTCTATGAAATTTTACCATAAGGTTCAATACCACAAAAGGAAGGTTGGGATTGATTTTGGGGGTTATGGTACCAACAGTAAATGAATTAGGGGCCAAAAATAAGCATTTTTGTAACTTCCAGACATAACTTGTGTGTTAGTGTATGGATCTCTCTGACATTGTACCACAAGGTTCCATATCACAAAGGGAATGCTGGGATTGATTTTGGGGGTAATTGCCTCAAAATATTAGGAATTAGGGGCCAAAAAAGGGGCAAAAAACAAGCATTTTTCTAGTTTCATGACAATAACTTGTGTGAAAGTGTATGAATCTTTCTGAAATTGTACTACAAGGTTCCATATCTCAAAGGAGAAGCTGGAATTGAGTTTGGGGGTAATTGCCCTAAACGTTTAGGAATAAGGGGCCAAAAAAGGGCCAAAAATAAGCATTTTTCTAGTTTCCAGACAATAACTTGTGTTCAAGTGTATGGATCTCTCTGAAATTGTACTGCAAGGTACCATACCACAAAGGGAAGGCTGGGATTGAGTTTGGGGGTGATGAATCATAAGGGGGTTCAAAAAACTTGGGGGGGGGGGGGGAGATTTTTATTTTTTTTCCTTTTTATACGACCGCAAAAATTAAAAATTTTTTGGTCGTATATTGGTATGACGTTGGCGTCGTCGTCGTCCGGCGGCGTCGTCGTCGGCGTCGTCCGAAGACGCATTGGTTTTCGCACTCTAACTTTAGTTTAAGTGAATGGATCTCCATGAAATTTTACCATAAGGTTCAATACCACGAAAGGAAGGTTGGGATTGATTTTGGGGGTTATGGTACCAACAGTTAAGGAATTAGGGGCCAAAAAGGGGCCAAAAATAAGCATTTTTGTAACTTCCAGACAATAACTTGTGTGTAAGTGTATGGATCTCTCTGACATTGTACCACAAGGTTCCATATCACAAAGGAAAGGCTGTAATTGATTTTGGAGGTAATTGCCTCAAAATTTTAGGAATTAGGGGCCAAAAAAGGGGCAAAAAACAAGCATTTTTCTAGTTTCATGACAATAACTTGTGTGTAAGTGTTTGGATATTTCTGAAATTGTACTACAAGGTTCCATATCACAAAGGGAAAGCTGGAATTGAGTTTGGGGGTAATTGCCCGAAACGTTTAGGAATTGGGGGCCAAAAAGGGGCCAAAAATAAGCATTTTTCTAGTTTCCAGACAATAACTTGTGTTCAAGTGTATGGATCTCTCTGAAATTGTACTGCAAGGTACCATACCACAAAGGGAAGGCTGGGATTGAGTTTGGGGGTGATGAATCATAAGGGGGTTCAAAAAATTTGGGGGGGGATTTTTTTTTTTTCTTTTTTTTTCTTTTTTTCCTTTTTTTTTTCTTTTAAAATTTTCCATTTTAAGTTGGTTATTTCTGATTAATATTTAAAAGCAAATAATAATGATATGGTAGGAGATACACACCAAACAGGATGTGTAAATTATTATCTAATAAGTATTGTGCAATAGCAAGAAATTTTCAATTGCACAGTATTGCACAATAGCAAGAAATCTTCAATTGCACAGTATTGCGCAATAGCAAGAAATCTTCAATTGCACAGTATTGCGCAATAGCAAGAAATATCCAATAGCACAATATTGCGCAATAGCAAGAAATTGTCAATTGTACAGTATTGCGCAATAGCAAGAAATATTCAATTGCACAGTATTGTGCAAAAGAAGATACTTTGTATCAATTGCTTATTTCTTGATCAATTTCAATGGGGTTTTATTCTTGAATTCTTGGGGTTCTTTAATATGCTGAATCTAACCGTGTATTAAGTTTTTGGATTTTGGGCCCTGTTTTTAAATTGGTCCACATTGAGGTCCAAAGGGTCCAAAATTTAACTTTGTTTGATTTCATCAAAAATTGAATTATTGGGGTTCTTTGATATGCCGAATCTAACCGTGTATTTAGATTCTTAATTTTTGGTTCCGTTTTCAAATTGGTCTACATTAAGGTCCAAAGGGTCCAAAATTAAACTTAGTTTGATTTTAACAAAAATTGAATTTTTAGGGTTCTTTGATATGCTGAATCTAAACATGTATTTAGATTTTTGATTATGGGCCCAGTTTTCAAGTTGGTCCAAATCGGGGTCCAAAATTAAACTTTGTTTGATTTCAACAAAAATTGAATATATGGGGTTCTTTGATATGCTGAATCTAACCATGTATTTAGATTTTTGATTTTTGGGCCCTGTTATCAACTTTGTCCACATTGAGGTCAAAAGGGTCCAAAATTTAACTTTGTTTGATTTCATCAAAAATTGAATTATTGGGGTTCTTTGATATGCCGAATCTAACCGTGTATTTAGATTCTTAATTTTTGGTTCCGTTTTCAAATTGGTCTACATTAAGGTCCAAAGGGTCCAAAATTAAACTTAGTTTGATTTTAACAAAAATTGAATTTTTAGGGTTCTTTGATATGCTGAATCTAAACATGTATTTAGATTTTTGATTATGGGCCCAGTTTTCAAGTTGGTCCAAATCGGGGTCCAAAATAAAACTTTGTTTGATTTCATCAAAAATTGAATTCTTGGGGTTCTTTGATATGCTGAATCTAACCATGTATTTAGATTTTGGATATTGGACCATAATAGGTGAATGTCCAATTTAAAATTTTTAAGTTCTTAGACCACATTCATTCTGTGTCAGAAACCTATGCTGTGTCAAATATTTAATCACAATCCAAATTCAGAGCTGTATCAAGCTTGAATGTTGTGTCCATACTTGCCCCAACTGTTCAGGGTTCGACCTCTGCGGTCGTATCAAGCTGCGCCCTGCGGAGCATTTTATTTTTCTTCTTTTCCTTTTTTTTGTCGAGCCTTCGACTTTTGTTGAAAAAGCGAGACATAGCGATCCTACATTTCGTCGGCGGCGGCGGCGTCCACAAATATTCACTCTGTGGTTAAAGTTTTTGAAATTTTAATAACTTTCTTAAACTATCCTGGATTTCTACCAAACTTGGACAGAAGCTTGTTTATGATCATAAGATAATATTCAAAAGTAAATTTTGTAAAAAAAAAATTCCATTTTTTCAGTATTTTACTTATAAATGGACTTAGTTTTTCTGCCAGGAAACATTACATTCACTCTGTGGTTAAAGTTTTTGAAATTTTAATAACTTTCATAAACTATCCTGGATTTCTACCAAACTTGGACAGAAGCTTTTTTATGATCATAAGATGATATTCAAAAGTAAATTTTGTAAAAAAAAAAATCCATTTTTTCAGTATTTTACTTATAAATGGACTTAGTTTTTCTGCCAGGAAACATTACATTCACTCTGTGGTTAAAGTTTTTAAAATTTTAACAACTTTCTTAAACTATCCTGGATTTGTACCAAACTTGGACAGAAGCTTGTTTATGATTAAAAGCTAGTATTTAGAAGGAAATTTTGTTCCATTTTTTCCGTATTTTACTTATAAATGGACTTAGTTTTTCTTCCAGTTAACATTACATACAGTCTGCAGTTTAAGTTTTTAAAACATTTATTAGATTCATTAACTATCCTGGATTTTTACCAAACTTGGACAGAAGCTACTTACAATCAAAAGATAGTATAGAGAGGAATATTTTTATTAATTTTTTTCCTCATTTTTATACGCCCGTTTACGGGACGTATTATGGTATACCGTTGTCCGTCTGTCCGTCCGTCCGTCCGTCCGTCTGTCCGTCCGTCGTCAACATGTCGGACATTAACTCAAAAACGCTTTAACCAATTTGCATAAAACTTTGGTGAATTGTTTATATCTATTGATGTGAGCTCCCTTTCGTTTTTTATAAATTTTGAATTTTACATTTCTGAGTTATGGGGTTTTATTCATTAAAAAAAGGGGGATTTTCCAGTTTTCGGACAATAACTCAAGAATGCTTTCACCAACTTGCAAGAAATTGTGGTGGATTGTTTATATCTATTGACATGAGCTCCCTTTTGATTTTTATAAATTTTAGATTTTACGTTTCCCAGTTACAGGGTTTTATTTATAAAAAAGGGGGATTTTCCAGTTTTCTGACAAAAACTCAAAAATGCTTTCAGCAGTTCTTATGAAACTATGGTGAATTGTTTATATCTATTTAAGTAAGCCCCCTTTAGAATTTTATAAATTTTACATTTTACATTTATGAGTTATGGGGTTTTATTCATTAAAAAAGGGGGGATTTTCCAGTTTTCGGACAATAACTCAAAAATGCTGTCAGCAATTCTCATGAAACTTTGGTGAATTGTTTATATCTATTGATGTAAGCTCCCTTTTGATTTTCATAAATTTCTAATATGACATTGAGAATTAATTGACCTTTATTTGTTTATAGTCTGAAAACAGATTTACTAAGTATTGCGCAACAGCACAGTGTATTGCACAACAGCAAGAAATCTTTAATTGAATATAAATTCAATTCATATAACCAATTTCAAGTTCTTTGACTACATTTATTCAGAAACCTGTAATATGTCAAATATTTAATTACAATCCAAATTCAGACCTGTATCAAGCTTGAATATTGTGTCCATTTTTGCCCCAACTGTTCAGGGTTGGACCTCTGCGGGCGTATCCAGCTGCGCTCAGCGAAGCAGTTTATTGTTGAGCCTGTGATTAACAGCAAAAAGTAGGCGAGACACTGGGTTCCGCGGAACCCTTACGAATTTTTTTCTTTTAAAATTTTCCATGTTAAGTTGGTTATTTCTGATTTATATTTAATAGCAAATAATAATGATATGGTAGGAGATACACACCAAACAGGATGTGTAAATTATTATATAATAAGTATTGTGCAATAGCAAGAAATTTTCAATTGCACAGTATTGCACAATAGCAAGAAATCTTCAATTGCACAGTATTGCGCAATAGCAAGAAATCTTCAATTGCACAGTATTGCGCAATAGCAAGAAATATCCAATAGCACAATATTGCGCAATAGCAAGAAATTGTCAATTGTGCAGTATTGCGCAATAGCAAGAAATATTTAATTGCACAGTATTGTGCAAAAGAAGATACTTCGTATAAATTGCTTATTTCTTGACCAATTTCAATGGGGTTTTATTCTTGAATTCTTTAATATGCTGAATCTAACCGTGTATTAAGTTTTTGGATTTTGGGCCCCGTTTTTAAATTGGTCCACATTGAGGTCCAAAGGGTCCAAAATTAAACTTTGTTTGATTTCATCAAAAATTGAATTATTGGGGTTCTTTGATATGCCGAATCTAACCGTGTATTTAGATTCTTAATTTTTGGTTCCGTTTTCAAATTGGTCTACATTAAGGTCCAAAGGGTCCAAAATTAAACTAAGTTTGATTTTAACAAAAATTGAATTCTTAGGGTTCTTTGATATGCTGAATCTAAACATGTATTTAGATTTTTGATTATGGGCCCAGTTTTTAAGTTGGTCCAAATCTGGGTCCAAAATTAAACTTTGTTTGATTTCAACAAAAATTAAATATATGGGGTTCTTTGATATGCTGAATCTAACCATGTATTTAGATTTTTGATTTTTGAGCCCCGTTATCAACTTTGTCCACATTGAGGTCAAAAGGGTCCAAAATTAAACTTTGTTTGATTTCATCGAAAATTGAATTCTTGGGGTTCTTTGATATGCTGAATCTAACCATGTATTTAGATTTTGGATATTGGACCATAATAGGTGAATGTCCAATTTAAAATTTTTAAGTTCTTAGACCACATTCATTCTGTGTCAGAAACCTATGCTGTGTCAAATATTTAATCACAATCCAAATTCAGAGCTGTATCAAGCTTGAATGTTGTGTCCATACTTACCCCAACTGTTCAGGGTTCGACCTCTGCGGTCGTATCAAGCTGCGCCCTGCGGAGCATTTTATTTAATTACTTTAATAATAAGAATAACATATTTTATTTTCTGTTTTACACATGTATATACATGATATAGTTGTGAAAAATATTTTTAGATAAAAAAAAAATACGTAACTTCTCCCTAATATTGTGTGTTTCATATTGTAAAAGCAATTTATTTAGATTTAAATGTTTATTTTACAGAAATCAACAGGAAAGTCTTCAAGAGGAGGTGGCAGAGGTGGTGGAGGGTAAGCTATTTGACAGTTCAATCTGCAGAATTCTCCCCAGGCCTAAGATATAATGCTTTACCATGATGCATTTTCTCATCCAATGCTCATCAACTTGCTGTTTACTGAATACTTGTATATTTTAGAATTCTCCCCAGGCCTAAGATAAAATGCTTTACCATGATGCATTTTCTCATCCAATGCTCATCAACTTACTGTTTACTGAATACTTGTATATTTTAGAATTCTCCCCAGGCCTAAGATATAATGCTTTACCATGATGCATTTTCTCATCCAATGCTCATCAACTTACTGTTTACTGAATACTTGTATATTTTTAGAACTCTCCCCAGGCCTAAGATATAATGCTTTACCATGATGCATTTTCTCATCCAATGCTCATCAACTTCCTGCTTACTGAAAACTTGTATATTTTTATGCATGATGGCCATTTATAAAATGAAAACTTATAGCGGGGGTTAACATTAGTAAGCAATAGCTAAAAAAATGTTTAGTTTTAGTATACTTTTACATCTGGAACCAGAAAATTCATAATGCTTATTCCAAACTATTAGTTTTAGAAAACAAAATGAGAATCATATTCATAAAAGACCTGAGTTGTGCAGATCATTGTAGAAAAATAGGATGTTTCAATGTTATCAATGAAAAGTGTTATTGGTTCATAGTGGCCAGTTACTTCATATAGTGGCAGATAGGTACATACATACATAAATGGTGGCATACCATTATAAAATACCATGACAGTTTATTTGGTACTTATCACCACACATAGACAAATCTGTGATGCATAATAAAAATGTATGTCATAGTCCAAAGTTCTCTAAAAGTGGTGGTCAGAAAGTTTTTACCACCAAACTTTGCAAAATACAGACGGAAGTTTGGTATTTTTCAATAGCGAGGACCACCAGGGAAAAAAGTTTTTCTGATCTTAGTCTTAATAGATAAAGCATGATACATGTATCTCTGAATCTTAATAGAAAAAATATGTAAAGTGACGAATTTTGTTTGTAGAAAAATGAGAGGTGGCCGTGGTGGAGGTAGAGGGGGAGACAGATATGGCGGTGGTGGTGGGGGTGGATATGGTGATCCATACAGACGTCCACCACCTTATGGCGGCGGTGGTGGTGGTGGAAGAGATTCTTATGACAGATATGGGGGTGGATCAAGGGACAGAATGCCTATTAGCAGAGGGTATGATTCTTATGACAGACGGCCACCACCAATGGATGACTATAGAGACAGAGGTTATGGTGGCTATGGAAGTTATGACGCTCGCCGTAGTGAGTATGACAGGTATGACCGACCCCCTGCAAGAGATCCATACTACAGTGACCGTGGTGCCGCTGCCCGTCCCCCACCCGAGTACTACAACAGAAGGTAAGTAAGTATTCTTTTTTATTATTATTTTTGCTTGATTTTATTATCTAAATCTTTAGCATTAGAACAAGGGCACTAAGTTTATCTTTAAAACTCTTTGAATTTGGAACTGTTAGTTTGGTTTATTTTTCATTGCTTTGCATTGAGCATTCTCCTACTTTTTATACATAACATCCTCAACTTTTTCATTTATTTCATTTCTTGCTTTGATATTTTATTAAAAAAAATAATTTATATTTATTGTTGCAAGAATATTGTTTTAGGGAAATAAAGTTGTAATGGACTCAAATGTGTCTAAGCAATGGCATACCAAATTATTAAAATGAATTTTATGTCTTTATATTGTACATTCACCAATTAAGAAGGACTTTTTGCCTGGTAATTGATAATATGAAATTGAGTGTTTATCTAGACAAGGGTAACTGATAGACATTTTATCACACAACACTTTAATTCAATGTTAATCAGTGGTGAGTCTTTAATTAAAAATTTATATTCTTGCATAGGACTTTGTAGAAACTCACTTCTGAAAGCCAGAATCTGATTTTGAAATAACAATTGAATACAACTTATTTGCCTTGTTGGGAAGTATACTTGTATAAATACTTGTTGGCTGCAGTGCAGAACAAGGCTGAGAAATAAAGTAGAAAACAATGTTTTACTTTTATTTACAAACATTGAAGCTTTATTATCAAATTTTATTACAAGTATGTTGGAAGACAGAATACCATATGAAAATAATTTTTAATCCAATTTAAAAACCAAATTTGTTCTTAAAATAAGAAGGCAGTAATTAAAGAGAACTGTTGATTCTTCATTGAGCTACTTTTAGGCATGGGAAATGACATATTTTTGATAATTTTAAAGTGAAATTCTTGATTCTTGAAATGAGTTTCCTAAAAAGGCTATAATTCAAGAATAAACAATTGCCCAGTTAAATAATCAAAATTGAACTTCCCTTAAATTATCTTGTAGTTAAATAGTTCAGAGTGTCCACAGAAATATGAAAAAGTAATTCAGGTTTTTAACTCGAAATATATTTTTCTTTTAGAAGTATGTTATTTTATTAAGTATTTAACAACATCATGAGCATTTATAAAACTTGGAACCTTATGTATAATGACAAGTAACTAAACGACAAATGCATCAGATAGTGTGGGAAAGATATTGTCACACATTGTACATGTATCTGGTGACTGGTGCACTTTAGTAAAATGGCTGGTTAAAATAAGTGTTTCTAATTAGCACATACATGATTTGATATAATAGATACAAATGTTAACTTGCATTATGGAAAATTTTTTGCTTTTAGTTTCAAATTTGAGTAAAAGTAAGATTTCTGAAAAAAAATTGATTGTATTATTTCAATAGTAATTGACAATTATATTTTAAGCTGTACTTCTTTTTTGACTTAGCAAGCTTTAGTTCAAATTAAATAAAATTGCAGTTCAAATGATTAAATTGGAATGCCAAATATCTGAAGGATCTAAGTAATGTTTATTTATAGACATGTAACTAATTCTGGTTCACTGTCTTTGTAGACCTCCTCCAGGACCAGAAGATGACAGACTAACAGGATATTCAAATGGACATGATGCTGATAATTATTATGACAGATTTTACAAGAAACCCGCACCGCCACCACAGACACAAAAATCAGTTTCACAAGGATTCTTACAGAGTGAACCATACTATTTTTAGCCAGTCATATCATTTTGTGTTGTTATTCCGTCAAATCATGGAACCAATTTCCACCAGACCAAGGCATTTTTATATTCGTTTTGTTTATCCTGTTAGTTTGTTTGAGATCAAAGTACTTAAACAATTTTTTTGTATATGTTCATTGTTGTCATACATGAATCATAGTGTATAATTGTCATAACTTTTTTTATATCATGAATTTTGTGTATATGTATGAGCTATTTACATTGTTCTGTCAGTTGAGTGTTACAGGGTTGTAAGTGAGGTACTTACATGTGCTCTTTTATTAAATCTTTTGAGGTGTAAGAAGTAGATAATCTCATTTTATTTTTATTTTTCTTAGCTACAGCTTGTAGACCCTTAATGATTGTTCAATATTTGAATGATTATTTCACTATCATTTCTTTAAAGGATTTTGAATACATTTTTAACCTTTAACCTTTGTATCAATATCACAGTGCAGAATCTTTTGTAATCTGAAGAATTTAAAGGTCAAACATCTATATAAGGCATGTGAGTTGTTCCCCTTGGATAATGTATATTTATATCTCGCTGTTGATAATGAGGCCAAGGATACCTATTGGATCTAGGTTTAAATTTACTCAGTAGTTAGCTGGGTGATATATTTATTTAATTTTTCAACTGAGAAAACAGTCCCCACTGAACACCAGTGAATTGACAAAAAGAGATAAGGGACCGTTTTTGTAAACATTGTCTCCCAAAAGATTTTAACTTGACTAGAGCAGATTTCTTTTTTAACCAATCAAATGATTTGAAGTCCATTTGTCTCTACCATGATTTGTTCATTTCATTCTAAATGAAATGTTTGGATAGATTTCATATCGATACAATGAAATGGTCCCTACTGTTATAAGTTGTCAGCAAAGAAGAAGAAAAAATAGTTTTGAATAAAGTAATTCTCTAGTTCACTTAATTTATGCCTTGTGATTAACCAGTATTAAATGTTAAGACTTGTGTACTTTGAATTCATTATTCTTGGGATACTTATTTTCATGTGTATAAGGGAGTCCATTACAAATTTAGTAAAGGCCTGTACATGATGTATGAAGAAGTTGTGGACAATTTTTCCTCCACCTAAAGGACTTGATGTTAAGCAAACAACAATCAATGCTTCATCCACAAACATTGATACTTGCAAAAAGTAAATGAATACAAAGTACATATCTCAGCAGTCTGCAATGTTAGTCACTAGTCCAATGCCCAAGACTAGTCAAATTTTATTCAGACTAGTAAGTATGCAAAACTTTTAGACACAGGAAAAAAATTCAGAATGTTGTTCTTTGGACTAGTAGTTGGAAAAGATATTGGTGCAGACTGCCTCACAATAAATCTTGAATACAAAAATTAGCCCAAGAAATTCTAGATACAAATTTAAGTTAACTGGGATAGAAGAAGGGGGAAACATGATGGTATTTTTAACTGGGGTTGCTTTTAATCTGGAGAATTTTATTTTTTACAACAGTATATTGTGTATATATTGTACATGTTTAAGACAGACCAAAGAACTACACAATCTTTAAATGAAACACATGAAATGTGATTCTATTTAGATATATTTTACAAATGCAGTATATCAAGTTTTCCCTTAGAATAAACATTGCAGCAAGTTAAATGAGTGTTTATTTCATTATATATCAACACATTGAGTTTATTAGAAATCCATTTAGTTTGTCCACATTGTCATTATTGTTTCTAAGGACTCGCTGCAAATGACAGTATACTATCAGAGAGAACTGCGAGAAGATTTGATATAAAATGATCTGGTTGTCTGCACACCAATAACATGACAACAGTGTTATAAAATAAAAATAAACTTGTATGAAATTGTTTGTTACTTTTAGTAATCGCCATTGGTAGTGTCCTAAGTAGTCTATTCTTTTTAGTGTGTGCCAGATGAGATTATCTCATCACTTGTCCTTCGTCGTCTGTTGTTCACTGAAAACTTTCCTAACCCAGTACAGTGGTGTAAAAGCAGAAGAACCAACATTTTTTCCAATGGTTTCAGGAAAGTAAGAATTGCAATTCTACTATAAACCAAAGTTAGAGATGTGCTAGTCATACCCTGACATTTTTCATATATAAATAATGTGTTGTGGTATGATTGCCACATGAGACAGCTTTCTGATCATGTTCAAATGACGGGGATACAAGTAACTATTGGTAACTGTATTAAAGCCTTATACAATGATAAAACCCATGCTTATGGTCAGCTATTAAAGCCCAGACTTGAGATATGTGTACAATTCAAAAGAGAAAAAAAGTTTTCATGCCACTTTTTGCAATATTTTAAAGCAAAAAAATTCAGGTCATGGTTAAACAAAAAAGAAATCCTGACAATTATGACAAAATCAGTAAGCTTAATTTGTTAGAGTAAGAAAAAGAATGGTTAAACTTTATTCGTGTCACTTTTGTCTCGCCTGCAAAGAGTCGCAGTATGCTAGACAGTACAACAATCCAGCGACAGTTAAACTATTTGTTAAAAGCGTTATATTTTTCGAAGGTAGAAGACCTGGATGCTTCATACCTTGTATGCAGATACCTTATGTTATGAAGTTTCCGTCATTGTCCTTGACCTCATATTCACGGTTTAGTGACTGCATGAAAAAAATCAGTTTTTTTACACGCCCGTTTACGGGACGTATTATGGTATACCGTTGTCCGTCTGTCCGTCGTCAACATGTAGGACATTAACTCAAATATGCTTTAACCAATTTGCATGAAACTTTGGTGAATTGTTTTTATCTATTGACGTGAGCTCCCTTTCATTTTTTATAAAATTTTGATTTTATGTTTCCGAGTAATGGGGTTTTATTCATTAAAAAACAGGGGATTTTCCAGTTTTTGGACAAGTCAAGAATGCATTCACCAACTTGCAAGAAATTGTGGTGAATTGTTTATATCTATTGACATGAGCTCCCTTTCGATTTTTATAAATTTTAGATTTTACGTTTCCGAGTTGCAGGGTTTTATTCATAAAAAAAGGGTGAATTTTTCAGTTTTTCGGACAAAAACTCAAAAATGCTTTCAGCAATTCTTATGAAACTTTGGTGAATTGTTTGTATGTATTGATGTAAGCTCCCTTTTGAATTTTATAAATTTTACATTTCTGAGTTGTGGGGTTTTATTCATTAAAAAAAGGGGTGGTTTTCCAGTTTTCGGACAATAACTCAAAAATGCTGTCACCAATTCTCATGAAACTTGAGTGAATTGTTTATATCTATTGATGTAAGCTCCCTTTTTATACGACCGCAAAAATTAAAAAATTTTTTGGTCGTATATTGGTATGACGTTGGCGTCGTCCGGCGTCGTCCGAAGACACATTGGTTTTCGCACTCTAACTTTAGTTTAAGTGAATGGATCTCCATGAAATTTTACCATAAGGTTCAATACCACAAAAGGAAGGTTGGGATTGATTTTGGGGGTTATGGTACCAACAGTTAAGGAATTAGGGGCCAAAAATAAGCATTTTTGTAACTTCCAGACAATAACTTGTGTGTAAGTGTATGGATCTCTCTGACATTGTACCACAAGGTTCTATATCACAAAAGGAAGGCTGTAATTGATTTTGGGGGTAATTGCCTCAAAATTTTAGGAATTAGGGGGCAAAAAACAAGCATTTTTCTAGTTTCATGACAATAACCTGTGTGTAAGTGTTTGGATATATCTGAAATTGTACTACAAGGTTCCATATCACAAAGGGAAAGCTGGAATTGAGTTTGGGGGTAATTGCCCGAAACGTTTAGGAATTGGGGGCCAAAAAGGGGCCAAAAATAAGCATTTTTCTAGTTTCCAGACAATAACTTGTGTTCAAGTGTATGGATCTCTCTGAAATTGTACTGCAAGGTACCATACCACAAAGGGAAGGCTGGGATTGAGTTTGGGGGTGATGAATCATAAGGGGGTTCAAAAAATTTGGGGGGGGGATTTTTTTTTTTCTTTTTTTCCTTTTTTTTTCTTTTAAAATTTTCCATTTTAAGTTGGTTATTTCTGATTTATATTTAAAAGCAAAAATTAATGATATGGTAGGAGATAAACACCAAACAGGATGTGTAAATTATTATATAATAAGTATTGTGCAATAGCAAGAAATTTTCAATTGCACAGTATTGCACAGTATTGCACAATAGCAAGAAATCTTCAATTGCACAGTATTGCGCAATAGCAAGAAATCTTCAATTGCACAGTATTGCGCAATAGCAAGAAATATCCATTGGCACAATATTGCGCAATAGCAAGAAATTGTCAATTGTACAATATTGCGCAATAGCAAGAAATATTCAATTGCACAGTATTGTTTGTGCAAAAGAAGATACTTCGTATAAATTGCTTATTTCTTGATCAATTTCAATGAGTTTTATTCTTGAATTCTTGGGGTTCTTTAATATGCTGAATCTAACCGTGTATTAAGTTTTTGGATTTTGGGCCCTGTTTTTAAATTGGTCCACATTGAGGTCCAAAGGGTCCAAAATTTAACTTTGTTTGATTTCATCAAAAATTGAATTATTGGGGTTCTTTGATATGCCGAATCTAACCGTGTATTTAGATTCTTAATTTTTGGTTCCGTTTTCAAATTGGTCTACATTAAGGTCCAAAGGGTCCAAAATTAAACTTAGTTTGATTTTAACAAAAATTGAATTTTTAGGGTTCTTTGATATGCTGAATCTAAACATGTATTTAGATTTTTGATTATGGGCCCAGTTTTCAAGTTGGTCCAAATCGGGGTCCAAAATTAAACTTTGTTTGATTTCAACAAAAATTGAATATATTGGGTTCTTTGATATGCTGAATCTAACCATGTATTTAGATTTTTTATTTTTGGGCCCTGTTATCAACTTTGTCCACATTGAGGTCAAAAGGGTCCAAAATTAAACTTAGTTTGATTTTAGCAAAAATTAAATTCTTGGGGTTCTTTGATATGCTGAATCTAAACATGTGTTTAGATTTTTGATTATGGGCCCAGTTTTCAAGTTTGTCCAAGTTGGGGTCCAAAATTAAACTTTTTTTGATTTCAACAAAAATTGAATATATGGGGTTCTTTGATATGCTGAATCTAACCATGAATTTAGATTTTTTATTTGTGGGCCCCGCTATCAAATTGGTTCATATTGAGGTCAAAAGGGTCCAAAATTAAACTTTGTTTGATTTCATCAAAAATTGAATTATTGGGGTTCTTTGATATTCCAAATCTAACCGTGTATTTAGATTTTTAATTTTAAGTCCCGTTTTTTAAATTGGTCTACATTAAGGTCCAAAGGGTCCAAAATTAAACTTAGTTTGATTTTAGCAAAAATTGAATTCTTGGGGTTCTTTGATATGCTGAATCTAACCATGTATTTAGATTTTGGATATTGGACCATAATAGGTGAATGTCCAATTTAAAATTTTTAAGTTCTTAGACCACATTCATTCTGTGTGAGAAACCTATGCTGTGTCAAATATTTAATCACAATCCAAATTCAGAGCTGTATCAAGCTTGAATGTTGTGTCCATACTTGCCCCAACTGTTCAGGGTTCGACCTCTGCGGTCGTATCAAGCTGCGCCCTGCGGAGCCTTTTATTATTTTCATAAATTTCTAATATGACATAGAGAATAAATTGAACTTTATTTGTTTATAGTCTGACAACAGATTTACAAAGTATTGCACAACAGCAAGAAATCTTTAATTGAATATAAATTCAATTCATATAACCAATTTCAAGATCTTTGACTACATTTACTCAGAAACCTATAATATGTCAAATATTTAATTACAATCCAAATTCAGACCTGAATCAAGCTTGAATATTGTGTCCATTTTTGCCCAAACTGTTCAGGGTTGGACCTCTGCGGGCGTATCTAGCTGCGCTCAGCGAAGCAGTTTATTGTTAGATGATATACTCGCTTATTATGAGTAATAGAATAACTGTATTTGGTATATGGGTTCCTTGAAGCTTCTACATGCCTGTCAGGTAGAGTTCTCCTGACCTCGACCTTATTCCATGGATGTTTAATTTTTGTCTCGCCTTGACGGAGTCAAAAAACGAGACATAGGTATGCTGTTTCCGGCAGCGGCGGCGGCGTCAACAATGTATTAGTTTGTGATTAGGTCTAGTTCATGGTGAACCACTAGTGGTAGGTCAATGATATTTGGTATGCAGTTCTATAAGCATTGGCACATCTCATTACCATGGAGATTATTTGGGCCCACCCCCTAAGTCAAGGTCTATTGACTTTGAAACTTTTCATAAGTTTACATGTATTAGTTTGTGATTAGGTCAATTTATGGGGAACCACTAGTGGTAGGTCAGTGATATTTGGTATGCAGTTGTATAAGCATTGGCATATCTCATTTCCATGTAGATTATTTGGCGCTGCCCCCTTATTCATGGTCTAGACTTTGAAAATTTTGATAAGTTAACATGTATTAGTTTGTGATTAGGTCAGTTCAAGGGGAACCATTAGTGGTAGGCCAATGTTAATTGGTATTCAGTTGTATTATCATTAGCACATCTCATTTCCATGGAGAATATTTGGCCTCGCCCCCTCAGTCATGGTCTATTTACTTTGAAACTTTTGCTTAGTTTACATGTATTAGTTTGTGATTAAATCAGTTTAAGATGAACTGCTAATGTTAAGTCAATGATATTTGGTATGCAAATTTATTGGCATTTGCAAGTATTGTTTCCATGGAGATTATATAGCCCCACCCCTGATCATGGTTCATTGACTTTGAAACTTTTACATAGTTTACAAGTTAATGTTTGTGGATAGGTTTGTTTAAAGGGAACGACTTATAATAAGTGGTATTTGGTATGTAGTTGTATTAGCATTGGCACATCTCATTCCATG